GGTTCCCATAATGTTGGTCCTTATGAAAGCGCAGTTAAACAGGGCAGAGCTTGGTCAACTGATGAGGAAGATAGAAAATATTTGTGGCATATATGAGCGGATTTTGATCGGTGGTGGTAGGTAGAATGCTAAACAACTTTTCCAAAATTTCAGGCATAGAATGTCACTATCATGACGCGGAGGAGCTATTTCTATAGCCCACTAGTCTATAGGAAACGCTAGGACATAAGTATGTGGCAATCTTAAAAGAATACGGGGGAAATCCTGAAACGAAAACAATTCACACCACTGTACATTGCTATGTCGTATTTACGAGGGAATCATGACAACGAATGGGTAACGGATATGACAGTGTCTCCATAAATAAAACAACCTGACGAGGAGTGTGCGAAACAGCTTCTAAAGAGAGGACAGATCACCAACAGAACCTGACTCCCAGATGCTTCACTCCCAATCTCACCAACAGGTCTTAGGAGTCTTACACTGACCTTCGGTGGATGCTTTTATCATTAAATCCCCACGATGAGCGTCCAACAAATTCAACGTACCATCCACATTTTTAGGGAGAGTTGATCAATCAAAAGTTTCCTTGTCAGAGTTTAGAAAATGCGCTCTAGATAGATTATTTTTCTCGGAAAGTTAGAAGTCCTCACAACTGATAGGAATTTCGCTTTCCTTGGTAGACATTTGCTTCAAGGGTCCCTTTCGTAAATGTCTGTAGCGCCGAAAAAACTTCAAGATTACAGGAGAGGTTATATGGAATCATAAAAATTCATTAAATCAGTTGAACCTAATCCGTTTTTCCCTCAACGATCAAACTTCGTACGTAGTAGATGATTTGGATTTTCAAAATAAAAAGACTGTAGTTACTGCGTTTTAGGGTGGTTGCGTACCTCTACACTCTCAACATGTCATCGTTAATCAATACGCCTTTGAGTGTTATATACTACCTTCACTAATCGGCGGAGGTGTTAAAAACATCTAGGCCCTCAGGTTTGTTAGCTCAGGCAAAACAGTTGGCACATAGTGTAGCCAAAGCGCACATTTGGCAGGATAAATGGTCGCACAACGATTATGAGCGTTATTTCTGGTTGAAGCTAAATGGGAGCGAGGTCGACGTCGTTCGAGCAGCTTAATCAACTGATTTCTCGGAGGGTTGAGTGGATAGTGCAATTAATATTTCGCCTTATTATTGGTACGCATATGTATCCATCAGAAGTTGCCTTTCAAAACAATTCCAGTCAAAAGTCAGGAATCTTTCATCATTAAACAGGAACTGAGAAGATATGAAGGTACCTTGGGGTGCACATATTTTGTTGTTATGAGACCAATAACTGGCCAGTAAAATATATGGTTTCTGTAAATACGCCAAATATAACTTCATGATTTCATGAAAATCCGATGATATATGATTAACATTTGAACTTCCTACCCGATTTTCATTTAAAAGCATATAAAAAACATAACTTGTTACTAAACCAACATAGTAACGGACATGAACGCTACAATTAGCGGGGATATGCAGTAAAGCCACTCTCCTTGAATCCATTACTAAGCACTATTTTCCGATAAATGTAACGCAGTCCAGGAATATAATGCAACCGATAATATGTACACCTGAAAGGATTTTTAAGTGTAGTATTTGATTTAAAAAGGATACAGAAAACTACAACTTGTCATCAAACCAATATAGCACATGACTCAGACGCTACATTCAGCGGGGATATGCAACAAAGCCACTCGTATTATTCAGTCCTATTTCCTGGTGCACACAACCCAAAAGTCTTTGGGTTTGGCTTAGGTAATTAACCACATCAGGTTCAATGGCAAACCGTTTAGAATGACCTTCGTGTCAACTGAAGAACTGCCTCTGGGTAGATGTTATCAGAAGTGAAACTAATGAGAAGTGAAACTCATAAAACAGCTGTTTTCTCTCTATTTTGAACTCATTAGCGGTGCAGACTTAAGATAGTAAAATCAGAATGAAAAAGTTGTTTGGCGGTAGATGACCTTTAGCCATCTTGCGACTGGTATCAGTTGATGAGGAAATCTGCTGTTTGTTACGTAGGAGTTGCACAAATCCCTCCTACAATGGATATTAACAAATGAACAAAACCCAGGCTCCTAGGATTCGATCTTGTTCTCCGTGAGCACTTGCAGTGGTACGTTACGCGACCATGTCTGTGCTATAAAAAGGCGGACTATGCTGAAAGGCGAAGGCTTCTGTCCGACGCATGGGCTGAGTTATCTGTGGATGAACACTTCAGCAATCTCGGATACCAACCCTTTAGTCACAGCACAACCCAAAAAGGTCGTCATTGCTGCAGAAAGGTGCGCAACGTATTCTGCAAGCAAAGCGGAAGGCTTGGCTTACGCGGCGAATATCGAAGAGTCGGACAGACCACGACGCATATCTGGAACTCAGGAACCGGTGCAACGTGACATTCAGGAGTGACAGTAGATCATCCCAGGCCGACCTTGCCAAAAAACTAGCAAACCCCAAAAACTAGTATTGATTCATGTCGAAAAGAAAAACGGACAATTAGGCGGCATGGCCCTTAGTAGGTCCAAACGGTCAATACCTCACTAGTTTGGAGATGGCTGAAACATTCAGTCTAGCCTTCGCCGAACAGTTAAACAGAAATGTGGGTATACACTTCACACATAGACAGTTAGATGTACTCACTCCTGAGCTCTTTCTAAGGTTGTACAAAACATACGTCAGACAACACCCTGAAAGGCATAAGATAATTGCAACTCTACTGCTTAGAAGAGACGCAAACCCCTTGGAAAGAGTCCAAAGAAGGTCGAAAAATGAGTGATGGGTCTCCGAAATAAACGTATCATGAAAGGCTAGAAAAATTAGGTCTGTTCACACTTAGCTGCCGTCGGCTTCCGGGGGAACTGATTACTGCCTATAAGATAACAAACGACCCAAACAAAGGTGTTCTGCCATTGAGTAAGTATGGGCTTCCTCGTAAAAATCCTAGAAAGATAGCTCACCGGAGGGCAAGGACTCGAGTGCGCTCCCACTTCTATTCACTGCGAGTTTGCCGTCCCTGGAACTCCTTACCGGTAGATGTATCTGTGGCACCGTGTGTGGACACCTTTAAGCGAAGGCTGGACAATCATGCAGCGACACAAGGACTGTGTCCGAATAGCCTATCCCCTTAGAATCGCATACACCATTCAAAGGTAGACAACTAAACTGGTCGTTTTACTTCTTCACATTCTCTCCAGTCTAAATCTCCTGACAGCTTTAACTACACCTATTATTATTATCATTATTACTGGTATATATATATATATACCGGTTGACTGACTGTTGTTACGTTTTCTTATTCTTTTTCTGTCTGTTAGTCTGAATACCTTCACTAATTATATCTGTTATTATTATTATCTCTTTTCTATTGACGACGATACCGAAGGACCAACTGGTGAAAGGATCAACTCCATTCACAGTAGTAACTGTCTTAACACACCTCATACTACAAACCACATATAATTAATCCCTGCACTACTCCTTTTGGAGTCAACCAAAGCTACGGCAGTCGAGTGGCGGGACGAGCTACGCAGACGTTTACCGAAGACCAGGAACCTCTACCTCACAATCAAGAGGCGAGCACAAAGAAATCAAATTAGTTTATACTAGCTCGTAAAAACGATATTGGATATTGTATAGAGGTCACATGTTTGGCTCGCCTTTCGGTTTCAGGGTCAGGTTTCCAACCTGATTGGTTGGAAATGAGTATGTCAAATATTTTTGAAGGGGACTTCAATTTCAAGTCCAATCATTCTTTGGATACCCAAATTACAGCCTCCATCGACCGTGGGGACTTTCACCTGTCATTACTATCACTGATTTGTCTTATCATATGGACAATATATGTTTTATTCTACAACTCCAGGGTTGTCGGTTTGATTGTATCTACTATATTGAGAAGATTCTTCAAAAATTGTTACGTCAGTATTGGTAAGACTTGAATTTATTCTTTGCATTCGTTAGGTTCAATATCTCTTTCAGTCCTTGGTGGAAAACTGATGTTGAGGGACTTTGTTTACGTAAATGACGACTATTCTATCAGATTATGTTATGTGATCGTCGTATTTAATTACTGGACAAGGTATTATCCTGAAAGAAAAGGTACGCCTCTAGTTTTACACAGTATTTTTAAAAGGGTTTTAAATGCATCCACTAAAATGCTATGTAGCATCTTTTAATCGAGATTATACGAATCTTTTGCAGACTGTTGTGTTTTTCCGATTAACTCTTCCTAGGTCTTGACATGTGACCACCAGTTGTTTCAAGTCATTCAGTCCCTTGAGATTTTATGGTCATATATATATATATATATATATATATATATATAACGCCTTAAGACTCATTTTCTTTTTGAGTCATTAACTGGTGTATCAAAATCTGTCATTTAGATGTCTGCGTCATTTTAACTTTCCTACCCTTTATTCATTTAACAAGCATTTCTTTCCTCGCCCTAAATATATCTGATATGCTTTTCACGACTTTTAGACATAATTCATTGGGTGGTGCTTACCTGCGCACCAGTTACATTCACCTGATTATCTAAAGCCAATAAGTTAGCATTAAGAAATCTGAAATTTAAGCAGCATTATTCGTGGATTTTTATTGTGGGCGTATACTTCGTTGTATCCAGTAATTACATAGGAGTATTGTCGTGTGCATAATTCACATACAGTTGGAGTCTTGCATTTTGAAATGAATACTTATGGCCTTTGTCTCTTGTTCATAGAATTAGGGTTAACATTTCTTGTGTACTGTAAGCAGTACCGCTGCATGTTGAGAAACTAGGTCGTTCAGCCATTTCGATTTGTTTATCTTCATCAGTGTACGGTATTTTGTGATTCATTTTCGGTTTACTTGTATTTTCTCTTTCTTTCTAGACACCTTACAAAAACGATGTCTGCATGTGTATCTCTACGGCGTTGATGTCCACCTATATAATCGCACTTCTGTTTACAACATGTTAAGTAATATTTTCAAGCCGGATTATAATGAATCATCCGAGTTATGTCGCCCACCAAGTGCAACTGGCACTTCTAAGGAAACGTCTAAACTCATCACTTCTCAGAAACAGATCAGTCATCAAGTGGAAATTCCAAGTGACCAAGAAATGAGGTAAGCACCACCACTACCCAACGTTTTTCCACTTCATTTGTTTAATTGTTTTGCTTCAATAAAGTCTAAATGAACGCCTTGAAAATTTCTGGTTAAAATAAGTGATGACTTACACATCTGGTTTCTCTCCCTCTTACTGGGAATTGAAGAGCTATTTGCTCCCTCATACTTTTATTTTTAATATGAATTAACTTCCAAAACCAAATTTTCACCAGGTTTGTCGTAATTTTCTCGCTGGCTCACATGTATGCGAGGATTGTGCCAACTTGATTTTTGTACTTCCTACTCATTGTTATCTTCTGTTTTCACGAAAACGAGTCACTTGTTAGATGACATGGGACTCATTCATTAGCCTTGGGGAAACCATAAACCTTACAACGCCAGTAGTTCAATTCCTCTAAATCAAAATGCATACTTAAGTGCTAATCAGTGTATAAGACTACACCAACATACTTGGTGTAGTAGTAGTAGTGGTATTTCTCTCTCCTTTTTCTATATCGATCTCTGTATAAATTCTAATTCTTATTGGCTGATTAGCCGCATCATCTTGGAAAGGATCAAACAAGCTCTGGATGAAAAACTTCGACCGGAACAAGCTGGATTCAGGAGAAACAAGTCATGTATCGATCAAATCGCCACACTACGGATCATCATTGAACAAAGTTTGGAATGGCAGTCACCTCTCTATCTCAACTTCATCGACTTTGAAAAGGCCTTCGACAGCGTCGATCGAGAGGTGATTTGGCAACTACTTCGCTACTACGGGGTGCCACCGACAATAATACATCTCATCCAACAGTTGTATGACAACGCTGCATGCCAAGTAATCCACAACGGGAAGCTCACGGAATCCTTCGAAGTGAAGACAGGAGTAAGACAGGGTTGCCTACTATCGCCAATGATCTTCCTGATTGCGGTAGATTGGATAATGCGACAAACAGCGGGCAATGAGGAAACAGGCATAACATGGACTCACACAAAGAACTTGGAGGATCTGGACTTCGCCGATGATATATGCCTGATTTCCCACAAACTGGAAGATATGCAAGTGAAAAGTAACAAGTTGGCAGAAGAAGCATCAAAGATAGGACTCCAGGTGAACATAGAGAAAACGGAGGTGATGAAGATCCCTGGCCAACACCAACAACAACAGACAGCAATCAGCATAAATGGAAAGAACCTGAAAGAAACTACCTCCTTTACCTACTTGGGAAGCATTGTTTCAACTACAGGCGGAACTGACGAGGATATCAAAGCAAGGATCGGGAAAGCAAGGCAAGCTTTCATTACTCTCAAGTCTGTGTGGAGATCAACATCATTCAGCGTCAAAAATAAAATCGGGATTTTCAACTCCAATGTGAAGTCAGTACTACTATACGGATCAGAGACTTGGCGTGTCACAAAGAGCAACTCAAACAAGCTACAGACCTTCATTAACAGATGTCTTCGCTCAATACTCAAGATCGGATGGCCGGAAAAAATCAGCAACAGAGATCTCTGGGAGCGAACCAACCAGGAACCGATTGTGAAACAAATAGGCAGGAAGAAATGGAGATGGATTGGCCACACTCTGAGGAAACCAGCAAGTGACATCACTAGACAAGCCCTCGAGTGGAACCCGAAAGGGAAGCGACGAGTTGGTCGTCCAAGGGTGACCTGGAGGAGATCATGTGAAGAGGAGATGAAAGCATGTGGGCAGACCTGGAGCCAAGTGAAAACTCTAGCAGAGAACCGAACGCAATGGAGACGCATGGCTGAAGCCCTATGTTCCTCTAGGAACTAAAGGAAATAATAATAATAATAAATTGGCTGATTGATTGGAGTAGGAGCGTAAGATCAATACCTTTGAAGACTCGAAACTTGCTAATCTTATATGTACTATAAAAGAAGTTTTACCAATATATTCTGTCAAGATAGTTTTGATGAGGTTCCTGATCATCCATCGCAAACAATACTGTTATGAAAGTTGTAATTCAAAGTGTTGACCACATAATAAGGGTCATAATATTCGCTTAGTATGAGCAAACGTTCCAAATTTGTTACTACAGATCATATTCACTTGAATTACCTGGTTAGTGATGACTAGCTTCTCGGGCGTGTCTTCACTTGATAAACTGTTCTACAGACTAGGTTATGAAACGCTATAACTATGAAGCTATCTTAGTGCAGTTTCTTTATTGTACTGGATGATGTTCCAGTAATACGATTTTTATTACTTTCGGTTGTTTTATTCACAAGGCAGCCTAATATTTTCTCCTTTACGCAGCATTTATCTTTGAGTAAATTAATTTTTCTTGTTTCAGTGGTACTGCTTCCAGTTCGGGTATTTTAGACGCGTTTTGGAGACACGCTCACAAACTGATGCCTGCCATTAAATTTGATTTTGAGTTAGTAAGTTCATGACTTATGACTTGTGTTTTTAGTCAGTTTTCTTTGTTATATCGAGACTCATTTCGCCTACAGTAGAATTAGAAAAAGGATCGCTACTGCCAGTCGTATGGTTATTATTCAAATAAGTAGAAACTCACTAGCTCTTCATTTTATTGCTGTAAGTCAGGTATCCACCTCTGTCTTCATCTATTTTTGGATACTAATCAATAGAACATCCTACTAGTCTCTCATTCTTATATCTAAGAAAATGTACTAACCCTAGCATACTTAAACGAAAACTTCAAAATATTCAGTCAGACAAATAATACCCCAAATTTTCTACGAGGCTTTGTGAAAATATGTGCATGTGTTGTCGTAATAATGTGAAAACAAACCATCTCATATGGTGTAATATGGTAATATTCGCACTTTTTGATTAGTTTTTTCTTATAATCCTGCATTGCGTTCGCAGTTTTCGTAAAACAGCTTTTTTGGTGATCACTTGTTTCTGCTTACAAATGCATGTCTTCCATCAAGAAGTCTGCATTTGTTTAGACGCTCCAGACCAAACGTTTAAGTCTTTATGAATTATTACCGTGCCTTTTTGTTTCAACCTTGTAGTTTTCTTTCAGTCTAGTCCCACTTGAACAAATTTAGGACAATCAACTGAGCATTCTACCTATTCTTTTAAGTTACTAGATCGGTTGGTGACCAGTGACTAGACTGGAGCTTTATGAGGAGTACTTGAATAATTACTGATTTCCTTGTCATTTCCGTAATTCATTACATTCGCTCAGAATGATATCCTTCTTTAAGATTCTGAGCCGTGTTGCAAAATCCTAAATAGAGCGTACTAAACAACTTATCTCAAAGTAGAGAACGGAAGCCAGTACCTGTATGAAGTTTTCAAAGAACTTACTATTATATGCAGGATTACTTCGATTAACTATATGCATCAGATGTAATCAAAAACAAGAGTAATATTTTTGACAACTGTCAAGAATTTTTATAATGGATCAATCAAATCTTCATATTTCTGAGAATCCAGAGGACTATATTTACAATTTGTCGAACGTGTGTCGAAGTAAACTTAAGACAGAAGCACTCTTACTTTCAGGCTTTATATTCTGATAAATTATGCGTCGGTGGCATAGCGGTTAGGACGCTCGCCGACCATGAACATGGTCCGGGGTCCGATCCCCGGCCGACGCACTCCTTTACCTCGCTAAGCCAGAAATAATGCTGGTAAAGGGGAAAGGTTGGGCATGAGGCTAGCAACCTCATCCTGTAAAAATAAACACTGCTAAAGAAACTTCAAGCTACTGGCTTGAAGCCCTATGTTCCACTGGGAACGTGAAGGAATAAAACATGTCAGGGTCTATAGAGAAACCGCACTTGAAAGTCTATATAATCAGTTAATCGAGTGAAAACCAATTAATGAAAAGAAATACTAGTCCGGCTTAAACTCAAACTAGTAAATATTATAAACTAGTATATACTGTCACCGATCGCACCATCCAATATCTTATCTAAAGAACATCGAATGGCACTAACAATTTAATGAGTAATGAGGCAGTCATGATGCTACGACCAGGTAAATGTTGCTGCGTAGCTTTAATGAATAGGGATGGATATATACATAAAGTCAAATCAGTTCTAGATGATTCATCGCGACTTCTGGTAGGCACTAAGAAACAGGTTACAAGGAAAATATGCGGACTTTAAAAAAATTAGTTGACAATTCAACCTATAATAAACTGAAACCACGAGGTTCTCATCTACGGTTTGTTTTATCCGGTAAAGGTACATAAGTCCAAAGTTCTAACGAGACCTATATTGTTTATGGTAATCTTGCCGATTAAAAACTTGCTCGTAATTTAGCTAAACAGCTAGAACTGATTCGTCGGAATTTGGCTTTGAATTTTCTCAAAAGTTAGAAAATCCAAATGTTTCTGAAAACATGGTGTCGTTCAGTGTATCTTATTTGCAAATATCCTTCCGGAAAAAATTATAGATATTGTGTGTCACTATACCAATCCACTTCCTTTACCCAAAAAGAGCTCAGACACCTGTGAACTCACAGTTCAAGTTCAGCAAAGTTATGCATCGTCAGACTAACAGAGTTGCAATGAGCAGTTCACCAAGTCTCATCTTAGCAGATATTTTATGGAGTGCCTTGAACAGGCTACCCAATTTGTTGTTCTTACTTTATTCAAGTTTATCAGTGGGAAAAACTGTATAGTCCCACTTGGGTTAATGTCATTCATCATTAAATGTGTCAATTCATTACACTCAACATTTGTTAACTAAATTAGTTTATGGAGTTTTAAAAATCACTCGACCCCTATTTAATCAGCCAGTGGCAGTAAGTATATTAGTGATGCTTTTATCCTGATTTTGCAATGACTTGTCCTTTATGTTTATCTTTATTTCAGACTAAAATATGTGCTGGCAATCATCTACTACCCAGAGCTTGCCTTCTCACTTGCAGCCGAATTTATGGCTCTTACAGTACTGGTGATGCTTCCTCTCAATGGGATAAGTATCAACACCAAGTCAAATCACGCTTTGTCAATATGATGGGCTCGCTTGTCGTAGTATCTAAATACTCAGGTCAGCATGCAGTCGAAGAGTGAGTTCTGAGAAATACCCCGTTTTTTCTGCTGTATCAGTTATCGATTGTCGCACCTTATTGTTAATGCCATTTTTACTATTGCAATGATAGTGTATTTCTCTGTACTTACAAATTCTGTTTTGACTCAATGGTAAAATGTAGTGCTCTCGGGGGAATTATATTCTATGTAGTTTGAAATCATATAAATTCTCAGTAGCAAAGATCCTGAAATGTAATAAATACAATGAAAAGTTGATCAGAACGGGAGTCAGATAATTACTAGTCAAAACACACGCTCTCTACTATAACAGTTCAAATGGCAATGTTTCTTTTAAAACTTCCCACATCATGAGTAAAACGCCCACTCTTTTATGAATCCATCAAGGTATAATAAGAAGCATTCTACTTATTATTGTTGTGTTTTTATCTAGGTACATGCCTTACATTCACATGTACCTTTTCGCTATGTTTAACTGCACATTTATAATGTATGTCCAAGGCACCGAAGCTCGTTTCCCAGGAAGATATATCACTCATTAGGTGACAGCCTTCATCCTATCTGAATACGTTTAGAATTACGTTGGGTGGTGCAGTTACTGGGTGCTTGCGGGTCAGCGGAGATAGCGATTATCAAAGGGTCTCGGGACGTCCAGAGGTTAGGTTCTGGAGTTATGCAGCGTGACTGCAGTTAATTGAACTTTTAAGGCCTAACTAACATCATGAGTACAATAACATGGAGAGCTGGTTTGTCTTTCGATACAATTTGGAATCCCATTCATCACATGGTCAAGGAAATGGTTCCATGGGTTCCTAACTACTTCTAACTGTACTCCTATCAGTCTTGTGAATGTATTTTGTAATTGAACAGTCTGAAGTCCATATCAGCAAACTATGGAGCGCGATTTCAGTGGTGTGCATTTTACCGCACAGTTAAAGCATAACTTACAAACGGATATTTCTGAATAACCTTATTACAATAGAACTTTGTATATATATATATATATATATATTATATATATAATATATATATAATATTGACTTACCGTGGTTTTGTAACAGTGTACTATTTTAATTAACCTTTCTTGTTACTACCTAAAAGTGTATTGTCAATGAGTTTCGATATAATATGCTGATGACAATTGCTTTCTGTAAGTATTCGAGATTAGGCGAAAGATAGTTTGCTTGCCGGAAATTCGCTTAATACAAAAATCAACAAAGTATAGTTTAGTTGTGTTTCGTAGCTATGCTTGACGTATAAATTGAGATTGGTTGCGATAGTAGAAATAGTGGATATAATTGTTTTGATTTGAACGCCCTTTTATTAGCATTTTTCTACTGTAATATCACCTTACTTATACTGTTTATAATAATTTAGCATCTCAGATTATTTTTCTGTAAGTACATTGAATTAACAATATTGTTTTGTAACCCAATCCTTTTATTTTCGAATACACATAGGCCACCAAAAAGCTGGGACAAAGCATTTCATGTATTTCATTTTGGAGAAGGCATGATTAACTACATACTAGACGAACCAGGTAAGCAAGGATTCTTTTGAATAACTAGGAATGCAGTTTATTGTTGCTTGACTTTTTTTATCAATCTGATGTTTGGATATCTCACACTTTATTATTAATTTCGTCTCTGGAGCTGAAGGACATCTTCCTGTATGTTTGTTGAAGCTTAATTGACCCGGACAGATTTATCATGTACGAGGCCAAGAGCCACACTTATCCTATGAGGGCTGGCGATACTACCCAGTTGCCAAAGCTGAAGTAAGGGGAGCGGGACTCAGACCCATGACCCATCGGTTGAAAACCGAATGCTTAAACCATTGAGTTACATCATCACTCTTTCTTATACGTAGAACTTGTAATAACTTTAACCAAGTGATTGGATCATAAAACTATAATACTCATGACGGTACAGATCCAGTGGATTAATATGATTTTATTCTTTTATATGACATTGAGGGTTATCTTCATTGTAGTTATTTGTGGACTGACTATATCAGTCTCACATAATTTTATCTTCAAATCAGTTCGCATCATAGATTTCTATCAGCTAGCAAATCGTTTCAAGATGAGAGAACATCACATATACCTTTTTCGTTTTAATTCTAGACTCCTCGACCATCCCATACAAGATGGCTCCCAGTTTTTGTGTGAAATACTTAGACTTTTAGGTTGTATGGGTTGTATATTTGTAGAGTGATCTTTCAACTAGAGGTTGATTTGTAATTACATAAAATTGTTGGACCCAGGAACGTTTGTATGCCTGTCTACATGGAATCAAATGTAATGATTTTCAAGTTGAATTTTTCACTGAAATTAATAGGCATCATATAAGCTGCATTGGCTTACAAATTAAGTATGTAGTGAATTCTGTTATGTTTTTCCCTACATATTGTGATGGAGTGTATTAAACTGTTTATTGTTCGCTTCACTATATGTGTTTTTTTTGGATCAGACATCTCTTTACAAAGTGATGATAAGCAAAAATAAGTATTCGATTGTTTTTCCTTTCTTTTCTGAGATCTAAGATCATTTAGCTAATACATTCTATCTACTGTCACTTAAAAAGAAGTGTGGTTGCTTAAATGTCATATAATTCTCTACTATTTTGGCGTGATTATGAGTCATTCCTTCTTCTCTTGCATCCTATGTTTGTAGTAAAAGTACTTGATTGCTAATTCAGCTTGTGGTTCAGTTATTCTTCGGTATTTTCAAAAAGTGCGTCGGTGGTATAGCGGTTAGGACGCTCGCCGACCATGCACATGGTCCGGGGTTCGATCCCCAGCCGGCGCACTCCTTTACCTCGCTGAGCCAGTAATAATTCTGGTAAAGAGGAAAGGTTGGGCATGAGGCTAGCAACCCCATCCTGTAAAAGAAAACACTGCTACAGAAACTTCAAGCCCTTGAAGCTTGAAGCCCTATGTTCCACCGGGGAACGTGAAGGAAAGAAAAAAATTTCAAAAAGTTAACTAAACAGTAGTCTGTTGGATTGAAGTTATTTTGATCACAATGTTATCTTTGTCAAAACAAAATAAATATTATTCCAGTCTTACTTTTAAACTAGAATATCTTGGATAGTTCTCTCCCTTGGCCTCATCTAGTAGCCCATTATATAGCTCCACTTATTACACATGAATTCTATTGAAATTGTTTTCCCACCCTCTCCCCCACAGGTATTGCAACTTCAGAGTGTGAGAAATTAGAATTGCCTACAAATGATACGACTGTTCTGCGAACATGGCCTAAATGGGAATTACGTGTTGATGTAAATAAAGTGTGTCAACTTAACTATGGGCCATGGGCTGATCGCCAACGGTGAGTGTGTCTTCGTTTGCTATTTGTCTTTGTGACAGTTTTATGCTCAAACAGAGTTTTGTTGACATTTTAATTGCCATTCGAAGTTGAGATAAATATGTAAATACTGTTCACTTATTTGTTATGTGCATTTAGCATAAAATTTCGAAAATGATATGCAAAAGATGACCTGTTTTCGAAAAAACCGTTTTGTGAAACATTTTCATCTCAAATGCCATTTTATGTTATTGTTGTTATAACTTGAGATTCTTGTTTTATTGAATGCTTTTTCCAGGCGTTAAGTTCTGAAGTTATCCTAAAGGGATTATGGAAGCACAACTATGAAATTTAGTCGTATTATCTACGCCATCACGTGTTTATGAATAGAACAGATTTATTGTTTGTTTTTCTCTTGTTATTTATTTCTCTTTTGTTTTCTTTTTTCTCACATAGGGATATTATCTGGCGATTTTTCTTTCCACCATCATATCAAATAGCCAAACCCAGTGAACCTATTTCTGTAGGTCAGCCTAGGGTTGCTAAGAAATTCGTTTTTGAGTTAAAAACTTCAACAAATATCGACTTAAATATTTACTTTACACGAAATAATATCGTTGAAGTAAGTTGGAATGGTCGTTTGCTACAATTGTTTTTGGTATATGTTATATGCTCATATATGCAGTTATTGGTCTGTAAATGCAGTTTACAGAGAACCAGGCAGGTTTTAGACCGGGAAGAAGGTGTGTTGATAATATGTTGACCCTTCAACAGATTCTGGAATATAGGTATACTTACCGGTGTCCAAAAATCATCATGTTTATTGATCTGAAAGCGGCATTCGATTCCGTCGATCGAGAGGTACTGTGGTGATGTTTAGCTATGAAGGAAATGCTGAGAGGATTACATTGCATTCGTCAAGGCACTCTACCGGAACTCATGCAGCCACGTGAGAGCCTACGGAGAGTTGTCATCTGAAGTGATGACAGCCAGTCGCGCCTGTCACGGATGACCGCTGCACCCATTTCCCTTTAATTTCATCATAGATGTTCTGATAGATTTAACTCTAACTGACTTCAGAGACTCAGGGAATAATCTCGTTGACTTAGAAAATCTGAAAATTCCCATTCCGTCATGGAAAAGAAAAGGCGTTCAGCAAAGAGTTACTCTTTTCGGCGATATCATTCTCAAGCTGTACAAACCGCAAATTTATAGTAATTTTTCTTGGCAACAAAAGGAATATTTCCAAAGATGTGTTAATGCAATTGTTAATTTTTTGACAACAAATTACGTAATTTAGAAGGCGTTAATCGGTTAGAAACTAAAATAAAGTTACAAAAGTAGGTTGGGTGACGTAATCTAATTGATAGGGTTCAATGAAAAATGAATGAGAGTCAAGTTAATAATCTGAGTAGAATTCACTTGAAAATGAATGAGAGTTAAGTTAATAAGCTGAGTAGAATTCACTTAAAAATAAACGAAAATGGAGTTAGCAACAGTCGTCATGAGGGTAGAGATTTAATAGAGGGTGGGGGTAGAAAATTATGCAATTAAGAAACAGACAAACAAAGAAGAAAGAGGTAAGACAAAATTACGTATTTGGTGTTAAGATAGATCAGGACCATTGTAGATTTAGTGACTGAACAAACTTCTTTTGTATGCAGAGTTCAGGATTCAATATGTGAATTGCCATTGCTTCTGCAGTTTGAAGAAGTTTAATTCGTACTCTTTTGGCAAGATTCCCACGTATTGTGTAGATAACTGAGAAGTTGTTTTGTGGGTTTGCTTGGTGTCCGGATTCGATCAAGTGTTCTAGGATAGAGCTGTGGCGGGGGATCTTCTTTCTCCTTTATAAAACCATGAAGGTAAGTGTTCGCTGATTCGTTTGGATAGCAAACGCTGGGTACGGCCGACATACCTAGCTCCACATGAGCAGGTGAATTGGTAGATGCACATTGATGAGGCCCCCAGTGGAAGCTTATCCTTCACGTTCGATTGAATCATTGGTTTCGTAGAGAAAGTTAGTCTGAGTTCAGCTGCGAAGAAGGTTTTCTTCAGTGAACGGCACAGGCGGTTTCTCAGTATTTCTGCTGAAGAATCTCCGTTAAATTGTAGATTCAAATAGAGAAGTTTCTTGGGAGCAGTAAGCATGGACGGTTTTTGTGTTTTGGGCTTCATAGCTTTTGTGATGAAACGTTCCGGGTAACCGTTTTCAAGGAGGATTCTTTTCAGGGTCTTCAGCTCCTCTTCTATAGTTTCCGGACTGCAAATGTTGTGGATTCTGTGAGTCAGTGAGAGGATTAGATTTCGTTTTGTATATAGAGGCACCCAACTGTGAAAGCTGATGAGTTGTCCATTCCATGTCGGTTTTCTGTGAATGGATCTTTTGAGTGTCCCATCTTGTTCGCGTCTTGCTAGTTGCACGTCCAGAAAAGATATTGTTGCGTTGGACTCCTTCTCTAGTGTGAACTGGATTGCTGGATGGCAACTGTTGAAGAAGTCCAATATGTTCTCCAAATTTTCCTCATTATTGGCGATAATAAAAGTATCGTCCACGTATCTCTTGTAGAACCCGAAGTTATCTATTATCTTCTTTAGGTGTGTATTTTCTAGTTTTGACATGAAAATATCTGCAAGCAGCGGGCCGAGTGGTGAGCCCATAGCTATACCATCTTTTTGTCTATATATTTCATTATTGAAAGTGAATTGGACGTTTAGAGTACATCTTAATAGGAGTTCCTTCAAATAGTCAGTGGGTATACCAATGTTCATCTCCTTTGAATCAATATATTCACATATATAGCATATTGTTTCGGTTAGTGGAACGTTTGTAAACAGTGATACCACATCTAGTGAGAACATGGTTTGATTGGAAACGCTGACGTTTTCAATGGAATTGACAAAATCGAAGGAGTCTCGAAGTGAGTGGCGGGAGATTTGCTTTCTGACTGGTTCTAGTATGTCTACTAGCCATTGTGCGGTACTGTGATAAGGTGAATTAGTCATATCGAGAATGGGTCGGAGAGGTACGTTTTTCTTGTGCACTTTTGGTAGTCCATATAGCCGGGGTATATTTGAGCCCGACGGTTTCAACGATTCGAAGGTTTCAAGATCGATGAATGATTCAGTCTTTAGTGTTCGGAGAAGGTTCGTTAGTTTTTGTTCAGTTTGTTCCGTCATGTTCTTTTCGTTTGCTGGTTTTATGAATTTAGATTCGTCGGATAGGATGGTCAGCATTTTACTTACGTAGTCTTCACGATTCATGACTACGATTCCCCCACCTTTATCCGGGCGTAACAGAATAATCTCTTTGTTGTTTATTAATTCCTTGAGCTCTTTATAGTGTTTTTTGGTCAGTATTGACTTTCCATTTGGTTTGGTATTCATAAATTTATGGCAGCTGTCGAGGACTAACGACCTGAACTGTTGCAGGTTCTCTTCGGAAGTTGGTGATAGATCATATGTTTGGTTTATCAAGTTTTCGAACTGAACTTGGGTTTGAAGTTTTTGGATTTTTGATGGTTTTGTGCAGAACTTTGGACCGAGGGACAGTGCTTCTAGTTGAAGTTCTGACAGCTCAATGTTTGAGAGGTTAAATACGTATTTTTCTGGATTGCTTGGGAATGGACGTTCAGGGTCGCTCGTCGGCTTCAGGCTTTTAATAAGGTTTGACTTGACATTCTCACATTGTTTCTGTGCAACTTCTTCGACATATTCTTCGAACGATTGGCGTAGTTCTTGGTCTAAATCGTGGACTGCGTGAGCTCGTAAGTCAACATTTCGTTCTAGTTCAGGGACACGTGATTGGATGGAGTCAATGTTGTTTAGTGTGTGTCGCCTGAGCGTTCTGGTATTCGGATGGATGTGGTTTCGTGCCGAATATCCAAAGATGTACTGGAAGTCCCTCTGACGAAACCACATCCATCCGAATACCAGAACGCTCAGGCGACACACACTAAACAACATTGACTCCATCCAATCACGTGTCCCTGAAATAGAACGAAATGTTGACTTACGAGCTCACGCAGTCCACGATTTAGACCAAGAACTACGCCAATCGTTCGAAGAATATGTCGAAGAAGTTGCACAGAAACAATGTGAGAATGTCAAGTCAAACCTTATTAAAAGCCTGAAGCCGACGAGCGACCCTGAACGTCCATTCCCAAGCAATCCAGAAAAATACGTATTTAACCTCTCAAACATTGAGCTGTCAGAACTTCAACTAGAAGCACTGTCCCTCGGTCCAAAGTTCTGCACAAAACCATCAAAAATCCAAAAACTTCAAACCCAAGTTCAGTTCGAAAACTTGATAAACCAAACATATGATCTATCACCAACTTCCGAAGAGAACCTGCAACAGTTCAGGTCGTTAGTCCTCGACAGCTGCCATAAATTTATGAATACCAAACCAAATGGAAAGTCAATACTGACCAAAAAACACTATAAAGAGCTCAAGGAATTAATAAACAACAAAGAGATTATTCTGTTACGCCCGGATAAAGGTGGGGGAATCGTAGTCATGAATCGTGAAGACTACGTAAGTAAAATGCTGACCATCCTATCCGACGAATCTAAATTCATAAAACCAGCAAACGAAAAGAACATGACGGAACAAACTGAACAAAAACTAACGAACCTTCTCCGAAAACTAAAGACTGAATCATTCATCGATCTTGAAACCTTCGAATCGTTGAAACCGTCAGGCTCAAATATACCCCGGCTATATGGACTACCAAAAGTGCACAAGAAAAACGTACCTCTTCGACCCATTCTCGATATGACTAATTCACCTTATCACAGTACCGCACAATGGCTAGTAGACATACTAGAACCAGTCAGAAAGCAAATCTCCCGCCACTCACTTCGAGACTCCTTCGATTTTGTCAATTCCATTGAAAACGTCAGCGTTTCCAATCAAACCATGTTCTCACTAGATGTGGTATCACTGTTTACAAACGTCCCACTAACCGAAACAATATGCTATATATGTGAATATATTGATTCAAAGGAGATGAACATTGGTATACCCACTGACTATTTGAAGGAACTCCTATTAAGATGTACTCTAAACGTCCAATTCACTTTCAATAATGAAATATATAGACAAAAAGATGGTATAGCTATGGGCTCACCACTCGGCCCGCTGCTTGCAGATATTTTCATGTCAAAACTAGAAAATACACACCTAAAGAAGATAATAGATAACTTCGGGTTCTACAAGAGATACGTGGACGATACTTTTATTATCGCCAATAATGAGGAAAATTTGGAGAACATATTGGACTTCTTCAACAGTTGCCATCCAGCAATCCAGTTCACACTAGAGAAGGAGTCCAACGCAACAATATCTTTTCTGGACGTGCAACTAGCAAGACGCGAACAAGATGGGACACTCAAAAGATCCATTCACAGAAAACCGACATGGAATGGACAACTCATCAGCTTTCACAGTTGGGTGCCTCTATATACAAAACGAAATCTAATCCTCTCACTGACTCACAGAATCCACAACATTTGCAGTCCGGAAACTATAGAAGAGGAGCTGAAGACCCTGAAAAGAATCCTCCTTGAAAACGGTTACCCGGAACGTTTCATCACAAAAGCTATGAAGCCCAAAACACAAAAACCGTCCATGCTTACTGCTCCCAAGAAACTTCTCTATTTGAATCTACAATTTAACGGAGATTCTTCAGCAGAAATACTGAGAAACCGCCTGTGCCGTTCACTGAAGAAAACCTTCTTCGCAGCTGAACTCAGACTAACTTTCTCTACGAAACCAATGATTCAATCGAACGTGAAGGATAAGCTTCCACTGGGGGCCTCATCAATGTGCATCTACCAATTCACCTGCTCATGTGGAGCTAGGTATGTCGGCCGTACCCAGCGTTTGCTATCCAAACGAATCAGCGAACACTTGCCTTCATGGTTTTATAAGGGAGAAAGAAGATCCCCCGCCACAGCTCTATCCTAGAACACTTGATCGAATCCAGACACCAAGCGAACCCACAAAACAACTTCTCAGTTATCTACACAATACGTGGGAATCTTGCCAAAAGAGTACGAATTAAACTTCTTCAAACTGCAGAAGCAATGGCAATTCACATATTGAATCCTGAACTCTGCATACAAAAGAAGTTTGTTCAGTCACTAAATCTACAATGGTCCTGATCTATCTTAACACCAAATACGTAATTTTGTCTTACCTCTTTCTTCTTTGTTTGTCTGTTTCTTAATTGCATAATTTTCTGCCCCCACCCTCTATTAAATCCCTACCCTCATGATGACTGTTGCTAACTCCATTTTCGTTTATTTTTAAGTGAATTCTACTCAGCTTATTAACTTAACTCTCATTCATTTTCAAGTGAATTCTACTCAGATTATTAACTTGACTCTCATTCATTTTTCATTGAACCCTATCAATTAGATTACGTCACCCAACCTACTTTTGTAACTTTATTTTAGTTTCTAACCGATTAACGCCTTCTAAATTGCGTAATTTGTTGTCAAAAAATTAACAATTGCATTAACACATCTTTGGAAATATTCCTTTTGTTGCCAAGAAAAATTACTATAAATTTGCGGTTTGTACAGCTTGAGAATGATATCGCCGAAAAGAGTAACTCTTTGCTGAACGCCTTTTCTTTTCTATGGCTAAGAATATGCAGATGATAGAATTCCTCTAGGCGATGACACAGGCATAATGCAGAGTCTCCTGAACACCTTGGGGAACAGCAAGTTGGGAATGTTTGGCACGCGATTCGCTCTCGCTAAATGTTAGATGATGCTACAGGACTGGACTGCTTAAAGATAAGGAGGCAGTGAAGTGGTGGAGCGTGTTGACCACTTCACTTATTTAGGAATTTGCATCAGGCAGGCTCAACGGGTTGATCGGCGATGAAATCTCAGCACGGATACAGAAGGCTCATTTCTCATGTGCCAGCTTACTCCATCTCTGGTGTAGACGTGATATCCGGCTGTCGGCCAAAGAACGTGCGTACTGCTCGGCAGTTCGCACCGTCCTCCTTTATGGCTAGCTGTAAGACATTGACGTTGAAAATGGAAGACATGAAAAGGGTGGTTAGCTGTCTTTGCTCATAGGTGTTTGCTTTCTATCTCCCGTGCTAGGTAGTAGGTGTAATAGGGTGGGCAATATTAAGGCTATGCGTCTAGTGCTAGGTGAGGAGGGGAAATCAATCGACGAGGTTGTGAAGTTACATAGATTGAGATGTTCAGGACATGTGTTACACATGCATCCCTAACCATCACCTTCCTCGACCGACGAGCAATGTTGACTGACATAACATGGATCAGATTGGAAAAGAGCTATTGGTGGTCAAACCAAACCATGGCTTCACCAGTCAATGAAACCCACAACAGTTAGTTTAAGCCAGCCACGTTGCGAAGTGTCGACTGGTCTCCTGACTGGCTGGTCGGGTTCCTCGGGACGGTAAACACCAATGACTGGAGACAATTGGTGATCTGGCTCAAAATCGTTCTCAATGGCTGGCACAGATGTACTCACTCTTTGTGATGTATCATATGCAATAGAACTGTATTGTTTTTCCATATTACTATTCTTTCTCCCTCGATCACACTTCAGTTTGTTATCTGTCTTTTGAACGTCCCTTATTCTCTTCTATTGCTTTGTTTGCTACATGGAGTGTGGCAACTGGAACTGCTGCACATCTGTGCAAAGTTCTAAGTTGAAATCAATCTGTCAGTCAGTTAGTAAATACCGTTTATTGCCACTGATTCTCTTACCTTTGTATTTTTCGTAATAAGAATATTGTTTTCTTCTGTTGATATGTATTTTGAAGAAGAATATGTTTTTGGGTCTAGCTTGTGGGATTAAACATGTCATGACTCATGAAATCTTGAAATCTGCGTCGCCATTGTAGGTCTGCCACCTAAGTTAGCATTGTATTCACGTATACTGCGTACTGCTTGTCCCATGTTATATTTTAATTTGGTTGATTTCTTATATATTAAATAAAAAAACTCGAAAACGAAAAATGTATCAAGATTTAATTTTTTCAAGATCAGCAGCTAGGTATTTACGTGATTTACATATGTACCATTTTAGTAATTTATTTAGTGGATGTGTAGTAATTTCTTTTTCATTTTATTCCTTTGAGTTCTCAGTGGAACATTAGGGCTTCAAGCTTTGAAGTTTCTTTCAGTAGCAGTGGTGTAATATTTTGAGGGGTGAGGTTGCTATTATACTACTTATATTATTGTGTATTGTAAAGTGTTGTACTTCTTGGTTGATGTATTATTTTCCTGTTTATGTTTTTATTATAGTCTCTGAAGCTGTCAGGATTTCCAAATTCAATTATTAAACTGAATATACCCTGGTTAATCGGTCGTAATGGCTTTATGACAACTCTACACGTGAATCTAGTTAAAGGCAGTTTAATCACTGAACATTTATGGCGTAATCTATTGACTAGTGATCAGTATGTAAATTTAGATGTAAAAATGCACTATCCGAGGGAATGGAATATGCGACACCTATGGGATATTGCTATAGATACTCGTGATGCACAATTAACCATATTATTTGATTATAAACATTATTTTAAAGGTGATTATTACTTATGTTATGATTTGCTGAAATTCACAGATGTATATAGCTTACATTTATATCTGTAAAAGCAAAATGATTTTGCCATATGGCTCATCTCTTTTGCTCTATAAGTTTTCATTTTTAAAACATTAGCTTTAGGTAGGTAGTTTTTGTGGATATTTCGTGCCATTTATTCACTTTATAAATTTGAATAAAGGATAACTATTGAGGTAAAGAAAATATTTACAAACATTCCTACCAAGTCCTCAATAAGGACTCATTCGAAGGTGTACTGTTATAATGTCATCAAAACTCTGAATGGTTAGTTAAAAGAGGTCAGAAAATTCGCTTACTTATAATCTAGGTGCATAAGCAGAGAAAAACACAAAGAAGGTGGATCGAAATAGAAATTTTCTGGACATAGAGGAAAATATACCATAGGTTATGTCAGTATTCTGAAGAGTGAGTATCTACATTCACATAAGATTAGTGAGTATAAACCAAAAATGGTTCGAATAATACTGATTTCAGAATCAGAAGTACAAGCATGAAGAAGGGTATATATTTTAGCGAAATTTCTAAGCATAACTGAACACTTCAGCAAATCTTTGCGCAAAGATAGAAGCGTAGAATTTGAATTTTTTTCAACACGTAAATTGCAACTTCAAACTTCTCTGTAACTCGGAAATTACTATTCCGAAGTAATCAATATCAGTTGGTTACAAATTCAAAAGTTGCAATTCCCCTGTATTCAACAGACTGAGTAACTACTACCAATGAATTGGTTGGATGCCAAAAAATTAATGATTGACTAATGGATCAGCCGTAGATCTTAACACGAAATCACACTGGTTCAAGTTGCCAGGCTTCTTTATTTTTGTAATTCTTAAGAGTTATGCTCAAATTTTATCAATATAAAGCAGTTACTTGTTGTTAATTACAAATTTGGTCATTGAATTTATGATGTCTCTAGATGTATGTGTGGGTAGTCTGTGTGATTTCCATTAATAGTTAAAACTGACAGTTAATTGCGTGAATTTAGTTACTTATTTATATTAGATTTTGAATTATTATTTTGAAATTCCTCCCCCTTTTTATATTAGGTCTCATAGATGATTGGTCCCGTGGTTCGCATCCAGATCTTCTCAGTTTTGTTCCTTGTACTTATAAATTTCATATTAAATCGAACAATTTGGATTTTATTCTACTGGCCAACGATTACAACTGGATATCGAAAAAGGGAGAAAATGGTATTTGCATTTTTTAACTTTTTCTTTAAACATTTCTGTTACAGCTCATTTAGGATTTCGTGCAAAGAAATTAATGCTTACATTCGATTTACCATTTGTGGATTTCCTACCGACTACAGTGCCAGTTATTTACACTGTTGAAGTAAGTTATTATTGAAACTAAATTAGCATAAAAGTAGATTAAATATTTTAGATAACGTATTTATTATTATTTTTCATGGTAGGAAATACGAAAAATCCGAGTGGAACATAGGGCTTCAGCAACACATCTCCACTTTGTTCTACTATCTGTTGTCCTTTTTAGCTGGACCTACGATTGCCCATAATCTCTCATCTCCTCTCACGACTCTCATGTCACCCTTGGATGACCCACTTGTCACTCCCCATTCGGGTTGCACTTGAGGGCCTGGCGGGTGATATCATTCGACGGTCTCCTCAGCGTATGCCTAATCCATCTCCATTTTCTCCCACATATCTGTTGAGCGATAGATTCTTGATTAGTTTATTCCCAAAGTTTCTTGTTGTTAATTCTTCACCGCCGACCATCTGATCTTCAGTATGGATCAAAGGCAACTGTTGATAAAAGTCTTCAGCCACCTGTTGGAAATGCTTTTCGTGATGCGTTTGCCAAGTTTCTAACCGATAATAATAATAATTTGCTTTATTCCAAAACAGTACTTGTGATACAGAATGGAATTCTCAGCATTTTACTACAGTATTGCATCCAGTTAGTACATTATCAATAAATAGAATTCTACAAAGATTAAGAAAATCTCAGTTCATTATGACAATAACATATTGGCATGTTGGTAGCAAAGCCAAAGTTGAACAGTGTTTGAAGGTGTTAGAAAAGTAGGTGCTGTCATATTTACTGGCGTAAGCGAGAGAAAGAAACAAAGCAGCACATAACGGAAAAAGAGAGAGAGAATAGGAAAAGAAAGAAAGAAAATGTTGTACCTATAAACGATATTAGTTGAAAAGACGAGATCCAGTTGTACTACTGACTATCTAATGAATTATAGGTGTCACGCCTAATGCTTTCTTTATCACACAGAACACGAGTTTTTGTACTTGCTGGTGCGAGTTAATAGTTTCCTATATAGGCTTCTGGTTTTGCCTGATGAGATGCAAGGGGAGAGTTGTGAGTGAAGAGGGTGGTGTGAGTTAGATAAAATGGATTTGGCCCATTTTTCACATGAGTCCATGTGCCTGTCGACCAGAATATTAACAAGCTGGTTAAGTGGCACGTTGCTTACCCTGCTGACAACCTTTAACATCCTGCGTAATATGTTATAGTCTTTCTTCAGTAGCCCGGGAAAGCCTAAGGGGGAACAATAGAGAATAATAGGCAGAATGCGAGAGTTAACGAATTGTAGGAGTAAGGGTTGGGTTATACCAGAATGTCTTAACTTCTTGATGTAGAATGTAAGACGGAATATTTTCTTAGCAATCGCCAAGATATGAGAGGACCAGAAGAGATCACCAGAAAGAATGACGCCTAGGTATTTAATTTCCGATTTGGTTTCTATTTCAGTGCCGTCTATTTTACATACCTCGTAAGAGCCAAACAGTTTGTTTAGGTCGGATTTATGCCTCAAGGTGAAATTGACTGTTTGGCATTTGGAGAAGAAGTGACTGACTTGGCATTGGTTTTGAAAATTCGAATCTTCTTTATACTACGAAGTGCAGAAGATTTCCAAACTGATTTCAGATTGATGGAGGTGCATCCTGCCCTTCCCATTCTGGCTTTGACATCTTCATCCGTTCCCCCTGTAGTCGAAATAATGCTTCCTAGATAAGTGGAGGAAGTAACCTCTTTCAAGTTTCTCCCGTTGGTAATGATTGGTGCTGTTTGTTGTTGCTGTTGGTTGGTTATCTTCATCAACTCCGTCTTCTCTATGTTCACCTGGAGTTCTGTCTTTGCTGCTTCTTCAGCCAGTTTTTTGGTTTTCGCCTGCATGTCAATGAGTTCGTGTGTGTGTGACATTAGTGAATGTAGAAATAGTGACATAAGGTATAAAGGTCATTTTATGTACTTGATGTGTGAATGATGCAACCACAAATAACATGAAATAATGCTCGTATGTGTTAGACAAGAATGCTTGTGTGAGACTGGTGAGTATTTGTAATTGAGTTTTCTTGAATGGGGCAAATTTATTCGTAAGTACTGGTTTTCTCTTTGTAGTCAGTTTGGTATCTATAGTTATAAGAAGCGTATTTGTTGATTATAAATCTAGGTTAATTAGCTAGAAACGTAGGTGACTAGGATCGATGAATTTCGAAGTATTTTATTGGCAAGTTTCATTTTTCTCACATGGTGAGAAGACCGCTGAGTGGCATCGTGCGCCAGTCCTTCGAGTAGAATCCAAGTGAGGAATGGGGACTTTGGCGTCTGAGAATGACACGGAGGAGATGAGAGCTTATGGGCAATGGTGGAGCCACCTAAAGAGGACAGCAGGAGAACAGGATGAGACAGAAACGTGCTGCTGAAGCCCTATTCTGCACTCAGAATCCAAAGGAATAATAATAATCCCATTCATTTGGGATCTTCTTGCTGTGCATTGTGCAGCAGTTGGGTACTTTCCCCTTTGAAACCAGATTTGTTGCATGTTATTGTGGTTTACTGATTTCTGGAATTTATTTCCAGCCGTTGCGTCGCAGGTGTCAGTTTATCTTTTTCTAGCTTCGCTAACACGTAGAAATAATTACAGCTTATGACTATTTCTGTGTATTTATGTATAGTTAATGTGTTTCATGTGGTAGTGTTACGTTCTATTTTCATGATTTCTTTCAGGGTTCATCCGTCTCACTTCGGTTTTCTATACCTGAAACTAGCACATTACATTATTTGATACAAGAGCTTCACAATCGTTTGAAATTTGTAAATGGTCGTGGTCAACTCCAAAAGTCATCACCATTTCATTCTAGTATTCAAGAGATGAAATTGTATAACTCAGAATCTAAAACGTAAGATAATTTATTGCGCTCAATTCAGGATCTAATTTACATTAAAAGTTTCACTTGAACATGCATATCTCATAATGCGGTTCTCTCCTCTTCATATTTAGCATAAACAGTCTCATTTTAAATCATTTGTTTAACAGGCTTCTAGATTTTGTGGCAACTAAAACCGATGTGTTGTGGTCTGAACGCTGGAAATCAGTCCTCGCATCCTACTGCCGTATAGCTAACCGAAATTTCTTTGAGTGACTCACAGTCTCAAAGTGCCCCTTACGATAGCAAAAAGACGGTTCCTTGCGACAAAATCTGTGCTACTATTTAACAATAATAACGTATCAGAAACTCAAAATTACCTCAACAATGCCGTTAGGCAGCTATACAGATCAGAGAATTCTTCAGAACAAAACAAATACAGTAAAACAAAATTACTTAACCAAAATCAACCGTAAGAAATACCTGAGGATCAGGTACGATATTCCCAGCAAAGGGGGAATCAAAATTCTGTCAGCTAGAATCTCGTACCAAACACTTTCAGCAGACAGTCCAAAGTCGGAATCCTCATGGCCAACTCTGACTTCATTCAAACAAAATCCTAATCGTAAAACAACACATTATTAACACTATCACATAACCTCAAAGAGAAGCGTCTAAATTAGGGATTACACAAATATAATGACATATAATGAGGATTAAGTCAATAGGTAATATGCAAACGTTAGAACAGTGATGTACCGCTTAGAAAGAAAGAGTAAAATAATTACAAAGTCAGTCAAAATATCCATATAAGTATCAATATTGTAATTAGATTGTTCAGGAGGGATTTTCCAAACAATTATTTTCTACACATTCTTTTTACCAACCAATAACAACCAAAAAAACTGTTGAAAACTAATATTTCCTTATTAGACGTTTCATTCTAGTTCAGCAGTCTGTTGCAAGGTACATCCACGGTCTTTCTCTCTCTACATATATATATATATATATATATATATATATATATATATATATATATATATATAATTGAGCCATTCAAATCAATTGGAGTGATTTGTATGGGCTGATATCTATTTCGAGATAGTTCCTAGACAATTAACTGTTTTACATAAATACTTTGGAAAGTAGTAAAGATATTTAGACTGATCATCCCTTTCAAATGCTTTGGATATTGTAGATCGTGAATATCTAAAGTTCTATCAAATCAAATTGTTTATTTGTGTAAAACTGATATGCATCAACTTCTGAAAGTTGACATGTATTTCGAACTTTTCCATCCACATTTTATGTCTGTAAGTAAATAAGTGGCACTCCTGCAATCGAAGATAAAGATTACTGTTCAGATTTATAGACAATTAGGTAGGGAACACTTTTGTCAAACCCAATCATCTACAGTTTTCACGATATTTTGCCTTCATCTAACACTTTTGTGCTCCTTTGTTGATGTAAGAAATCCTTTAGTATTCTTTGTATCTTTTTATTTCCAGAATTAATCTTCAATGGTTTGATTGTGGTTGGGCACCTCGTATCAGTCTTCGAATTGCCTATGTCTATCATCCATCACCATGGGTATCTGAGTATTGGCGTTTTCTTCCACCTGACTTCAAGATGACTGTACCCTCTTCTAAAGGTTCATGTTCAACTAGTCCATCTTATCAAAGCAGCAGTCGTAAACTATGCGGATCAAAACACACAAATGTTTTAAACCAACGAAGCACGGAACTATCTAGTCAAGTGAGTGTTGTGTTTATTTCCCACTGCGGATATATGAAATTTTCTGTTTTTACATTGAATGAAAACCTTCAGCGTAACCAGTCTTTCAACTTTGACGTCATAAAGACCAACTCATTCTTTGAAACATATGGTACAATATAAACATGCTTGATAAACTCGTTAGGTTTTATTGCTGTACTCTGTTCAGTTAATGCTTATGGGGAAAGTGATTACCCCTAAAGAATGCATAATTAAAAATCTTGTATATGATTTCCCAGTACTAAAGATAAATCGGTTCTTTTCATTAAAAAGTTAATTAGTAAAATTTTATACTTGTTGATAATTTCTTTATATTAAATATTCCCATAGTAAAATTTAGAACAACACATTTAAGCGAACAATATTGTTTTCAATTAGATCTCATCAGGCTTAACTCTAATATATATAAGTTTACAAATAAAAATTCAAATATAAACCAATCATGGTGTTTTGTCTATAGGGTAATAAGATGGTGAATATAAATTGGGAAATTAGTCATAATAGTAGTAATGATAATAATAATAGTAATAATAAAAATGGTCTTATCAATAATAAGGATGAAAAAGTGAGGCAATCTGTGATAACACGAATAATGAACAACAGCATGATTAAACAAACAACTGTTCGGGTGGAAGTAGTCGATAAAGGCTAGTAAAAACAAATGAACCGATTAAGTAATGTTAGATTGTAAGGGAAGGAAATGAAACACGTTTATAATGAGGATAAGATTAAGGGATGATAAGAAAGGGTTTGAAAATATAAACAAAGGGTGGTGTAGAAGTCATTAGTTGGTTATGTCTTAATAGGCCAAGGGAGGGATAATGGCTGTACGAACTTTTTTTTGAATACATAGTTTAGGTTTAATAGTTCGAATGCCTATCGCCTCAGCTGTGTGTAGTAGACGAATACGAAGTCTATTGGAAAGATTCGGTGGGATACGATGAGTCACTTTGAAGGCTCTCGTTTTCTCGATTACATGACCACTATCAATTAAGTGTGACAAAATTGAGCTAAGGATTGTTTTTGTCTGTCCTTTGCCAAACCACGATGGGAGATGTTCACTAACACGCTCAATATAACTGTCACCGCAGGTGCAGTTGAATTGATAAATGCATATAGATGTGGCAAAACTATCAAGCTTATCCTTCGTTTGCGTCCCAATCATTCGTCGGCTAGAGAATGACAAACATAGGTGTGCTGCATAAAATGTCCTTCGTATACTCCTTGAAAGTCTCTGGAATAGAATCTCACTTGATAAGTCACCATTAAATTGTAACTTAATAAATAGAGGTTTCTTACATGCAGTCAGAGTTTCCGGTTTTTTCTCCTTTTTTAAAATATTTATTTCTAATGAATTACTATCCACTGTGAACTAATTTCTATTCACATTAAAATTTTCTATCTTACAGACAGACTTAGAGGAGTCAGCACTTCAAAAACTTCGACCAGAAGGTAGTCATACACAAGGTCCTACAGAAAATGATATACTACAGAGTAAATGTGATGTTTTCTCTTCTCTAGAACCAGATACAGTCGATTTACACTTGCATATTCCATCTGCACAATTACTCTTCTATGGAACATTACTTCGACATTTCATTCATGTGAAAGTTAGTTAATAAATAATTTGTTTTTTTTAAATTTAAAAATGTATATGAAGATTTTCTTTCAGTTCATTAAATTCGGTTATTATTATTATTATTGATTTAGGACAGTCATTGCTGCATTGATCAGACTTTCACTTTTCTGTCCGTACTGGAATATCCACTTACTGGTATCCCACACTTGGCATTCTTCTGGATCTAAGGCCAAAATCTGATTGCGTTTCTCGAATGGTGTAGTGGCGACGTTTGAACTTTGAACAGAGTACCGAGATTGTATTTTATGCTAATCGACGCATTCCATTCAGACTCATGTAGCCGTATGGAAGCTTATTTGAATTAACATCCTAAGTGACAGCATGTAGGAGTGTCCATCAGCGATGCTGAATTTCATAGCTCTTGATTAATTTACTGTAGACGTAGTATTATTTATTTTATTTATTTATTTTTATTGTAGCTTGACTCCACACAGTATTTTTGATACAAGTATAGAATTTTCAGCATGTGATATCGGTAGCCCAAATTTAGCAGACCGACCATTGGTATCAGGTGTGCGTCGGCCGGGGATCGAACCCCGGACCATGTGCATGGTCGGCGAGTGTCCTAACCTTTTAGAAACTGGCTTGTTTTATTTATAGTGAACTATGAAACTTTTTCAAAGTATGAATGTGCTAATGTCTTTGCTTTCTCGGCAAAATTTTAAACTTGAACTTTTCATTTCTGTCACTTAGGAAAACTATTTTGGATGTCATCAGATACCTGTTAGTTTTGATCGAGAACCTCTCCAACCAGAAGAAAGCACATCGCTTACTGATGATGATTTGATTCGATTGAAATCTCAAGCAAAGCCTCCTGATAAAGATGAAGATTTAAGTAAAGTTAATAAACTTCCTGAGAAGCGTATCATAGATCCAAGAGATTGTCGTCCTTTATCTGTGCGCGTTTCACTTGAATTTCATAACGTTCAGGCACATCTGCCTATGGTGAGTGCGTATCTGTAATTGTGAAACCTTTTTGTTGTTATTTTTTACTTAATTATAATGAGCCTTCCACCATAATGGAGGTTTTGAGGCAACATTATATGACACACAGGGGATGATGCCTCAATCTGCATATCCCTCGACTTACTTAAAAGCAGCATTGAGTGTTCATTCATTCATTACACTTCGCAATGTATTTTTTAAATTGTTATAGGAAGTTTATTAATGATCAGATGTAGTGAAAAAATGCAACGTGCATTTTTTTTCAACACAGCCAGCTAGCGTGCTAGAGATTTTTTTAACGATTTCATTTTCTAACAACAATTAACGTACTGGTAAGAAAGATTGTATCGGATTTGTAATGAATAAACAATTTGAAACAATTAATTATCTTTATGAATTTCAACAAAACAATAAGAAGACGAAAGTTACTGATAGTAATAAATCAAATCAATAAAATCAAGGAATGAGAAATAGTGGAAGTATATGAAAAAGTTTTTAAACTTATGTCAGTGTCTTAACACGATTATGAGCAATAAACTGTGCTCGAAACGTCGTCAATATCACTGTTTTTTTACCAAATAAAATTATTCCAGAAGTAATTTAGTGGACTGTGAGTAGCAGTGGAATCCAGGATGTGCATTTCGTCCTATTTGGGACTCGTCATCTGGATGTACCTGCGTTCCCCGGTGATTGATGGTATTTCCACTGAGGGTCGAACCCAATACCTATCGTTTCAAACTCCAAAGCGTTATCCACTAGACCACCTGGGCGACGAGTGGTCTAATGACGAAATGCGCATCCTGGATTCCACTGAGAGTCACCATCCACCAAACTGCTTCAAGTTAAATCCTCAGGCATCGTCGAAGTGTCCGCAAAAGGAGCCTACATGTCAACAGAGGCTGAACACTTCGGTTCAATCAATCAACGAGAAAGACCAAATTGAATTAAATAAAAATTATCTTATGATGGAATTATACTCTACTTCAGAGCCTATATTCTATTCTTATATCAATGTAACGGAGCATGAAGGATCAAAATGTTATCAATATAGGTCACGATCACAGACAAGGGGTAGGGAAATGAGGTAAGAGAAAGAGAGGAGCGCTGAAAATATTATTAAGTAAAATAAACCTAGGTCATAGTGATAACGAATAATTTTTGAGCACAAAACAGCTTTAAGCTTTTTCATGACTAAGGCTTCAAGTATATAACCCAAACCTGTTTATATATAAGTTTAAAGGTGTTATTGAGATAAATTTTATGACCCATGTCTATGATGTGAATAGTGACAGATGACGTTGGTCATCTATTTCAATGGTTAATTGAATCAGGCGATTTTACTTGTTATTGCAGCCGCTTAGGAATGTATTCTGTAACCCTGACCTACAGAGACTGATGAATGTTCTCTATGTACACGTAAATTGGTAAACACAGTGGAACGTAGCATTATCGTTCAGATGCTGTAAAGGTTCACAGCACAACACAAATTTCTTTCTGTCTATAAAAATGAGTTAAGCTGCATAGTATGTTCTGTTGAATGCCGCTTTTTCTCTTCGTTTAGTGATCACACATTGATGATCGCTCTTGAACGGCAAAGATAATATAAACATCCTTTTTGAGAGCTGATTATTGGATTAGTGGAAACCTTTCGTTCGACACTTCTGTAGCGTCCAATCAATTTCAGAATATAGTTATTGTCTACTAATATTTTAGTGAGATTCTACATTTCTTCTTCGATGGTGTGCTTTGTACATGTATGTTGAATACATCTGAACAATGAATAAACCATTAGTTGTGAATTGTTCTACTCGCTAACGTCAGATATTTCGATGCCAAGGATGATCATGCTTCATTATGCATCCATATTTGATTCCGTATATTTTTCTATCACAAACGTGTCCAATAGAAAGGGAGATAAACAATGTAGTACCTAAACACAAATAGAAAATTAAGTTTCAGTATTCGAACAAAACATGCGTCTGTGGTTCAGTGGTAGAGCACTCGCCGGGTTCAATCCCCGGCTGACGCACTCCTTTATCTCGCTAAGCCGGTAGTAAGGCCGGTAAAGAGGGAAGGTTGGATGTGAGGCTAGCAACCTTACTCCGTAAAAAAACCACTGCTACTGAAACTTCAAAGCTCTAGCTTGAAGCCCTATGCTCCACTTGAAACATAAAGGAATAAAATAAATTCGAACAAAACAAGATGATAAAAAGAGAGAATTAATAACGCACTACTATTACTAAGATTTACTTTTTATATGTTCAGTGCATTTATAATGGCTTTCTAATTTTTTCTTCCAGCATGGTTCATCTAATGAGTCGCCCTGTCCAACAGCTTTTCTAGATTGTGTTGGCTTTGAAATGGATAAACGCTGGCATGAGACAAAGCTCCAGTTACTCTTCTCACCAATTTTAATATGTTTTTATGATCAAAATAAGGTAAAATTTAGTAAATATTAGATTCATATTCCATTTATCTTTTATTCCTTTTGAATCATTTTACCCATGACTTTTTAAGTATAAGTGTCCCTTTTATTCAAAGAAGCGGAGGTTTTCCGTAAAAGGCTATCATTTGAATTGCATATTTTTCAATGATCCATTAGCAAGTGTTTTTATTCACTAAGTTTAAGAAAACTATATACTATATGAAAGAAGACTCTACTGTGAGATTGTTTATTCTTCTGTGCATTTTGAAAGTTCGTCCAACAATTTGCTACGTAGTATTGTTGGATGGTTGTGTTGAGCTGTGGCTCATTGGTCTAGGCGCTTGACTTCCAATCAGTGGGTCACAGGTTCGTACCCTGCTCCACCTACCGAGGTTAAAGCAGCCAAGTAGTAGTATAACTAGCCCTCACACAATAGGTGTGGCTCATCGTTTTATCTTGATTCATCTGTTGGATTTACATATTTACTTCTCTTCAAGCATTCAAACAAAACCAGAGGGAGTGGATCTGAAAATGCCGTCCATGTTTTTGTGTTGTATCATTCTCAATTTAGAAGTGACAGATTTCTGACTACGAATGAATGACTTTATTTTTTGGAACGAATTCTGTTATCCACAACTTGACATTTCTCGTTCAGTTCTGTCTTTCGATTGAAATGCATCATGATTTTCGGTGTGCTCGGTGGATAGCGGTCAGGACGCTCGCCGACCATGAACATGGTCCGGGGTTCGATCCCCGGCCGGCGCACTCCTTTACTTCGCTAAGCCAGAACTAAAGCTGGTGAAGAGGAAAGGTTGGGCATGAGGCTAGCAACCCCATCCTGTAAAATAAACACTGCTACAGGAACTTCAAGTCACAAGCTTGAAGTACTATGTTCCACTGGGAACGTGAAGGAATAAAAAAATGTTTTTCGGTGAACAGATACGGAATCATAATAATTTGCCCTCTGAGTTTCCTCTCTTCTGATTGTAGATTTGAAGGGAAACCAGCGAATTTTGAATAGGATAAAAATTACTTGACAAAAGGACAGAATTATGTAGCTTTCATTATATTGAGAAATATGTATATTTTGATTAGCTAAAACGATGTTATTTTGTTTTGTTTCTCCAGGATTTTCGTTCAAAGTCAACCTCAAACATTTCTTCCAGTCGTATTCAGCTTGTTGGTTTGCAACTGCGTGGTCAAGGGATGTTTAGTCATGTTGACTTACCTATCCGAGCAGAGTCTTTGGAGTATGCGTGGTTATTAGAACTAACTGTTGGCCAGCTTACTGGACAGTTGTCTGCTCCAAAAATGGCATGTCTAGTTCAATGTGTAAAAGAATTTTTATTCTCTGCAGTAGATTCTGAAAATCAGCTCACATCTTCAAGGGCATTCGAACTTTGTCAGCATGGTCGTCCACAGGTATGTAGAGAAGCCTTTGAAAGTGTAAAATTTAAAGAGTGATATGAAATAAAATTCTATCTGACATTATATTTGATACTAGAAAAATTGTAATACTCATGGGAAATATCAAGATTAGCTAGGAAATTTACCTTTAAGTCAATGAGATACACACAGATCTAACATCTGAATTTAAGACGGATTTCCCAAAGTCCAAATGAAAATCTGTGATCATTGGAGTCCATCAGGCCGCTTTTATGGACAGACGCTCACCGATAATATTGTATGGCAATGGTGTCACATTACGAATCAAAAGAATTTGAAAACCATAGGCTATTGATCCTCTGGGATTTATTTGAATGGGAGCGAAACAGCTGCCACCACTCCCGCATTACCTCTGTATTGTGTTCATAAAATGTTTCTATAATCGGCAATGTCAATGCTGGTGAACACTAAATCGTTTGTTTGTTCGAACTGGTCTCCATATTGGCGGGAGACAAGAAGGCTGTTATTGCTTAATCGTGTACTGGTTGGTAGAAGATTGGAGAAATATAATCAGAAGTACTGTTGTACATTATATTAACGTTTATTTACAGACTTTGGCACTGATTAACCATTGTAAATATGTTTCATTATTGCTTGAAGAATAAACAGTCGTGTTGCCCAACCGTTTTCTGTTGTTCTGCGTCGGTTACAATGCATAGTGTTATGCTTATTAGACTTAGTTTCCTGAAACCAGCGATAAGTTCAGGATCTCTGAGATTTGGATATTCGATAGGCAACATTCTTAATTATTTAGTATTGGGTAAAAAATTTCATTTTATTTAATTCCCTAAAATTATGTTAGCAGATGAGGTAGCACTTGTGCATTTGTCAGTGATTGCATTATTGTGACTCTAAATCGTATCACCTATGGTTTATTTTGATTAGAAAATCTTCTTATTGTAATACGTACTTTTTAAAAAGAGTTTCATTAATTTCTAAATTGTATATTTTAGCAACTTTGTCCATTTTGGTCTAAAATCTGTCCTATCACTTTATGTCCAAGTGATATGCAACTGAAATATCGAATGTTTCGTCTAACTGTTGATGCTATTGATTTGAGTATTGTGGAGAATCGAAACTGCTTATGCATTCAATGCGATCCAATTCGTTTAGCTCATTGTAACAGACATGGAGCTACTCATTGTGATGGAATGTTTGTGTTAGTTCCTGATGTAAGATTAATACAGTTCGTCGCACCATTAGGTAAGTTAATATACCATTGTATTAAACATGTTATCAAAATATTTTTTTCTAAAATGAAAATGTGATGTTCTGACCATTTGCAGTGTGTTTTGTGTGTGTGAGGCTTTTTTTGAATCAATAACTTTTTCGTTATCGTAGTCATCTTCCCTGTCATTGATATACTCTTTTCTTATTTCAAAGAAGCAGTATGTATTTAACATGCTGTGTATCTTGAGGCGCCTCTATTTGTAAAGACGAATAAGTTCTCCAGTTTTATGTAACAGTACTCATATTTCAAGTAGAAAATCCATCAATTTATGATATTTTCGTTCACATGAAAAAGTTCAGAAAAGTGTTTAAGTATGGTGTTTTTAATTGTCTTCATCTTGCCTAAGTTGATGTTGTTCGAGGCAGAGCTTTCAATGAAGGTTAAGACCAGTGTTAAGACCGTCTACATGAAGTTTCATTGTACGTATGAGATGACGACTAAAATGTCATTGAAAGCTCTATATCAAACAGCAGGAGCAGCAGCAGTGTTTTAGAAACAGTTACAGTTTCAAATGTATTGTTGTCTATTGTGGCATACCAGATTTTTCGCATCTTTGTTTAACTCTTATTAATCGATTATCAAAGTATATTTTTTCCCTTAGATTTTAATGATTTTGATAGACTTTTATCTAATTATTCAATTTCTCTCATCCATCCATCCTATTCTATTCATTTATGTTTTAAATTTTTTCTCTGCTGTTACAAAGATTGACACATTAGGCTGTTGAACTTCTTTGTAGGATTCAACGTTGCCCTTATGTTTTCATTTGTCCCCTCTATCATTGTGATTACCTCTCATTCTAAGGCTAAATTCACAGTGAATTTTCGATATAATAAACTTTCACAGCAGTTACAATGCTACGCAACCAGCTGGTAGTATGCTTCCTTCAAAACTGTACTATTATTCATTACTTTATGTGGAAGTAATCTTATGATTTTTACTCCTTATAAAAATGATTATTTAGTATTTTTAGCCTAAATAAATGTGTGACTGTATTAAAAATGTTGCATTATCGAAGTCATGCACTAGTATATTACAATTCTGAGTCATTTCAAGCTAAAAAGTAATCTATTATATATATATATATATATATATATATATATATATATATATATATATATATAGCATGCCAGAGTGAAGCTTGACAAGAAGGGTCTGCTTAAAAATGATACATACCACGTGTTAATTTTTAGCTAATTTATTACTGCTTTTTGTTTAAGAGATCAGTCTTCCTTAGAACCTCCATGCAGTCAGATGAGAATAGTTGTTTCAAACTAACTTCACAAAAAAATTTATTGTCAAGTTTATTAAGGAATGTAAACGCTTTTCATATCTCAAGCTTGATCAGTATCAGTTAAAAGACCATTAAAAATAAGAGAGTACTGAAAAGTTGTTTCATCCTAGTTTGGGACTCTTCAGGTGTACTCACCCGTGACTCCATTGTGTGTCGGACCCAGGATTTCCAGACTTTGATGCAAATCTGTTAAGCGTTCGCCGACTAGGGTAGAATGAAATAGTACATGGATTCCACATTTTGCCAACTGGCGATATATAGCGCTAAATCCAACCAATTTCATCGGCTGTTTTATCTGTCTTCAAACTTGAAATGAGTGAAAACCCTGCAAAATGGCTCTTAAGAACTTTTCATATTTGTTGATAATATTGGTGAACAAGTTGATGGTGACTCCCTGTAGTAGCATTAATCATTACTCAACCTCAGCTGTTTTTTCTTCTCCTTGTTTAATTGGAAATATTTATTTGTATTTATCCAGAGATATTACAGCATACTTTTATTTGTCGAAACAGCTCAGTACTTATTCTTGTTCAATGTCTGACTGCTAAACATTCTTTTTTCTATAGCTTCTGAAGTTAAAGATCAATCTAATTCCAACAATCATTGTGTAAATACTAAACAAATCGGAGATTCAGTACTATGGTTTGAAGCTGGTTCATTCTCTCTTGGTCCAGTTCATGTTAATCTTTCTAGATCACCAGAAAAACGTGATCATCTTAACTGGCAATCAGAATTTCTTAAACTTCATGATTTAACAACAAAACGTTTATCATTTCTTTGGTCTGATAATAATAATAATGATGTAATCAGTGGTACAATTCGTAATGCTAGTTTAAATTCACGTCATACTACAAAATCATTTGATTTATTCTCTACTGGTGATAGTAAACTGATTATGAAAAGGCCTTTACCAGGTTATGTAGCTCCTGATATAATGCCAAATTGTGGATGTTATGGTCAGTGTTCATTTTTTGGACAAAATGAAAGTGGTCGAAGTTTATTTAATGAATTATTAACTGGAGATTTTCAACAGCGTACTGTATTCCCATCCAGGACAGACTATAAGCCTGATTTATTTATACCAATCATTAATAATAACAATAACAATTATAATAAGAATGAAAATCATTCAGCTTCTGTACTCAATCCACTTACTACTAATCCGTGAGTTTTATAATTTGTTTAATGATATGATTTATAGTATTAATTATGTGATAGGAAATTATTATTCCTATTAATGTATCCATTTCCTAGTGTCTTTTATTTGGGAGAAAATGAAATTGCAATTACATTTATCGCCTATGAATGTGCCTCTACTACAAGTAGTTAATTCGTTCAAATACACCAGCTTAAAGTAAATCAATGTTGGTGAATGTTTCACGATTGAACTTGTTTCTTTGAGGGTTAATTGTAGTAGGATTTTCATCGGGTTATGTATAGTCTGTCAGACAGTTGTACATCACCTTATAGGAAAGGTGATGACTTTGAGTTTAACTAATGTGATTTGTATTGCTTCACATGGACCCTTTAGATATTTCAGTGACATATCAGTGATCATGTGATAAGAAAGTCTTGTACAGAAACACCCTTAGGTAGAGTGAGAACATACAATTGGCTATCACCACTGTTCTCAACTAACAGAGGGGTTTGACAGGATTGTCCAATCCCACCATTCCTCTTTAATTTTGCTATTGACAACACTCCGGAGGCAGCTCTGAAGGACATGCATGGTGGTGGTGTAGATCTGCTTCCTGGAAAGAGACATTCTGACTTCGAGCATGGAACGATATCGTGTTACTATGTGGTGGCTAGCAGGCTACCTATGTCGCACCTTATCAGTTAGTGATCAATATCTTTAAGTATGGTATGTGCTTTGCGCCGTCTAAATGCAAAGTATTGTTGCGAGATTAGCAGTAGCTTGTACCTGCACTCACCCTTGCAGGTGAATCGCTCGCAGTTGTTGACAAGTTTGTGTAATTAGGTAGCTGTGTGAATGCTGGATGTGTGATGGATGAAATCTCTAACCATATAGCGTAAGCCAGCGTGTCATACGTCAACTTGGGCCATTTGCTATGCCGTTATGACGGTAGCCAGCCCGTTACAGGTAGCGTTTACAATGCTTCAGAGCGTGCAGTCTTGCTCTACCTCTGTCTGTGAGGACTGGCCTCTTTAGACTAGTGAGATACAGCGACTCTGTGTTTCTGACAATTACTACATCCGTAGGGTTACGTCCGATGGCATCATCGTGTAAGTAATTCTGAAGTCTGGTAGCGCGTGTTTGGACATGGTGGAGGTCATCTTTCATTGGGCCTAGTCACAATCATCTAGCTTCGGTGACTTGAACATATGCTACGAATGTCACCCCAGGGTCTCCCATATTGCTCGCTGTTCGCTAGCCGTGGGAGCGGATGAAAAAATCAGAGGTGGTCAGCCTATGATGAAAAATAATAATGATACAAGCGTCCCAGTGATGCATCAGAGAGTAAATAGGATATATGTGTGATTTCATTGTTTGTCTTATTTCTATCTAGTTTACTTTTTATTTCAGGCAAATATCCACGTCAAAAGATAACGAATGCAGTCCTAAAAGTTTGGGATTTGGAGAAAGTCTTTTATTGCCTAATTGTTTACTCCATGAGCTTCATTCACCTCATGAATGTCGAGAGAGGTATAATGGTTTATTGCTTATGAGGGAAGAGATTATTTTGGCATATCTTGAGGCTAGTAATCAAAAAGGTGTAAGTTTCTCAAAGGATTTTTTTTCTTCAAAATACAATATATTTAACTCATGTTTCATACGATACTTTTATCAAAGAAAACAGATGTCTTTCTATATACCCTTCACATCATTCATTTCCACTGATGCAAATTCACTCCGTTTAGATTGTAGGGCTTAAATTTATCTAAGACACTGAGAATCCTGTCAAAGAATTGTTTTTCATTCACAGTAATCAAATATATCATGGCGAGGATATATCCTGCTCGGTTCTTCTGTACATGCATATTTTTTTATCCTTCACGTTCCCCAATGGAACATAGGGCTTCAAGCTAGTAGCTTGAAGTTTCTGTAGAAGTGTTTATTTTACAGGATGGGGTTGCTAGCCTCATTCCCAACCTTTCCTCTTCACCAGCATTATTTCTGGCTTAGCGAGTTAAAGGAGCGCGTCTGTGGCCGGGGATCGAACCCCGGACCGTGTGCACGGTTGGCGAGCGTCCTAACCGCTATGCCACCGACTTAGACATGCATATTTAATCCATATGAAAAGACGATTTCATTTCCATGGTAACAGTCAGTGTTTTAATGGTCATGTCACTAACTTCAGATAGATATTTTTTATTAAATCTACCGGCGGAGATGTAGTTGATTGACTTAAGTCAGTGGGTCTGAGGTATTATCATCAAAGCCCGGTACCAGGTAACTGAATTTCGACTAACTAAACAACTTTTTCTAGTGCATTCAATGCAACAGAATCGAAAATTTTATGAGCATAACATACAATTTATTAGCTTTTTATATTTCCTTTCTTATTTTGTGCAGATGGACTGGAGCTTATTGCATTTTTGTGAAGATGAAGACCAATCTGATACAGATTCAACTAAAAGCTCAGATAGTCTGGGAACATATGCATCTTTTGATAGTTGCAGTAAGCTGGAACACCTTATTGAACATGATTCTGATGCGTCTGATATGGATTTATCTTTAAAAGATTTGAAAAATCCTTTCAAAGATACATTGATACTTTCTGATCCTACGGAGAAGAAAAAGACTAAAGGTTCTTGGCCAGAACTCAATGTCTCTCAACACACAAAGCCTTCATCTCTATCTGATCTTTTGGTGCCTGTAGCTACTGATGATTCAAAAGAAACTACTAATGTGGATAAAAACAATGATTTACCAGAAGGTAATTACCATCCTTTTTGTTTCTTATTTCCTACACAACAAAATCATACTTTTTTATAGTTGGTTTGTAAGAATTAGATTTGTTTTTACGAGTTGATCAAGGATTGACATCAGTAAGAGAACCACTAGAATACCAGGGAGTACTGGACAGCTGTTTCATCCTAGTTTGGGAATCATCATCAGTACGCATCCACTGTCAGGGTTCGAACCCAGGACCTTCCGCCACTGGAACACGATTCAATGGCCAGCCCATGAATTCTAACTTCTACCAATTCGTGATTTAGCGCGACCACCAACCAATGTCATCGGTGGGACATCCATCATGGACCACTGAATTGGGTCCCAGTGGCTGAATGGTATACGAGTTTGCTTTTAACCCCAGTGGGTGCGTACTGCCGATGATTCCCAAAAAACTAGGATGAAACAGCTCTCCAGTACTCCCTGGTTTTCTAGTGGTTCTCTAACTGATATCAATCCGTGATCAACTAGTAAAAAAATCATATTTTTCTACGATAAAACTGGAAGAAGATATTATCTTTTTAGAATTTAACTTCTGTATACTTTATCGTTTATTCTCTGATGTATTCCATAACGGGAAAGAAATTCTTGTGCGTGGAAATGTTTCAGCTTTTCGCCATTTCCATAATGTGTAAAGACGTAGTGTTAATTAGCTTCTCAGGACATTTAAGTCATTGGGTCAAGCATTCAACTTGTAACCGCTGGTCTTTCTGTTTCAGCCTTCTTTTTGAGACCAGTAGTAGTATCATAGGCTCTCGAATACTGGATGTAGCTCACTACTTAGTTTATGAAAATATCCGTAGCATACAGCTAAGTTGCACCAGTTATTTATTTAAGATAGACAGTCACTAAGTAATTGTAGTAAAACTGGCATTCAATTCTTAAGGAAAATGAACTCGACAGTGAAAATTCATAAATTCATACGTAAAATAAGTAACTCGCAGTTGATAAAATTTTTCCAAATGTATCTCTCATCTGATCAAATTAAGCTAATTTCCCTTCTTTATAATAATAATTCATATTTTATTCTATCATTCATTTTTAGTTACTTCACTTCATTCACCTACAAATGTTAAAAGTGTAACAAAGAAACTAAGTTATCTTCCGTCTAATTTGTCATTGAATAGTCTCATTGAATTGCCTGCCCATTCAGACACATCATCTAGTTCATCAGGTAGTATATTAGTTCCATCTAATGTTGTTGGTCAACCAAACATAGAAAATATTCCCCCTGTTCTATCCAATGTTAAAACATCACCTAGTGTGAAATCACCGCCTACTCCACCACCAAGAAAATTTGTCAAAGAACACTATGCTGGTGATGCAAGACAAAATGAACTACACGACTCTGAGAAGTTAGTTCAAGATAAAGAATTGAATATTGGTCCTAGAAGTTTAGATGGTGATAAAAAGGAATATAATGATGTCTTTGAAAATTTCGTCGGTAAGCGAAACCTTCAATTCTTCTTATTTTTTTTTCTGAGGTATTTTCTTTCTGTGCGTTGAAGTTTCTGTAGCGATTGAGTTGACTATCCAAAGTAGGATCACTAACCTCACGCTCAACCTTCTCTCTTTTTCTGGGCATACGGCTGGTTAGTAAACCAGGTGGGGCTGTTGAAGCTCTATGTTCCACTCGGAAACTAAGGGAATAATAATAACCATTATTTTTTCTTGTCAGTCAATTCAGTGTGATTATTTTAAACTCTAGTAATAATCAAGCATATCCGTATAGTAAAGAAAATGTAAAAAGGTTAAGGCTTACTTGAACATTGTCAATTCGAAACCCATTTTTGCAGATGGATAGTGTTTTTAACATACTACTTACTGTGTGTGTGTGAACAATTCAAGTCTAATATTGACAGTTTGAAAATCTATGCTTGTTTCTAGAGTTAATCTTTTAAATAGTTATTCGTTAGTTTTGGCGAAGCGCTTTTGTTTCAGGCATAGTGCATTGTATGTGTGTGCCATTGAAACTCTTTGTCGTGGAATCTTGATGAAACAGTGAACCTACGATATATTCTGTCAACATCATACATTACAAATAGAGTTTTTATATGAAGGAGATTAATAATAGTTTTCTTATTCATTTATTTGTTATATTCTCACATTGTTTGTATATTTATTTCTTTTATTGAAACAAATTTAAACCTGCTTTTTTCACAATTGTTGTTTGCTTTAAATTTACTCTGGGAAGCCCGCAACGGGTTGATCGCTGAGTAAATCTCAGCACAGATACAGAAGGCTCGTTTGGCACACGCCAACTTACGCCATCTCTGGCTTAGTAGACGTTATATCCAGCTGTCGATTAAAGGATATTTGTACTACTCATTAGTTTGCTCCGTCCTCCTTTATGGCTAGCTGTGAGACATGGCCATTGTAAGTGGAAGACATGAAAAGGGTGGTTAACTGTCTTTGATCATAGGTGTCTGCATTCTATCTCCCGTGTTAGGTGGTAGGTAGGCATGTGTTACTCATGCATCCCTAGCCATCGCCTTCCTCGACAATGTGCAATTTTGGCTGAAATGGGATGGATCAGGTTGTAAAAGAGCCAGTGGTGGTCAAACCAAAACATGGTTTCATCAGTCAATGAAATCCATAACAGTTAGTTTAAGCCAGCCAGCCACGTAGGAGGTGTAGACTTCCTGACCGGTTGGGGTCCTCGAGATGGTAAAAATCAATGAAGGCTAGAGACAATTGGTAATATTGCTCAAAATCGTTCTCAATGGCTGGCGCAGATGCATCCACTCTTTGTGATTTATAATATCCAATAAAATTCTGTTGTTCTTCCATATTACTCTTCTTTTTGCCTTATATCTCTGTTTACTGTCTCTATTTTCAATTTTTCTTTACTCTCTTGCTTTGTGTGCTACATGGAGGGAGTGTGGCAACTTGAACTGCTGCACATCTGTGCAAAGTTCTATGTTGAAACCAGTCAGACAGTCACTATGGGAAGGAAATATTTTCAAAATTTAAAGAAGGCGGGAATTATCCATCTGTTGTTAGTATACTTTGGTTTTTAATTTAGTGACAAGTCAGTACTTTTCAAAACCATGTTTCTCTGTCTCATGTATCAGTAAACTATTGTGAAAACTTATTAAAATATCATTGTTGAGATCTATATATTGCACAGAGTTATTCGTCGTAATAAATAAATATCGTATTGGTTATTCTCATTTAGTGTGTGTAACTTACACATTTCCTTTTACTGTTCACTGTTTATTATATATTTTTCATATGAATGTTTGTCTATTTCAGATCTTAGAACTCAACTAAATCGACCAATAAGTGAAAGTGGTCTTTTACGTCCAGCCTATGGTCGACATTTAAACGCCTACAAGTGTGTTGCAGGTTTAACTTGCCCATCGAATCTTCGAAATCGTTGGCGTGTTTGTAAACATATACATCCTGGCAACACTTGCCAGCGCTCACTAGACAATCTTTTAAATGCTGATAAAAATACATATTGTAGTCAGTTAAAGTCTCCACGTCATCAAAATATGACTGCTTTTAATCTACTTCGTCAATGCCAACCTAAGGTTGCTATAGCTCCACGCTTTCAAATTCGACATACCGGTTTCTCACCTCAATCGATTACAGTTCGTTCAAATTCAATACCATCGCGTACTGATGTTCCTTCACCGAATCCTGCAGCTGTCGTTAACGATGAATCCAATTGTAAGCTTATTTTGATATCTGCGCTATCAGTTTTACGCTTCATCACTTTTGAAAGAAGTAGTCATTGAAATGCTTTTTAAAGAATCAGCTAAAATTTGCTGGTCTTATATTTATAAACTTCTCATTATTACAATAGCTATATTTCTTTATGGTCATACCATTGCATAGAAAATTTTCAAGCTAATATATTGTTTCCGTTTTCAAGTGAATTTAGTGAGGTTGAATCTTCTATAAGTAATATGGTTTAAAGATGCTATTCTTGCCTATTCTTCAAGTCTGTAATTAGCTTTACATTATTCTTGTTCTTCGAAGATTTGTAGTGTTGCTAATATTAATTATTATATTATTAAAACACAAACTCGCTACATTATGGCCACCAAAAGATGCACCACCCCAATTCTCATAGTTTGTGCGAGTACTGGCGTACTCCCCGAATGCCCAGAGGGAAGCAGGTGGTTGTATTAAGGGCCTCTTCGCCCGCTTTTTACTTGAAGTCTGATCCACAAGGTAGTGGAGCAGCATCATGAGCTGCATTCTCTTGGATGCTGGTGACTAAAACAGGTTCATACGCCATTCGATCCTTTCGGATTTGGGAGACTGTATACACCGTTGAGTGAATAGGACTTACACGAGAGAAACCATGAACATATGGCCACATGAGAGCATTATGAGAGGAAGACCTAAGTCTGCTCACCTTCGACCATACCACGTCGTTTATTGGGTAGTGTTGCTGGTGCGACATCTATGCGATGGGATTTGGCAAAAAAATTGTTTTGATTTCGAGCTTTCATCATTCATAATAATAAATTTGATGCCCCCTAGTTCATCAGTTCCTCCTTCGGATATTTTTTCTATTATTATTTACTTTATTCCTTTGCGTTCCCAGTAGAACATTGAGATTCAAGCTAGATCTTTGAAGTTTCGGTAGCAGTGGTGCTTGTTTTTACGGGGTGGGGTTGCTGGCCTCATGCCTAACCTTCTCTCTTTACCGGTTTTATTACCGGCTTAGTGAGGTAGAGGAGTACGTCGTCCGGGGATCGAACACCGGACCGCATGCGTGGTAGGCGAGCATTCTACCGCTAAGCCATCGATGTATTTGCTTTCAAAAGTATAAAGAATCCTCTATTAAGGAGTTTCACAGCATTTTGTCCAGTATCCTTGTAATACAAGTATGATTAAACATTGACCAGTGTGTTACATCCTTCAGGTGGATATCATACACTTCTTATTTGAAGACTCACAATGATATAAACTCTGTATTCAATCAAATTTAAAGTTAGGGGAATTTTGTTGTTGAAATTTCTCACAAATGACTGTTACTTTACTAAACCTAACATCTTCATATTTTATAATTGTAGATGATGTCGACTCTGTTACTACTACTATAAAATCTAAAGCTATTGTGTGGCTTCAAGGCCCTGTAAACTTGTTACTTACTCCACTTTTAACAGAATCTCTGGAAAGGTAAGTTATCAGTTGAATTTTAACAACTTTATATGACTGATAATATAACTTTACTGTTTTGTATTATACTGGTGTTTCGATGAAATGTTAATTGTCAAAAGTAAAATTATCTCACTTCTAACTAGGCATTATAACTTCAGTCAGAAATGTTATGTTATGTTTTCACTTACCAAGTATAATTAGCTCTAATTAGTAAGTTATTCACACCTCTTCGAAATGACCTGCAGTTCAACTTGACTACTGAGTTGATAAATTAAAGTAGTGTTTTCACAGTAGTTAAGATTTATCAATGGATTTACTTACTTATTGGCATGTTATTTTAATAAAGTTATATTACCGGAAGCTAGCGTTTTACCATAAGATAATTTATTTTAGCCTTATTTGTGTCACAATCAGTTATCTTAATTGAAATATTGTACATGTAGTGTGGGTTGTGTTTTTGGGTCTCTCCGACCATTCGAATTCATGTGTTAGTCTGTAATAATGTTGAGCTTTATGTTAAGACAAAAAAACAAATTAGAGGAAGAATTTGAGTTTCTTGAAAAGACATTGAAGAGCAATGGGTACCCTCAAAGGTTCATCAACAAGTATGGAAGATCTGAAGTCACAAATGAAAAACAAATCACAGTAGGAAAAAAGCCAATATACTTTCAGCTTGATTATAAAGGTGAAAACATTGCAGCGATGATCAACAGAAGGCTGAGCACATCACTAGCCATAGCCTATCCTGCAGCTAAGCTCGTTCCCGTCTATCGAACAACTTGCTCTTTGATGAAATCAAAAATCGATAGATATCCTTCTCATGTTAACTCCAACTGTATATACAAATTTACATGTATCTGCGGGAGCAGTTACATTGGAAGAACAGAAAGAAGGGCATATCTACGATTTTCTGAACATGTACCAAAAAGCTTATGTCTAAAGGGAACAAATGCTTTAAACAGTGCCATCGCCAGGCATCTCCTTGACACGGGTCATGAGGTGGACGTCGAAAAGTTCAAAATTATCAATAAGCAAAAGAGCTCAATTCTCCTTAAGTTTGCTGAAGCCATTTCCATCAAGTGCCTGAAACCTGATTTATGCGTTCAGAAAGAAGCGGTTATCAGTCTTTCTTTGCCCTGGTAACTGGATATTTTTCATCCTAATGCGAGATGCTGAAAAGTTTTCATTGTGTATGATTATTATTGTTCGGAATAGTGTTTAATATTGCATATATATATGTATATATATTATTAGTGTATGCGTATGTTGATCGATTGATTTTTGTTTAAAATGAACTCTGTGCAAGTATGTTAAAATTGTTTTTGTAGATACATTTAATAATGTCTTTGCCCTGTAAGCAGCTGACGAGAAGGCAACGAAATAAAAGATGGTACCATTTTATTCTGCTAAAACTGTAGTTCTTGCTTTGTTCAAATTCACTAAGGGGAATAAATGTATGAAACGCCTGTTTTTCTGGTAATTCAATTTGAAAAATAATCGATCACAATAATAATAAACTAGAATTTGTGATCTCCTTCTTCTTAAGCTTTTCCTGCTTACCCTGTTGTATAGCAGTTCAGTAATCTTTAGTACATTTCAACTTAAAGTTATCATTAATATTTTGTTTCATAAGTCTTGAATAATAACTGTCCGTTTATATGTTTCAGATATATAAAAATACTTATGCCTATTGTTAAAACTACATCACCCTCTTCAATTGTGGATTCAATGCACTACAAATGTGTAAAGTCAATGGAGCAGCAAATAAAGCCTCTGTTAAGTTCTACAAATAGTTTAACACCTAAAATTCAAGATATATCTTTACCAAAACGCAAGTCAACTCAATCACCTCGTCCTATAATCACTGATAAATCTTCTGCCAATGTTGTTGCTCATACTGAAGAACGTCAGTCAATATTATATAATCTACTTGGTTCTCGTTTCACTCAGGAGGCAACATCTGCAAATATATCTCACCAAAATGTTACATCGAAACCCTTTCGAATTCGTAAGACATCAGCAGATTATGAATTAAGTGAGTTGATTGTTTCCTCTCAGTGGATAAAGTAGTATTTATTGTGAAAATAACAACATTTCTAACGGTATTTGTCCATATATACTAAGTAATTTTACTAAATCCATTTCGAATGGTTTTCATATTTTTGTGAATATCTGATTGCTTGAGAATTTATTTTATATTATGGTATCAATCAGCAAAACAGATGTTCATAACTAGAAACTGAATATACAACGGTTTGTACATATTACTAGTTTCTAATAAGGCCTTAAACATTTGCGTACGCGTCGTCAATTTGTGTGTTCAAGTATGAAATACTCGGGAAGAATAGAGCTCTCTTTTAATGTTTCCTGTATAATTCAGCATTCATCCTACAATTCTAAGTTAGTTATTCTTCCATATTAGTTCACTTTCTCAAAGATCACTCAGTTTTCTTTTGAAATATGCGATAGTTTTCACGAGATTATAAGTTTTACAAATGAGCTTTGTAAGACTAGGGTTCGACTTTTGACAGTTGTGTCGTGTGCTTAAACGATGATCATTTCTCAAGGAAGCATTATAGTCGTTTATTATTTTGCTATAAATGAAGATGTTACAATAATAGCACCTCAGTAAAAGTATTAATCTGTCTGTCTGTCTGGATTCAACATAGAACTTGGCAACGAAGTGCAGCAGTTCGAGTTGCCACGTTCCAAATAGCACACAAAGGTAGACAAGAAGATGAGTGAAGGGAATCAATAGAGTTTTGACAAGTATAAGAGTGAAACAGAATGAGTAATGGTAGAAAGGAATATGAAAGATTACAGAGACTGAATACATCTGCGCCATTGACAACGATTTTGGGCCATGTCAGCTATTGTCCCCAGCCATTGATTCTTAGAGTCCCGAGGGCGGGCCCCAACCCGGAAGTCTGCATCTCCCTACCTGACTCAGTTTAACATTACTTACCTTATTATACCACCTAACGTGGGAAAGAAGTCGTAAACATCTATGATCAAAAACAGTCAACCTTTTGTGGTTGTGTTCTCTGACATCTTCAGCGCATACTTCGATGTGGCCATGTTTCAGAGCCATAGAGAAGGACGGAGCGAACTGCTGAGCAGTGCACACGTCCCTTGGTTGATAGCTGCATGTCACGCCTACGCCAGAGACGGTGTAAGTTAGCGAAAGCAGCCCGAGCTTTTTGGATCCGTGCTGTGATTTCGTCACCAATCAATCCGTTGGTGCTGATACAACTTCCCAAATAGGTGAAGTGGTCAACATGTTCTATCACTTCACTCCCTATCACTAAGCTAGGGGTAGACGTAGTCCAGTCCTGTAGCAGCATCTTACATTTTACAGGGGCGAATCGCATGCCAAACATACGAAGATTGCTGCTCAAGGTGTTCAGAAGACTGCATTTTGTCAGCATCCTCCCCTAACAGGACTATGTCATCTGCATATTCTAAGTCCATAAGACTATTCCCTGGTAACAAGTCGATTCCTAAGTCGTTAAGTTCAGTTAAGGATACTTCCATTAGCATATCTATGATGAAGTTAAACAGGAATGGGGAAAGTGGACATACTTGATGGACACCACTGGTTGTTAACAATTCAGATGACAATTCCCCATAAGCCCTTACATGGCTACGTGAGTTTGAGTAGAGTGCCTTGATTAGTATTAGTGTTTATAGAAAAATACAGTTCATATCAATGACTATTCCTATTTGTTTTTTTCCAGTGTCCAATAGCCAAGATACTGTCAAATTTACAAAAAATACTTCAGATGTAACTAAGCCATTACATTTAGTGGCTGAAATTTCCGGAGATCATTCAGAAGTAAATTTTGCCGGTTCACCCTCCAGTGCACCTGTTACTTCGAAGAATGTAGGCATGATGCACAACTGTAAATCAGCATTGTCAAGCAAAGTCGCTGCGTTATCAGTCGAAAGAATTAATATTTCATTCTTACAACTTTATGCTGTTGAAGATTTGGTTCATTTAGACAGTCTTAAATCTGGTCTACACGATTTAACTTGTGTATCGCTAATGACATTTTGTCTGGACTCATTTTCTTTTGAGGTAGGTAATTTTTGTTTTTGGAACTTCATACATGTATTTCTTCAAGTCATCCTTTTATTAAAAGATACTGTTAGTTGAAAAGTTATCTGGTGAGAAGTTCTGCTTGTTGGTTTGAGCCATGTAGAGTTGTTTTCACTGCATTATCGCTCGCCTTTTGACAATCGAAACTTGTAGTTGCAGGTTTTGTCAATATACCTTAGAGTGGACACCATTACACTTCATCCTCATAAATCTTGATATCGTTATGTAGTTATCATATATAAATAGCTGATGTCTTGTCACTTTTTAGGTTTCAAGTATGCATTTATAGATATTGTCTTTCATTTCACTGTGTGTGTGTGTGTATAACATTTCATAGGTTACAGTTTGTGACTTTTATTTGGAGATGCTTCTTACCTCAACTTTAATAAGTATTCTAAAATGCTGCTTTGAAATATTCGCACATATTGCACTCATATCTGTTCGCTATTTCAATACGCCGGCTATCAGCAAAGTTATGTCACTAAGTTTTAATCAAATTGTTTTCATGATATTCAAGTGTTGGTTTGTAGGGATTTGATTGGTTACATGATTTTCATCATGAGCTGACATTAGTTAGAGAACCATTGGAAAACCTGGGAGTACTGGACAGCTGTTTCGTCCTAGTTTGGGACTCTTCATCAGTACGCACCCACCAGGATTCGAACCCAGGACCTTCTGGTTACAAGGCGAGCTCGTATACCATTAAGCCACTGGGACCCGATCCAATGGCCCATGAATTCTAACTTCTGCCAATTCACGACATAGCGCGACCCCTAGCCAATGTCTTCAGCGAGTATTTGTCCTCACACCCGACCTGCTGCATCCTACTGGTCACGACTTCTCACTAGAACCCCAGGTAACTACCTACCTAAATAGGGCAAGTCGCTAGTGAGCATCTCATTGATATTCAAGTGTTGGTTTGTAGGGATTTGATTGGTTACAGGATTTTCATCATGAGCTGACATTAGTTAGAGAACCATTGGAAACCTGGGAGTACTGGACAGCTCGCTTTGTAACCAGAAGGTCCTGGGTTCAAATCCCGGTGGGTGCGTACTGATGAAGAGTTCCAAACTATGACGAAACAGTTGTCCAGTACTCCCAGGTTTTCCAATGGTTCTCTAACTAACGTCAGCTCATGATGAAAATCCTGTTTTAATGATAGTTGTGTTCAGTACTTCCGTTTCTGTTTACCATCTTGTAAACTTATTCTGGGATACAACTTCTCTATTGATTACCAAGCAGCATATTTAATATCGCTATTTATCGTTTGACATGAAGTACTATTATCATATATATATATATATATATATATATATATATACAGGAAGAGAGAGAGGTCCTACTGGTTCGAAATAAAATCTAAGCGAACTAAACATTGAAATACCTTTTGTTGGTTGACAACTAATCTTACGAGCCATGCAATTTGATTGAATCAGCAATTAGGTGTAGGTTATTTCAACGTTACAATAATCCATATCCTATTTTTGCTAAGCATTGGTGGTTCAGTGATAGAATACTCGCTAACCACCCAGGTGTTCCGGGGTTCAATCCCTAGCCGACGCACTCCTAAACCTCGCTTAACCAGTAGTAAACCCTGTAATGAAGGAAGGTTGGGCGTGGGGTCAGCAACCTCACCCGTAAAAAAAGCACCACTGCTACCGCAACTTCAAAGCCCCCAAGCTTGAAACTCTATGCTCCACTCAGAACACATTGGAATGAAATAATGATTTAAAAAATCTTGCTAAGCGAAAGTCAGTGTTATTTGGATCGCAACTTTTAATGTCATCTATGGTTTCAACTTGTGTTATTCAGATCACAGATTTTCGGTTTTAATGGCATTCTCTACAATGTTAGTAGTACCTCGATAGTTATTATTATTATTCATCTGGCTTAAAATCTGTATCGTATAATATTTTGTAAAAGTCTTACATTCTAAAATTGTTCATCTTTTTGTTTACGTTTCCTTACCAATCAGTTAATGGCATCATATAAACGTGAAATGTTGAATGATAAATTTAATGATGGATCTATTCATGATCGACATAATAGTATGTCTACGCCAGGATCAAATATTAGTAATCGACCTTTTGTGGCATCATCAACAGTTGAATCAGGTCACCAGACAATTCGACCAGCAAGTATGCTAAATACACAGAAAAGCACAAAACTACGAGATGATGGCGTTTCAGCAAAAATTATCTCCTCTAATATAAGTGATCTGTTAAATGCTTATCCTTCTTTTCGGGAACAATGCAATACTACGTCAATAAACCGTAACGATAGAATGAGTAATTCTTTTCCTGGCAGATTACAACACAAACGACAACCATCTGCCCCTACAGTTTTATACAATTTACCTGATTTAACTCAAAGTTGTGAAGCATTTACCCGATCATCTGAGCCAATCATTCGAAAATCGAACAAATGGTATGATTGTTCACTTACTGATTCAAAACCCAATCCATACACATTCACGAATAAGACAGCAGAAGACATGAAGGTGACTGATGGTCATAATTTTGAGGTTGATGATAAATTACCCAATGTTGAGTTCACTTCATCGAAGCCTGTAAAAAAGACTGTCGATAAAATTGATGGTAAGTGTTTAGTTATATTTGAATCAAGATTTCGTCAATTTATTTCTATTCTTTGTTAGTAATTTGATGACTTCTACTCGAAAGCTCTGATTAACTTCAAATTTTGAAATGGTCACCTATCTTTCTTTGTAGATATCATTGATTCAATCAATGTAAGACCAACTACAACTGAACCAAATGGCAATTTATGGAATTCACGTGATTGTGAACATCTAGGCAGTGAATTAGTCTGTCAAGTAACAGTTCATAGACTACATGGACAATTACGACGTCTTACTCGTCATAGTCAATTTAATGCAGATGTTTTGCTAACAGCAATACCTTTTGAATCGTCTAGAGCATTTTTCCGTTTCACATCCGATCCGCTTAATTCTAATACTAACACTGTAACTGAATCTTCGTGTACAACTAAATATCTTGAAGAGCAGAGTTTTGGATGGATTATGTTTGAGTGTGGTTTAGAAGATTTATCAATTTCTTGGGTTCAGCGTCGTGGATTTCCTGATTCAGTGTCTGCAGTACAAAATACAAAGGTTACTACTTCTACCGAGGAACACCGTAAGGATACTTATAATGAGGTAAGAAAACATTTATTTTAATTGATTAAAGATACCCATTAGAAATTTGAAAAGATTGTTTAATGCACAAAGAATATTCTTTTCGTTGATATAAGAATAAAACTTGTGCATTGTGGTGGAGTATAATTCCATTATGGAATATTCTTTTCGATAACTTCATCATCAGGTTCTACAGTTATATATCCATAATAATGGAAGAATTATTGATATTGTCAACATTAGTGATTTCTTAAGGTAACATCGGATCACTGAAATCAAAGTTCCGAAAGCTATTCACCGATAAATTTTTTAATAGATTATAGTCCAAAACATGCGTACGTGGTAGTCTGTACGACTGTAACACTAAATTGAACACCAGTATTCCATTCCAAGGTAAATAATTATGAATAACAATGAATATATAGTAATGAATTCTCATGTTTATATTAAATTCCATTCATATTGATTATAAACTTCAAATGGATGAATGGTAATCTCAAGGACAGGGACAGAAAAACTGGGGTAGAAGGTTGGGTGTGTGTGTGTATGTGCGCCAGTGTGCAAGTTAACGACTACGTGTAAATAAGAAAACAAAAAGTTAGTTTATACAAGTGTAATAATAAATGGTAAGGGAATACATATGTACAGGATGGAGTGCTATACCTAAAAGGCCGGCGTAGTGCAGTATTTATGAATTTTTGTAAATTCCATAGCTGACCAAGGTAGCAATAGTGGATGGACCTGTTCTTTCTGCAACATAGAGCACCGGTTGTCTTAGGCGAATTGCAATAACTTCTGCTATTTAGAGTATTCGATACCTAGATGCTTTCGGAAGTTTATTTGGTACCCGATAGATGATAGAGAAAGATTCTTCAATGATGGCTTTATGACCGGTTTGAACTAGGTGATCTGATATCGAACTGCTTATTGTTTTCACTACACCTTTATTTAGCCACACCGGTAGGTGTTCCCTAGCGAGCACGAAAAATCAAGTTCTTAGAGCAACGGCCAATGTAACTCGCTGCACAAGCGCTGTTAAGTTGGTAGATAGCCTAGGTACTTCCTCTTTCAATTGAGGGATCACAACAGGCCGTGTAGAAAATATCAATTCGTTGAAAAGAGTATCTTCGCTGAATCACTTGTTTTGATTTGCTATATGTCCCAATAGGAATTTTCCACGAATCCTAAATTCATCTTCAATTACCTCTTTTGAACACATAGCTCTGACCCTGTAGGTGAGGGTCTTTATTAAATTTATTTTGTATTGGCGAAGAACAAAGCTATGAAAATGTGTATATTGTCCTGTCCATATACTTGTCTTATGCGACTCTCAGCTTATAATACCATCTGGTTTTTTGTGTAAGGAGGACATCTACGAAGGCAATTCTAGTTTGGGATTCCTCTTCGCACGTGAATTTCATAGCAGAATGTACTTCATTGAATTGAGATGTTATTGCGTTCCTATCCGAATCATTATCACAAAGAATAAAGGTGTCATCCATATACCGGCAATAAAATCAGAATTTTCTGATAAGGTTGTTCAAAGGTCCATTTTCTAGTTTACTTAGAAAGAAATCTGCCTAATTGGGACCCAACGGGGAGGCTGTCGCCTTTATTTAAAGCGACTTGCACCATGAATCCAAGACCTTCGTTCGAACATTATGCTGTGCAATTTATTATGAAGGACCTTTTATATCTGTGTGCATAACACAAGTGAAAGCTACATTTTTATCAGTAATCTAATGGATAGTGTTTAAGTTATGTTATCCTTTACGTTGACTTCATTGAAGTGAACGTAGAATGATCCTGTGAATATATGATAAGGAACTTTATTTCAAGCCGAAAACTCAACTGCATGACTTTGGATGTTTTATTCTCACCAGCTACAACATATAACAACTTTGCTCAAGCTTACTAGCAGCTTATAAACATGTGCACTTATTTCATCAAATTACCAGTGTTTCAAATCTATGAACATTTCAACATTTCAAATATACTCTTCCAAATATTTCTTATTTCAGAGCACTACTTCTATGCCAAATGCCTCTCCTCAACCTTTACCCAATAATACGTCAACCAATAAAGAATCTAGTCGTGTCAACGGTTTGTCATCGAAATTACGCGTTAATACTGTCTGGTTGAACTTTGCTACTCCAAAACGTTTACCAAATAAAAGAAGAATAGAACTTATCAGGTAAGTAATATTTTGTTAATCTGGAGGTTGTCTTGTTATGGTTGATTTATCTTGATGGAGTAGAAGTGGTAGTTAAGATTCTGATAGACTCAGCATTTCGGTGAAGTCAACCTATGTAGGGGACTGAATGTAGTTACGGGGCATTTTGTAAGTCGCTAGCAAGATTCATCTTAAAGTTGAAAGTTCTGATGCTTTTGTAACTGTATAAGGCAAGAGACTCAGTAAGGATTTTATTTCAATTTGGTATCTTAATATAGCGAAATTACGTATATCTTATCCGCAAGCCATCATTTGTACAGATCTTCCGTGTTGTGTTACTTCTGCCCTTCTCAGTGTGTTTCTTTGTCGTCTTTTCGTGTCTCCTATGTTTTGCCGCAACGCTGAATCATTTGCTCTCTCTGCAATTTGATAATTTCATGCCGATGAACGTCTCTTTATATACTACTTATAAGTGTTATCAGTAGCACACACCAAACTCTGGAATAGCTCAGTGTAACGTTTTCTGTGACACCACTGGATGTCAAGGATTGAAAATTCTATCATGTCGTCTACCTCAAGTTCATAATTTCTCGCTGTTCATGAAGAACAGCAACACAATAGTTAAGACAAGTTGGGCTTTACACAATCACTACCTGAAACAACTTCTGATGCTTTTTTTCTGTGTTTCGTATTGTTTTGAATGGAATTTTCTTCTAACAGCTTTTTCAGTCATGTGATATAATGCGCAATATATATGTTAGATTCAGTATAAAAAAACTGTATTCATTAAAATTATAAACGTGGTTGTGTGTAAGTGTTTTACTATTCTTATTTTTATTTAGGTCTGATTGGAACTTATTAAGCACTGCAGCTCCGACAATCAGAGCTTGGATTGATCCATGCAATCGTTTGGTTGGTGTTTGTAAACAATTTCACATGAATTCAGAACGTCGATTTTTGGCTGTAATTTCATGTCTTATGACTGAAGTGGTGAATCCTAGGTCAGATGTGTTGAATGTTAAAAACAAACGATGTCCTCGTCCAATTGGTACTAAAGTTCAATTGGTTATGAATAATAATGTAATTATTTCTTCAAGTTTTAACCATATTAGTTTCCATATTATTATTTTCAGTATGTATTCATGTCGAAATATTTTTATTCGTTTCAGTTCCCAGTGGAACATACGGCTTCAGACTAGTGCTTCGAAATTCCAGTAGCAGTGGTGTTTTTACGGGATGGAGTTGCTAACCTCACGCCCAACCTTCCCTTTTTACCGCGTTTACTACCGGGTAAGCGAGGTAACGGAGTGCTCTGGCCGGGGATCGAACCCCGAACCACTTGCATGGTTGGCCGGTGTCCTACCAATAAGCTACCGACTCACTACATCGAAAAAGAATTCTACATATTCAGTCTGAAGAAAAATGTAACTATCATTTACCCTAGTTACTTTTGTTATAATTATTTTAAACAGTCAGGCTGCTTTTTTGACTTCACAGTCTTCATACCGAAGTAGTACAGTCATGTAAAAAAGTTTTTTAACGCAACTGTCATTCAGTACAGAAAGTTAAAAGAATCTGATTTAAAACAAAATTTCCTGTACTTTTAAGTATTGAAATTTATTATGTAACATGTTCTGACTACTTTGTGGTCTGCTAATTGTCGTTGCTCAGTGATTTATTACATTGTACTTTTGAATTCCAGCGCCTTTGGTTCTTTGATTACAGTATATGCAAGCCATACTAGTGGGTTGAACTTCAGACGTTAGACTTTTTGTCAAAGTTAAACTTTAAACACCAGTAATTACCAACGGACAAATGACCGTGAACGCACCAACCACATGATAAAGGCGATTTTTGCGTATAAAATGTATATATTAATGGAAATAATGAATTAAAAGGCATGAAACTGTTACAAAGGATACCTTTCTCTGAAGTGTGACAAAAATACCTCTAAGTTTTGGATTGAATTATCAACATAGTAATTTAACCACATTTTGTGCATGTAATTATCTGGTCTTCTTACCCTAACAATAACCCTAATCTTTCCTTAACTTAACCCTAACGTGCCAGATATCCCATTGAATAACGTAACACTTCATTAAGCATATTTTATTCATGATTACAATATTATCTACCAGGTTTCACTAGCCTGCTCACTGAGCGTTTCAAGGTCATTGGTACGGTCGCAATCCACTGGTAACTTACTGGTGCTTAAAGTTTTACTTGGCCAACTTTTTCTGTACCTATTATTCCACTCTTTGTGTTATGTATCAACAGGTGTGTGCAAAACTGTGAGTCTGTGTGTCCTTTAGAAAACGTTTTTTCGCTCTAAAATCATCTCATTTTTTTTATCTTTCACCTCCATCCACTTAAGTTAATTTCCTCAGTTTACACTTTTTTACAAAGTCATTCATATTTGTTTAAACTAAGGCTCTGTATTACTTTTTTACTTTAAGTTTAGTTGTCATTACTAGGAGAAATCTTTAAATAATTTATAGAAGACCGGTGTTCATTAGGAAGAAGCTATCTCAGTACGGTTTTAATCTTTAGTCATACATATCATAAGCTAAGATGCCTTAGCTGATGTTATGTTATCATGAGATTTAAACTTTTTCAAGTTAACAGGTACATTCATAAACCAATATTTACAATTAAATGACATTATTTCTTCTTTTACTAACAGTGAAACATTTCTATAATATGCAATACTCCTTTTTCTGACTATTTTCTAGGATTTAGACGGATATGCTCGTCATAGAACTCAAACTGCTCACATATTGCGCTTCGATCCTAGTTGTCAGTTGCTCGTTGTCTTAAGGCGATATCTATTGGCAATGAATGATTATTATGGTGTAATAAAGGCTGATGAACTCTTAGGTGAAATGCTGAAAGATCCTGTTGTACCTCAAAATGAGTTTCTTCAGAGAGGAATTCTTTCGTTAACACGAGAGTGGCGCTTTTTAGTTGATTCACTTGCTCTTAGTATATCAGATTTGAGAGCTTCAAGAGAGTGTACAACATCATCGATTCCCGTATACACAAATTATATGGTTGACTTTCGTCAAAATGATTTAGAAGAACCTGCCTTTCTAGGTGTCAATATTCCTAGAACTAATTCATTGTTTGCTGCTTCTAATGACTGTCAAGCTGAAGATACTGATGCAGTCCAACCAGCGACAAACGTAAAACCACTTACAACAAATCATCCTAAAACTGGGAGCTACTTCCCAATTGCTAGTCCTGCAGTAACATCTCGCTTGTTAAAAATGGTAGTTGGTTCGTTATCTCCAGCATCGCCTCAACTTATGAGGTCAGGACTTGTGAATGTTGAAGATGGACTGAAATCTAGTACAAACGTCAACACAAGTGAGTATAAAAGTGCCTTTCCAATAATTTTTATTTTGGTTATTTCTCTGATATCTTGATAAACAAAATTGTATTTTTCTTGTTCATCTCATGATTCAATTTTATCAGGCTTTATTAGACAATATATGCATTGTGTAAATTCCTGCACACCTCTAATTTTTATTATGAAGTGTATTTGGTTTGTTAAATTGTGAAGTTCATTAGATTTCTGTTGAGTTAAGAATTACCTGTTGCATATTTGATAAAGTGTTGGTTTGCAGGAATTTGTTTGGTTACAGGTTTGTACACGAGTTGGTAGCAGTTAGAGAACCACTGGAAAAAACCAGGTAGTACTGGACAGCCGTTTCATCCTAGTTCGGGGCTTTTCAGCAGCACGCACCCACCGGAGGGTATGGATCCAGCATTTTCGGTTACAAGACAAGCTCCTAGACCATTCACAGTCACTGTGACCTGATCCAACGGCCTATGGTTTCCGACTCCATATACTGTATTTCAGATATCTTGGATAAAAATTTTATTGTAATTATCGTTTTAATTCAATGGCCTTTTTTATCCAAAGAATTCCTTTTATCTTGTTCACCAGATTCAGGTGTTTGTGGAAGGCAGTCAGATGATATGAATACCTCTGTTGATAAGACTGTTGGTCATACACAAGGACAAAATATGTTGAATGATGATTTATATGACCAATTAGATGATATTTATTGGGATACAAGTGATCAACTAAGTGATTGTGTTATAGATACTAGTGAACCTCTAGTTCGTAATCCAATTATGAAACGATTTCTTCAAGATGCCAGAGCAAATATTATGGAGTAAGCACTTTGTATTAAACTTTTTTCTTATCATTTAGAATGTACAACTACTTACTTGAATGAATACTGTTAAATTTTTTAATCATACATTTATTTTATGTTCATCTTATCATTTCTTCCTAAATTGTGTACAGCACCGTTCTTTATGCATGCGATTTATTCATGAAATGCTAGACATTATATTTCAAAAGTTGTACCTGAATGACTCAGTGGGTTTATTCCTAATATTTTGTAATGCAAATTATAACACTCACAGCAGTATGTGATTGCTCATAAACTTATTTTGTGTCCAAAGAATCTACTTCTATCTTGATTCCTTTGTTTAGAACTTCATTGCATACATAGGTTTAAAAAGTTTTCTGTGCATACTGTTTTACGGTCAGCTGTCGTTAGATTTGCGTCGGTGGCACAGCGGTAGAATGCTCGCCAACCACGCATGTGGTCCGGGGTTCGATCACCGGCCGACGTATGTCGTCTTCTAGTAAGTTATTTGGAGAGCGTGCTTTTATTGGTTTCATGTAAATTGTATATTGTAGTTCACTCTAACGTTGGAATTGAAGTTTTTAGGTGCATTAAAAATATAATAATAATAATTTGTTGCTTGCGTTCTAAGTAAAACAGGGCTACAACTGTGCACTCGGTTTTTCGCCATCACTTTCAGTCGGCCTCACTGCTGCCCATAAGCTTTAAATCCCTCTCCACCCGACCTCCTCAATGTTCCTATTGGACCCACATCTAACGTTTCACTTACAATTCAGCTCCCACTTGATGACCTCCCTTGCATGTGATGTCACTTGGAAGTGTCTTCAGCGAAATATCCAATCCGTCTTTACTTCCTTCTCCATCTTTTTTTTGGCGGGCCATAGGCTGTTGGCCGATTTGCTAACTGCTAGAGATCGTTGTTACTTATTCTTTTCGGTCGCCTACCTGATCTTCACTATCTTCAGCAGGTAATGGGAAATGCTGTAGATCTCAACACTGATTTCAGGGTAATGAATGCCTGTCAGTTTGCCAACTGAATACTAGAGAGCAGTGAATATAATTAATATTCTAAGCTTTCATAATTTTTCAAAACCGAATCATACTGTCTCTCAAGATTGTTTTATCCTTTCATTTCCATTTTCAGGCATCCACAAACATGTGAAGTGGCTTCACGACCTACAATAAACATCACTGATCATAATGTACACCAGAATACTGAAAATTCTTTTGCAAACAGGTTATCCTCTTCAAGTACTGTAGATCCTCATTTCGGTGAAAGTGATACGTGTGAAAAAACGATATCAGAAGATAGTAATGCTAAAGCTTCCGTGAAAAAGTCTACAAAATCTACAAAAGAAAAACAAATTCCTATCAATACAAATTTCGACAATTCACTTAACACAGACTGTAAACTAACAGCAGCTGATTTTGAACAGGCTGCACATTTAAGCGCTCAATATCGTTATGTTGCCTATATACAAAACCTGTTTTCACCATTGTTAGAATCAGTTGGATTAAGTGTAAAGGTAAGTAGTTAATCAATTCGATGTAATGCACTTTACTCATTGATGTATAGCTTTCATAATATGGTGAATGGTTTTTAACAAGCTTACGCATAGTTATGTAAACATTTTCTATCAGTGGAAACATTTCCGTGTTCTACTTTTAGGGCATAGATAAACTTTTTTTCAATGAAATATCAATATTTCCTGAATTATCTGAAGCTTTTTAAACCTTGAATCACTTTTGTATACCTTAATTTCCTTTTCGTAAACTTCATATACTATTTATACCCTCGAACTACCACTGTTCCTCATCCATCATGTGTTTGTCCTGTAGAATAAATTTTCCAGATTACCTTGCTATTGTTATTACTATTATTATTTAAGTTTCTTTTGAAGTATTTTCAATTTTTGTTATTTACGTACACTGATAACAATGAATTTTTTAAAATTCCTTTACGTTCCCAGTGGAACATAGGGCTTCAAGCTAGTGGCTTGAAGTTTCGGTAGCAGTGGTGTTTATTTTTACGGGATGGAGTTGCTAGCCACATGCTCGAACTTCCCTCTTTGCCGGCCCTACTACCGGCTTAGCGAGGTAAAGGAGTGCGTCGGTGGCCGGGGATCGAACCCCGGACCAAGTGCGTGTTAGGCGAGCATTCTACCGCTGTGCCACCGACGCACTGATAACAATGAATAGTTATTCTATATTAGGTAGGCAATCGGTAGGAAGCCTTGAACTTAGGGTTCGTGCTAGTTGGCACTGACTAGTCATCAGGGCGTATCTGCAACCTTGAAGGAACTCACATCCCTTTTGAGATTCTAACCCGCGTCACCCAGTGCTGCAGTCAGAGAAGTTACCACTAAGTTATTCGGGCTCGCGACTGACCTCCTGTAGGACTGTATCGGATATTTTTGATTGGAGACTAGTTAATAACTGGTGTAATGTGTCTAGTCCTATCTTTGGTACAGACTGAATTCTATCAGTCGATTTGACAAGTGCCAACTAGCATGGAACCTAGGTGGATGGCTTCCTGTCCGATTGCCTCCAACCGTCTAATACCAACAATTCACAGTGCATCATGATGGCGAACCACCTAGCATGGTGGCCACATTGCAAATTTGACTGATAGAATTCAGTCCGCACCAAAGATAGGACTAGACACACTACACTAGTTTGACTAGTATCCAATCAAGTTATTCTATATACTGAGATTTTAGTATTGATACACTTTTGTAGGATAATTACTTGCCCTATTCTAGTAGATGAGTTGAAAAGCAGGTGGTCTAAACTTCCTAGTCTCTAGGGTCTCCACAAACTTTAGAATACTCCCTAAACACGTTTTACAGATAGGCTTAAAAGAGGTGTAAATATCAATTTTATGTCCTGTCTCTACAATATGTTTCACAAAAGAAGAGACAGGTCGTCTGTTTTCACCATTAATGGAGTCAGGGGATTCGATTTGCTTCTAAAGCCCTTACTTGCAAGCATCGATGAGTCCTCCCTTTCTTAACAACTTTTATTATCTTTAATTTGCATTTGTTGTTATTATTTGTTACTGAGTTCCAATCACAGAGGTGACATTAACTTTGATTAAAAATATGTGAACCTTTTTCCACTTCAAATGTTTTGATTATACTCGCATTAATCATATTCATATATTTAAATAGACAGAAGTTGTATATCATATATTATTCGATTCTGACTCAATATACACCTCGAAATCTGACTGTCATCGTTTTGACTAATATGAACTAAGAAGGAATGTTTACGTTATGTATCTTGATTAACAATAGTTTCCTGATTTATGCCAATTTGTAATGTGTTTATATCGATGTATTAGTTATGCACTTGCAAATATGGTTGAGTTAAAAGTATTCAGTAGTCGTCTTTCTCTCGGAAAAGGACTTAACAATATACAGATTCAATAAAGCGAAACGTATTTCACACCGTGACAAGCTAGATGTTATATAAAGCCCAGAAGGAGCATATCAAAAACGTGTAAACTGTACATCATATACAATGTGTAGTATATCTTCAATCACATCTTTCGAGCATTATAGCTGTCACCACATATCTAAGTATCTTCACCGAATTTCTTTAGTACTCGAGTGGAAAGAAGCTATGGAGACGTGAATATCTTCCCGTCCATGTACTTTTGTAAACTTTTTTTATATCACCTTTTGGTCTTTTTGTGAGTAGGGCATCTTCTTCACATGTGAATTTGACGACTGGATGTATCTCATTGAAATGAGCGATTATCATGAGCCTATAGAAAATCATTTCCACAATGAATGAATATATCATCCATATATCGACAATAAAAAGTGATAAGTTTTTTAATATGCCATCTTCTAGTTTACTCAGAAAGAAATCTGTATTGTCACCCAATAGTGAATCCACTATCACCCCATCCACCTGCCTGTAGAGCTTACAGTCAAATTTGAAATTACATCATGTACATTGTAGCGATTCTAGGATTTCCACTGTGATCGTAAATTTGTTGACCTGTTATTATATTTGTTCACAAGTTTGGATAACTGTTCCAATCAGCTGTATATTTGTGAATAGTGTTGTTACGTCGAAGGATATCGTAGTTTTATCCTGGATGTTAATATCTTTAATTTTGTCGATGAATTGATATATACAGCACACTATATTTTACTATCTGTTCATGTAAAGATATAAGAGTAGTTACCAACCACTCAATTGGAGCATGATAAGGCGAATTTCAGAATTCGTCTTAACCGTACTCCAGGTTTATGTACTTTGGGTGAACCATATAATCTTGATGTGTGTCTGTATGTATTTGGTTTGAGTACCCTATATAGACTGTTTAATCTCTTCATACATCTGGTTAGTTCATTCGCTGTTTTGTTATTTCAGCCATTTCAGTTTTCCAGTCTCTGAAACTTCTGTTTATTACTTAATATATCACTGATCACTTCTATCGAGGAGGATTAGCCATGTTCCTCTATCAGGTTTTGTAGCCAACTGACTGACTAGTTTCACTATAGAACTTTGCACAGATGTGCAGCAGTTCCAGTTGCCACACTCCCTCCATGTAACATACAAAGCAAAGAAGAGAATACAGGGAGGTCCAGAAGACAGATAATAAACAGAAGTGTGAGCGAGGGAAAAAAAGAATAGTAATGTGGAAGAACAATAGAGTTTTATTAGATATTATAAATCACAAAGATTGGATTCATCTGCTCCAGCCATTAAGAACGATTTTGAGTCGTATCAGTGATTGTCTCCGGCCTTCATTGGTTTTTACCATCTCAAGGACCCCAACCAGTCAGGAATTTTACACCTCCCAACGTGACTGGCTGGCTTAAACTAACTGTTATGGATTTCATTGACTGATGAAGCCATGTTTTGGTTTGACCACCACTACCAACTCTTTTCCAACCTGATAGATGTTATGTCAGTTAAAAGTGCTTGTCGGTCAGGGAAGGCGATCGCTAGACATGCGTAACACATGTGTTGACCATCTGAATCGGTGTAACTTGACAACCTCGTCGATTGATTTCCCTCCTTACCTAGCACTCGACGCCTGACCTCAATATCGCTCACCTTAATGTACCACCTGACATGCTAGACAGAACGCATACACCTATGATCAAAGACAGCTAGCGAGCCTTTTCATGTCTTCCATTTTCAATGGCCACGTCGCACAACCATAAAGGAGAACGGAGGGAACTGCTGAGCAGTAGCTAACATCTTTTTGTCATTTACAAATGTATGTAGTGTTTCTCTGTGTTCTTTTATAGTCGTACTTGTCTGACTATATCCGTCATTAAACTCATTGTTAGTATCTATATGGTTGATGTGTTTTTGTGTATCGCAAACTCTTACACCTTTGAGTTGCACTTAATTGAATTCTGTACTACTATAATTTCGGAAAAAACCAAAACTCTCAGCTCCGTATTGTTTTTATTATTCAATGTAGAGTTCAGTAGATGTCAAAGAAAGAATTACCGGTATCTAGTATTAAGTGTGTTACATTGTTGGAGGTACCAACCAGGAACCAATTGTGAAACAAATAGGCAGGAAGAAATGGAGATGGATTGGCCTACTCTGAGAAAACCATCAAGTGACATCACTAGACAAGCCATCGCTCGAGTGGAACCCGAAAGGGAAGCGACGAGTTGGTCGTCAGTGCAAGGGTGACTTGGAGGAGGTCATGTGAAGAGGAGATGAAAACGTGTTGACAGACTTGGAGCCAGGTGAAGACTCTAGCAGAGAACCGAAAGCAATTGAGACGCACGGCTGAAGCCCTATGTTCCTGTAGGAATTAAAGGAAACAATAATAATAATTGTTGGAGGTGATCAGCAGGAACTAAACCGTCTATGCTAAGAGAAAATTTAACAGAGAAACAAATTACTAACCAATAAGTAATCATATTTAATCAGTGTAGTTCCGTTCATTGAAAGAAAAACATCAGTGAACTGTAGAATGAGCATTATCATTTCACTTTAAATAAAAGACGTGACAAGTCTTAGGAAATGGCATGATCACGAAATTCAAGGTTTTACGCATAGTAATTAGGATCATATGAAAAATATTCTGATGATAATTTTATGACATATTTGTTGAATAATCTTCTGTAGCATAAAAAATTATTTCTGAGAATTTATAATATGAATTAAAAGTCAATCTGATCGAAGAATATTCTTTTCAATAATTTCTCTTCAGGTTCTTACAATTATAAAATATAATATTTGTTGTCGTTACAATAAAGGTCAGTTATGCGGCAGATACATTTTTAACGTAGAATAACAGATTAGTTATGGGGTGTCAAAATAAATAGTCGTATTGGGGGACAAACGTGCTAGGCTGAATTGGATTACAAATATTGCTTATTATTACAAATATTATTGTTACAATTATTATTATTATTATTCGTCATAATTTATGCCCTTCATGCAAACATTCTCTCAATACTATCGATATTATCTCTTTTCTCAACATATGCCTCCACCTGTTTCATTTCACACATTCGTTATTTCATTATGAACCTCTCATTGCAGTCGTCCTATCTCCTGTTTAATACATACCACTTTGTACTAGCCACTCACCTGACACCTTTTATAACCTTGAACTGACTTGTCAATTTTCCTACCCCACACTCTACAAATCTATTATGATTAATCACCATTGTCTCCCGTTTTACAATATTTTGTAATCGAATTCAGCCTAGCACGTTTGTCACACAAATATGACTATTTATTTTGACACCCCATAACTAATCTGTTATTCTACGTTAAAAATGTATCTGCCGCATAACTGACCTTTATTGTAACGACAACAAATATTATATTTTATAATTGTAAGAACCTGAAGAGAAATTATTGAAAAGAATATTCTTCGTTCAGATTGATTTTTAATTCATAATATGGGAATTTTCCACACTATCAAAATTATTATATGACATTTAAAAAGACATCAGGTGTATGTGATCACCTTGAAATCCTGTTAATCTTATTTTTCTTCTTCCATACTGTGAGTTATTCTCTACTTAGTTTCTTACTTATTTCACAACCGCAACACATCATGCTTTTTTTATTGTTGACAACTCTTTTGTCTGCATGTCTGGATTACTGTTTAAATGAGATGAACATTGCAAATATTACATGAAAACTATTGAATTTTCCAAGGAAATTCGTTAACTCCTTTTATACGCATACTCTAAAATGTTTCCTCTACTTGTTTTTCGTTTCTAGGGGATTCGTCGGACAACACTAATGAAAAAATTTGATGGATTTCTGTCAGTTGATGGTCTTTTACAAACTTTTCAGATTGAAATAGTCTCCTCTGCACGTAATCCCATGGTACATTCATTTTCAAAACATCCAGCACCGGAACAAACGACGACGACGACGACTGATTCGTCGTCTAACTTGAAATCAAATAACCGATTAGGTAGTCAACAAGCAACCTCACAAAGACAATTAGCCTTTTTATGCTGTAATTTTGCATCGAGTTTGATATTACGTGATATTGTAGACTACAAAACTGGTAATTCAACAAGATTTCAGGTAAGTAAGAGCATTTTTTATTATTGTAACAAATAAAATCTTCCTATCGACCAAAGTTTTGTTGTACACTTGTATTTCAGCGCTAGTGTCAAATTAGATGTGCAGCTATTTCATTGACTGTTTGTGCTTCATATCGTCACTTTTTACTTGGGTTAATATTAATATTCGCTCTAGTTAATGAGTTATTGCCGGCACTTTAGGGCATTCAGTCGGTATTTTTTGTTGTTGCTATTTCGCATGTTTCTCATACTTTCTTGAATTTTTGTTTTTACGTTTTCCTTGTTACCATTAGAAACAAAAAACTAATCAGTTAAGTCAAATGCAGACTACAACTAAAATGGATATTATTCTACACATCGATTTTATTCGACAACATGTTAACTTATCCTTGTTACGTTTAGTTCATCAATTTGTTACTATGATCTACTGTGCTAGAGATACATGTAAATCAATTTCTAATGATCATTCAATTGATCCAATTGTTTCAACGCCTTCAGCAGCATGGCCACAAAAATATGATTCTAAAGGTATGTCCACTTACTATTGTCATTATTATTCTTGGTTTTACACTGCATAACCTTTTCAAGGGGATTCATTCTCAGTAGTAGAGTAAGGACTGAAATTAATTGAATGTCATTAGTTTGCTTATATTATTATACACATCAGCTTAAGGCTAGCAGTATTATTGAGGGATGTATCTAAGCTATATTTGAATATGGGATAATTTACTCATGTGGTAATAAGATCAACACTTTTGAATAATTTTCAAGTATTGGTTTTGTAGGGAATTTTGTTTGATTGGTTGGAGGATTTCATCATGAGTTGATATCAGTTAGAGAACCATTGGAAAACCTGGGAGTACTGGACAGCTGTTTCGTCCTAGTTTGGAAACCATAGAGACTCTTCATGGGCAATTGGATTGGGTCCCAGTGGCTTAATGGTCTACGAGCTCACTTGCCTTGTAACCAGAAGGCCATGGGTTCAAACCCTGTCGGTGAGTGCGTACTGCTGAAGAACCCCAAACTAGGAAGAAACAGCTGTCCAATACTCCCTACTGGTTTCCAATGGTTCTCTAACTGATGTTACCTCATGATGAAATCCTCCACACACATACACAACATATATACAGACACATTGATGTATATTGTAAGATGATGACTCAATACTATCATAAGTAGAGTTATTCGCAGTTTGTTGCAATTGTATAGACTTCAAAACTGAATTTCGCAAGTACAGACTACACATGTTTGTTTTTATGTGGATAATTTTTGCCACAAACTTCGACAGCTTAAATTTATCCAAATTTTTTATGCTTCTATACACCACGAAGCGTGTTTATTTTTCTACTACTACAATATCTATTTTCTCAGTGTGTTTACTTTTATTTACCTTTCTAAGGTTTTATTAATTATATTGTATAACAGGTTCTTCAGACGATACCGATGGAACTTTTCGATCACGTTCATCTGCTTATGTTCGTTTCGGTGAAGAATCTATTGACAGTGGACGACTTATTCAAGGTGAACATCTAAAAACTAAACATAAATATGAAAGTAAGTTTTTATTTTGTAGAATAAATCACACATGTATAATGGTTGTCATAAAGCGTTCACTTGTATAGATACTTAAACTGCATAGCGTATGGTATTCACAGTATAACATAACGAGTTTCAACCTACTTACTAAATCTATCTAACTTCAAACAAGTAATGTGATCTTCTGATGTTTGAACCTCTGGAATCTGTCTAGTGAAAGCTATCAGTTATTATGGGTAGTATCTAGCTCTTCGTGTAAAAGTTAGTGGTATGCTGAGAACAGATCTTTTGCTTGACGTCTGCCTTCCATACTGAATTTTCAAGTTAATAATTATTGGTCATCTAAACTCTTCTACCTCTAAGAGAAACAAATGTGGAATTCCGTACTTATATTCATTTTCCTATCTATAGTTTTGCAAACACTCGTTTTGAAACTTTGCAGAAGTTAGTTAAGTTCTGAGTTTTGTTCTATGAGAGTATAGATCATCAGTTCAGTAAAATTTAATTCCGACTAGGTATAGAAGAAATGTTTTTAAAACCTTTTACCAATATCGGCTAATTTTTGTTTTAACTAGCCTGCTTTATCTTAAATTCTTAGGTGTATGCTTTCGAATTAGCCACCGGTATCAATTCTGTGGATAAGCTTTTAAGCAACGTGAAGTGTGTAAAGGTCAACAGATGTAGTTTTGCATTAATTTTTTCTTAATTGTTTATTCTGTGCCTTAAATACGTGTGTCTATGAATTCTCCAAAATTTCGCCGTCGAAAATTATGATAAGTGATCATTATCAATCAGGCTGTAACAAAACTGAGAACGTTGATATTCATGAATAAATGGATTTTATGAGACTCATGTGCGGTAGTGGCACTGCTCGCCAACCACGCATGTGGTTCGAGGTTCGATCCCCGGACGACGTACTTCTTTGCCTCGCCAAGTCGGTAATAAGACTGGTAAAGAGGGAAGGTTGGGCATGAGGCTAGCGACCCCATCCCGTAAAAACAAGCACCACTGCTACGGAAACTTCAAAGCTCTAGCTTGAAGCCCTATGTTTCACTGGGACTCAGATATATTAAGGCAGACATAAAATTTCGTAAACTAATTCTAAAAGTTTCATACGATGATTCCCTTTTATAAATTTGAACAAAGAAAGAAGAAACATTGGCGCAGAATAATCTGGATCCATTTTATTTCGTTGGTTCTCATCATCTGCGTACAACCTGAATTTTTTTTATTAAAAATAAATAGTGTACAATTTTTTAACAAACCTTTGTCCATTAGCAAGCATAGTGTCAGAGCGTCATAGTAAAATAAGGCATTGAGATTTACAGGGTGTCTAAAGTGTTACGACATATATATATCTTGTTAGAGAGAAGTTTCTTGAAAAAAATTAATTAACAGTTGTGTTGTTGGGGTGGTAACAAAAGACAATTAGTAATAGTTACGTAATTAGATAAGAGAAGATCAAAATTTTAAAATCTTGGTGCACATGAGGTCAGATGAGAAGTTGATGATGTAATACAGTGAGCAGAACTCAGAAGATCAAGAAAAATTATCTCTTAAGAGATCAAGCGAAAAATAAAGGGGAGGGGTGGAGTGAAAAGATAAGTTAACAAAATTAGAAAACAAAGAGTTACTAAGAAGTCAGTTACCAGGGTAATTGAAGTCCAACGACGGATTCTTTTTGGACACATAAGTCAGGCTTCAATCGTTTTATTGCTGTAGCTTCAGCAAACCTGAGAAGACTTGAGGTACTTTGTCTGTTAATTATTTTGAATGATTCCAGCACATCTACTCGGTGTCCTGTGTCAATCAGGTGTTTGGCGATTGAAAAGCTTAAACAATTCGGTCCCTTTAACCGGAGGCTCCTTGGTACATGTTCGCAGAATCTGACGTAGGCCCTCCTCTCTGTTCTTCCAATGTAACTGCTCCCGCAGATACATGTGAATTGGTATACACAGTTGGAGTAACATGTGAGGGGTACTTGTCAATCTTTGACTGCACCAGTGAAGAGGTTGTTCGGGATAGAGAGACTAATAACGCTGCAGGATACGTCCTAGACAGGGCTGCGCTTAATCTTTTATTTATCATTCTCATAATGTCGTCGCCCTTGTAGTCGAGTTTGATGAAAATAGGCTTCTTACTAACTATAGCAGTATCAAGCTTCTTGAGTTCTAAAAGATTAGTTGTTATTTTGTTTCCAATTGTATAAATTTTTTACAAATACCTTAATCGAATCCTTGTCTCTGTAGGAGTAGTACCTACTGTTAACTTAAATATGAAGTTGTATGCACCAGCTATTTCTTATTATTTATTTTGTACACACTTACTTCTTCTTTGGTAACTTTTAGGTTTCACCAACAATGAAGATCGGTATTCTTCGTTTGCTATTGAACCTGATCGTTCTTCTGCTGAGAATACATCAAACTCTAGTGCAGATAAAGATTTATTAATTATAACTAATCCAGCTAATTCACATGACGTCATACCTTCATTGCCTTCATTTTCTCCTGTTCCTACCAGTAGAATTTCAGATTATGATGATACTTCGTTAAATGCTTCAAGATTACCCGGGAATCCTTTTTGTTCTCCACCTTCATGTTGGAAACGTTTAGCTAATTATGTTGAATTGTATTCTACGGTACCTAAGACAAAAACAGTTATACGCAAGGTGAGTTATTCGAAACAATACCTAGGAAATATATGTTATTCAATGCATTCATGACTATTGGTATTATTATTATTATTAAATCCCTTAATTTGTCTTAATTATAATTTTCATTTGTTTAAATATGCTGTTCACGCTTTATTTTTATGTCATGGAAATTATTTCATTTTTAAAACTCATTTTGAAGGCTATTAGCTTATCAGTTAATGATGTTTTCTAACACATTAATCTACACCATTTCAAACAAAGTGAAGTATTCTATGAGAGTTTAAAGCTCTCAACCTTCTCTACTGACCGAATTTCAAATATATATAATAATAATATATGCATAAATAATGCATTTTTTCTCAGCCTATGTCTACATCAATTCCGACTATGGCAATGCCAACAATTACAGAAGAGGATCGTGATCATAATACTATGTGTGTTTCACAGGCTTCTAAGGTTAAAACCAGCGTTTCTACAATCAATCCTCCTCCAAGCAATTCTGGTTTAAGTTCGCCTACAGGAAATAAGGTAATGATTTTTTTTTCTGTACTGATAATCTTTCGTTCTTTTGTTTTCTTAAAGTATCTTTCTATTTTTATGCTGTTTTGATTCTTTTTTCTTCTTTATTCAGGTGGTAAAGTCAATTAGCTTTGTAGATTTCGTGATATTCAACTGTCTTGTCATTACATATTTCTAAACCTCTGGTTTTACTCCTTTTTAAAATTGAATTTCATCTTGAAAATTTTTTTCAGTTTTGTATGTAATTGAATACATATAAGTTGACAAAGAGACCACTTTCCGTAGCTTCACTTCAAGTCTGTATGGTTTTTTATGGGTGTATTTATGTATTATTATTCCCTTCGATTATGATTGGAACATATGGCTTCGATAGTACATCTCCATTTCATCCTGTTCTCCTCAGTTGTCTTTATCTGGGTCCACAATTGCTTATAAGCTCTCACCTCTTCGCCCGATCTCCTCCATTTCATCCTCGGACGCTCAACCCGTCGTTTCTTCCTTCGGGTTCCGTTCACGGGCCCGGTACATGATGTCACTCAATGGTCTCCTCAGAGTGTGTCCGATCTGTATTCGTTATCTTCGGCATGCTTGTTGGGCGATAGGTTTTTGGTTGGTTTGTTCCCAGAGTTTCTTGTTGCTAACGTCATCTAGTTTGCTAGTTTCACTGGTTTACCAGCTGGTCTTAAGTTTGGAAAAAGAGGGAATGTTGAACGTGGAGTTAATGACCTAACTCCGGAAAATCAACGCAATCGTTACAGAAACTTCAATGCACAGGGGTCGGTGTATATACTGTTAACTGGGACAGCAAAGGTCAGAGTTTATTGTTATTAGGAATAACAACGTGTTAAAAATAATGGGTAATCTTATGTAATCGAGAGAGTTGACAAACAATTATGGGCAGTCATTTGAAAATAACTGACAAAAAACGGAAGAACAAAGAATTGGACATAGGTTTTAGAACAATAAAAAAGACTACATAGAGTTTACTATGTCACATTTCAAGAAAACAGAATCGACACAAAGGCCACAGTGGTGGTAGAAGAGGCTGGATAAAACATTTCTGAACACAAAGTTCCAGTTTTTTTTCTTGTCGACTGCACCAGAGCCTCAGCTGCATGAGAAGATGTAAGCGAAATACTTTGTAGGCATTTTTCATACAGCCCGTCTGTTGTAGTCAATTTGTTTCATTTATATTGTAACAACAGAGGACAAGGGCCAGGCAACAGATCGTTTATTTATGAAATCAATAGATATTTATAGATTTTCATGTACATTATTACAGATTATTGTAAGCAAACAAACACACTCTTCTGATCAGTGGTTTCTCGCGGAACGTTAATCTTTCATCTCTTTGTGGCCGTTTCTTGTTTATCTCCAAATTGTATCCGCCTACGCAAAGGCTGCTGTGATTAGTTGTTGAGTCAGTCTTTGTTCTTATTTTTCTCACGACCAATATTGGGGATGTAAACATTGACGTAAATTACTGTCTACCAATTTTGGATAGTAGCCAGCTCTCACTACAATATCACCCTTTTAAGTGTCATTTAAAGATATTTTGTTTACTTCATGCATAATTAATCTATATATATTTTTCTTTTCTGAAGGCTATCATTTTCAGTAAGAAAACATTTCCTACTGTTACCTATCGTGTTCTTAATGAAGAAGCAGACAATGATCACACCGGTATGCAATCTAAAGATGCCAATTACTACACTACCAAGTCATCTGTAATAAATCAATGGACTTCTGGCATACAAGCATTTCCTTCACGTCCTTCCTCTACTGCTGCTGCTGCTGGCGGCGGTGGTGGCGGTGATAAAATTCAAAATATCCTCAATGCTTTAACAACTAATGAACAACAGTATAAATATCCTTTCATTGGTTTAACGGATAAATCATCAAAAAAAGATGGATTGTCCAGTTGTGGAGGCTTAGAACATTTCACCTATCCATGGGTTTTAGGTGAACGTGTACCGCTTGTTGTTTTTGTCACAGCTAAAATACGTCAAATGGCTGTTAGTGCTGTACTCAGTGAGCTTAATTTGAATGCAAGTATACGAAATGTTCACGGTTCATTTACACTGACAAATCAAATACGTGGTCGAGGTTAGTCTATTTATACTAGAAGAAATAATACCCTTCACCATTAAATTTGTTTAAAATTATTATTTGATTGAATGTTCATTTTTTTCATGTACCTTAATATTCTACTTTCCGTAGATTTTCAGTTATACACTTAAAGTTACAGGGTATGTGGATAACAGTGTCAATTGATACATGTGTCGATTATTGTGTATTATTATTACTATTGTTCCCTTGGGTTCCTAGTGGAACACAGGGCTTCAACTGCACGTCTCCACTTGCTTCTGTCTTCTGCTGTACTTTTCACCTGCATCCATGTTAGTCCATGCTGTTTCAGCTCCTCTTCACACGATCTCCTCCATGTCACCCTTGGACGTCCCACTCGTCGCTCCCCTTTCAGGTTCCACTCGAGCTATGGCCTGACGCGCGATGTCACTCAACGGCCTCCTCAGCGAGTGTCCAATCCATCTCCACTTTCTCCTGCATATTTGTTGGGCCATTGGTTCTTGTTTTGTTTATTCGCATAGTTTCTTGTTGGTGATTCTTTCCGGCCATCTGATCTTGAGTACAGAACGAAGACAGTTGTTGATAAAGGTCTGCAACAGGCTGTTGGAAATATTCTTTGTGACCCGCCGCCAAGTTTCTGATCCTTTCGTACAGAAGAACTGACTTGACGTTTGTATTGAAAATCCGAATTTTGTTGTTGATGCTGAGTGACGAAGATTTCCAGATTGGTTTCAGGTTGATGCCTAGACTACTACCCCACTAGTTTTCTAGCCGGTCCCAAGCCCGGATAAAGAGGGAGGGTTGGGGCGTGGTGCTAGCAACTCCACCCCCAAAACTTAACCAAATTGCTACAAAAACTTCAACGATTTTTGTGTGGATGTACTTTATTGGCTTTAGTCTTCAATTTTCAGTCAGTGAGTTCAGGATTTCACTAAGTATTTCTAGTTTTATGATCGTTTAGTTTCCCAAGTGGAATTCTATGGGACAAAGGGAACTCTTCATATAGTGGTGTATTTTTTAAAGTTTGACTTCATATTGATATTATCTGGAGAACCATTGAAAACCAGCAGGGAGTACTTGACAGCAGTTTTGTCCTAGTTTGCCGCTAATCTGCCCAGTACTCTCTGCTAGTTTTCAAAACAAACAAATGAAATCCCTACAAACTAACTCTTGGAAAGGATTTTTATTTGATGATGTACAATTAAGAATAATAGGACGTTAGGACCATTTACACCACTCACTAGATTTGTTTACTTCATTGCTTAAGTTTTTTAGGTATTTTGCTTTTATATCAGATAGCTGTTTAAAATTATATTCTCTTCGTAACAAATTAGTAATTGTAATCAATGTAAATAACTTTCAGGTGTTATTGTCTTTATTGAAAAATCTATTTACTTCAGTATTCTGTTGAAATTTCTGTTTTTAAAAATATTTAGGTAGTTTCACTGAAAAATTCTCTGCGCATAGTTCAACTTTACATTGTGGTGATTGTAATATTCAATTAACCGAAAAGTTACCACTTAGTATTCAGTAAGTGTTTTTCCACTTCCAATGGAGTGTTTTTTCCTGTTTGTACTCGGATATCACATATGTTTCATTTTAACAATAATAATTTTCAAAAATTAGTTTGTAGAGGAATTCTGTTTGTTTCAGGTAAGACCACGGATTGATATCAGTTAGAGAACCATTGAAAACCAGGGAGTACTGGACAGCTGTTTCTCCCTAGTTTGGGGCTCATCGACAGTATGCACCCACTGGGTTTCGAACCCAGGACCTTCCGATTACAAGACAAGCTCGTATACCATCCAGCCACTGGGAGTGAGGATGGAGTTCCCGCCGATGACACTGGTTAGTGGTCGCGCTAAAACCATGAATTGGTAGAAGCTAGAATTCATGAGTCGGCCAATGAATCGGGTCCCAGTGGCTGATTGGTATACTAGCTTGCCTTGTAACCGGAAGGTCCTTGGTTCGAACCCCAGTGGGTGCGTACTGCCGATGAGTCCCAAACTAGGAAGAAACAGCTGTTCAGTACTCCCTGTGGTCAGTTTTCAATGGTTCTCTAACTGATATCAATCCGTGATCTAACCTGAAATAATAATAATTATAAGCATATTTCTTTATTCTAAGCAAAATGTTTACTTGGTTTATAGAATTCTCAGGCTAATTTATTGCATAACATTTTCTCTTCATCCAGGATCTTCAATTAAAATAGCAATCTATAGTATATCACGTGACCCAATGCTTTTAGGTCTGAACCACGGACCAATCCCTTATGATATTTCCCCTTTGATTCTGCAAAATGTGCACCGGTAGTTTTGAAAGCCTAATGAAAATGTGCATGAATAAATTTTGCAACTCAAAGATATAACTGAATCGTTAAGACAATAAGAATTAGAGAAAATATGATGTCACTTATTAGGTAGTCTAGTGACTCAATAACGCAGCCAAATTTATCAGAATTTATATTTTACTAGAGAAAATGAAATTATATTGAAGCAAATGAACAGTACGTAGATCAGCGTTGTGTTGTTATATAAAACACTATGTCGTCTCCTGTTGCCTACCGACGAACACAAAATGTGAGATATTTGTTATATAGAGTAAGCCTGAAGTAGAGCCATCTGTTGCTGTATTATTCTAAGGAAATACATGTGCAATTGATTACACCATATATATGTTTGCTTCCATTTTGTAAGAAACAATTCACTCTTTCAGTTTCAAACTCTTAGATGTTCTTTCACTCGCTGATGTCGAATCCCTTGCGAATTGGGTTGTATATGCAGTTGAAAGCGACATCTCAAATAAGTACTTCTGTATTTATAATTAACTAAATTATGATATGGAGAGAAGCTGCTTTTTAACTACTTTTTAATACAAAATCTTCATTCGTGTGTGGTGAGTACTAATAACTTGCAATCTTCTCTGGGGACTGTCGAAATTTATTCTGAATAAACTGATTTATGGTGATATCGGTCGCATTTTACACTAACAGTTTTCAGAAATAGGCAAATCATGTTCTTTTTTATATTCTAATCAACCTCATCATTGTTATTAAAATATTTTGTTAACTTTCATTTATCTAGAGAAGTGGTATGTGTAAAAGCTGGACGTTCTCATGCTATGCTATCGTGTAGCAGAAGTTTACATTCTGAAAGAAATGCATGCGTTTTTAGTCTTGGAAGAATTATGGTTACTCTACCGCATCATCCTGTTCGACTGCATAGTGTAATGCAACGTCAGGCTAAACGTATCTCCTCTACTGTATATGAACTTCTGCGAAATCCAAACACCGGTTATACACACATACATTCATGGTAAGTGCATTAGGTGTTTTCTTTCTTTAATAAGCCAGAAGATTTAAATAATGAAAATCAAAGAAATAAAGGAAATATTACTAATGAATCGTTACCCACCAGAATTTATTAAGAAATATATGAAGAATCATAGAAAAACTAAGATTAGGAATAAAAATGACAGAAATAACGAAAGTAATATAGAATTCAAAGCCTCTGTAGTACTGCCGTATAAAGAAGGAACGTCGTCAGAGGCGTTACTTAGGATTCTCAATGAAGCTGAAATTAGGGTGGCATTTAAACCACCCAAACAACTCTCTCAGAGATAAACTTTGTCGACTTAAGGACCCAATAGATCCAATTAAGAAAAATAATACTATTTACCAAATACCATGTAATTACTGTGAGGTCAATTACATAGGTCAAACTAGTATATCAGGGTCAGATAGATTATTGGAACATAAAAATTTAGGTAGACCTAGAATAATTGACCCTGCTAAGTTAAATAACCCAGGAAAAACACAGTTCAGTCATTGCACTGCATTCACTTGCATGTAAATCACGCAGCGATAGTTTGGGACAGGGTGAGAGTATTAAAAAGTAATATGGTTAGGTAGAGAGAGGGAGAGGTGGTTAATCACTGAAGCTTTGTTTATCGATTCAACACCGCACACATGCAATTGGAATGACGCAACACCTATACGGGAGATATGGAAAGTGGCAAATTGGAAAGAGAGAAAAAATATATAAGACAAAATGTGAAAATGTGTGACTAAATTGTTATGATTATGAGCAATAAGTTGTTCTCGAAGCGTCATCCAGTTGTTAATACTGTATCACTGTGTGATACTTAGAATAAACTTATCTAACATGGAATTACATTTTACCACAGTGCCCAAGTTCCACACTTGTATTTTTTCTTTATTTTAAAATCCTTTTGTTTTGTACCAGTTGGAATTCCAGCACTTTTAAATTATTAATCGGAAACTAATTTAGTTATTTATATATTTTAGGCGTTCCTCAGGATCTCGTATGGCGACAACCCCAACAACATGTAGTACAGCAACTACAGCAAGTGACCCTTCAAATAATCTGAAATCACATCAGTCAGCAGCAGAACCTGTACAAATTTCAGTCACGAATGCTAAGAAGGTGAACCAGTCACCTCCACTTGTGTTCAGTCTTCTAGCTGTTTCTCAGGGTTTAACTGTCAATGTGGCTTTGCATTCTACACTGAAAGCTGTTTACCATGTCAGTTGAAATTTAATGATGTCATTATTTTCAAGTAATGGTTTTTGTAGGGATTTTGTTTGATTGGTTGGTGGATTTCAACATGAGCTGACATCATTTAGAGAACCATTGAAAAACCTGGGAGTGCTGGACAGCTGTTTCGTCCTAGTTTGGGACTCTTCAGTAGTACACACCCACCACAGGGGTTCGAAACCAGGACCTTCTGGTTTCAAGACGAGTGAGCTCGTATACTACTCAGCCACTGGGACCCGACCCAATGGCCGGTGCATGAATTCTAACTTCTGCCAATTCATGACATAGCCCGACCACTTCTTCGATGAGTTACTGCCTCACCTTCAACCTGTTGCACCCTACTGGTCACAGCTTCCCACTAGAACCCCAGGTCACTGCCTGAATAGGGACAGTCGCTAGTGAGCATCAGATTGATTTTCATGATGAAATCCTCCAACCGATGTCATCATTATTGGTGTCGTTATTATTATTATTATTTTATTATTATTATTCAGGGTATTGCTATTACTTATTAGGCGGAATGACATTAGCCGTTTTCGAATGGTCAGTCAAATTTATGTACTCTAGCACTTTCTATAGTTTGGTTTGTAAGGGTTAGTTTTGTTTTTACGAGTTGATCATGGATTGATATCAGTTAGAGAACCATTGAAAACCAAGGATTACTGGACAGCTGTTTCATCCTAGTTTGGGAATCACCAGCAGTACGCATCCACTGGGGTTCGAGCCCAGGACCTTCCGGTTACAAGGCAAGTTTGTATACCAGTGGGTGCGTACTGCCGGTGATTCTCAAACTAGGATGAAACAGCTGTCCAGTACTCCCTGGTTTTCAATGGTTCTCTAACTGATATCAATTTGTGATCAACTCGTAATCTAGTATTCTACAAACGAAAATAGCGATGAAAACAACCTAGTGGCATTAAATAGATGGAGTAAGTGTAAATTCCAAAACGGTCATTAATTCCTTCGACACTGCTGGCACACACGGACACAAAGCATGAATCCTGGATACTTACCTACTACTTTCATCGATGTAAGACGTAATTTCGAGTATTGTATGTGTGAATCAATTCCAAGTCGCCAATTAATTTGAAGGAGTCATTCTCTTGAGTAATTATGTAGGTTTCAGTTATTCAGTAGTCACTAATGTTGGCTAAATAAACAGTCTCAGTTCTAGTTATTATACTTTATCATAGAATCTACACCCAACACTTGCTATAGGAATGACTCATCACTCATACCAGAAATATAGAAAATAATACTACCAATCAAATCAAGAGATGAAAAATAGTGAAATTATATAAACGAAGTTATAAAGTTGTGTGAGTAACTTGATATGATTATGAGCAATAAATTGTGCTCGAAGCGTCAACAAGAAATATTACTGTATAACACTATGAGACTTTATCAAAATAAATGTTATCTACAATGGAATTATACTCTACGACAGTGCACAAGTTCTATTCTTACATCAATGATACTTTATCAACGTGTTTTTCACCTAAACAAGACAACATAATGTAGATTAATTCGTGTTCGTTTCATCGTGTCAATTCTTATCTTTTATTTATTTTATAGATTGATCCTGTTTACGTTTCTGGTCAGCTTGGCTCACGCAGTTATGTGGACATTAGTATCACCGATCATTCTCTCAGCCTTAAATCTTTGGTTAGTTAATTGTTGTCTAGATTGTATTTATAGTTTGATAAGCGTTTGATTTTACACTCAAGTTATTCTGTTTATTTCGCGAAATGTGTAGTAGCTGAGTTACCTATTGCCACTTGCTATTATTATTATTGCCCTGAGGACATAGGGCTTCAGCCGCACGTCTCCATTGAGTTCGGTTCTCTGCCAACGTTTTCACCTGGCTCCACGTCGGCCCACATGCTTTCATCTCCTCTTCACATGACCTCCTCCATGTCACTCTCGCACTGACGACCAACTCGCCGCTTTCCATTTGGGTTCCACTTGACACCCTGTCATGTGATGTCACTCACTTGATGGTTTGTTTTCTCAGAGTATGGCCGATCCACCTCCATTTCTTCCTGCATATTTGTTGCACAATTGGTTCCTGCTGGGTTGGTTCGCTCCCAGAGATCCCTGTTGCTGATCTTTTCTGGCCGGCCATCTGATTTTGAGTAGTATTGAGCAAAGACAGCTGTTGATGAAAGTTTGTAGTTTGTTCGAAGTGCCCTTTGTGACTCGGCGCCAAGTCTCTGATCCGTATAGTAGCACTGACTGACTTCACATTGGAGTTGAAAATCCGGATCTTATTTTTGATGCTGAGTGCTGTTGACCTCCACACAGACTTGAGAGTAATGAAAGCTTGCCTTACTTTCCCAATCCTCGCTTTGATATCCTCATCAGTTCCGTCCGCCTGTAGTTGAAACGATGCTTCCCAGATAGGTAGGTAAAGGAGGTTGCTTCTTTCAGATTTCTCCCATTTATGCTGATTGTTGTCTGTTGTTGTTACTGTTGCCGTTGGCCAGGAATCTTCATCACCTACCTCTGTTTTCTCTATGTTCACCTGAAGTCTTATCTTTGATGCTTCTTATGCCAACTTGTTACTTTTCACTTGCACATCTTCCAGTTTGTGGGAAATGCTACTTGCTATGCTTCTAGCTAAAATTTAACGTGAATGATACCTTACATGTAATATTACTGGAAAGATATAGTAGAATATCATTCCTTTCTTAGGTATATTAATACCGACCGAATTGGTGTATTCCTGGGTTTTTTCACCACTCTTTTTGTCTTCATATCTTAAGAGCTTTATGGATGTTACCATATGTACCGTTTAAGGATGACGTCGTTTCTCTTTGTTCACAAATAATTTTCTTATTAATCGTTGAAGCAAATACTCAATTCTTTGCTTATTACATTTCTGTTTGTTTATCAATTGTTGATTGTTCAGTGATATTTTTTAACAATATTTTTATTTCAGCGTCCTCCTGCTAACTTCCCAACATCAATCTCATTGCCTTTACCGCGTATATTAGCTTCAATAGTTCAACGTGTCTCTTCAGGTGGCCGTTATGCTCGTGGTCAGCGTAAAGAGGCTATACTCACCTACGGTTTAGAAGCTGAACAAGGACTTTATTTAGATATTCAAATACAAATTGATACTCTTGAACAAAATTTAAGTACTGATATGCTTAACTATATCATGGTAGTTGTGAAATTATTTATGAAGGTAATTATTACTGTCTATTGAATATATCATGCAATACCTTTCACTGATATTAATGATCATGTTTATACTGATGTTGAAATTACGTTATTTGAGTAATAGAACTGTGAGTGTATTGAATGTCTGACTGGAAGTTTGCTTCAATTTTTTATATTTTAAACAGTCACCTAGTTTTGCAATTAATAGTGTTCTCTGAGCTGGTTGGTCTGGTTGCGGAGCTTTCGTCGTCCATCTGGACAACATCTTCAGCGCAATATTTAGCATAAAGTGAAATGATTTAAATTTCTTCATGAGTGATATAATTGTGTCTCCCGGTAACCATCTTTACATATGTATTGACCATTTTCTATTGACTTGGATTTTAAACTTTCTGGTCACCTGATTTACTTCTTATTAGTCACCTAGTTCCCGTGGTTGTCAAATAACGGGTTTTCAAGAGTCAGTTTGTAGGAATTTAATTTATTTCAAGTTCGATCACGGATCGATATCAGTTGGAGAACCATTGAAAACCTGCAGGCAGTTCAGTGCTGGATAGCTTTCTCGTCCTAGTTAGGGACTCTTGCCTGGAGTTCTAGTGACCACTGAAGTCCACCCGGTATGACCTGAAGACAAATAATCGCCGATGACTTCGACTGGTGGTTGCGCTAAAATCATGAATTGGTAGAAGTTTGAATTCATGGGACCCTTGAATCGAACTTGCTTTTGTAACCTGAAAGTTCTGGGTTCGAACCCTGGTGCATGATTAAGAGAGAAGTATTCAACACTGACTCGTCATCCCAGTTTACAAAAAATTTCGGAAACTTGGTATGGTTTTCTGTTCAATTTTTTTTTCATATTTGATTAGCATTATCTTTATCTAAAACAAATATGTCACCAACTGGGCTGCCCACCTATCTAGTGATTATAATAAACTTTGATTTCATATGTTAAACCACCACCTTCAGTCTGATCAGGCAGGCTAGTAGTGAGTGTCACAGTCTTTGTTCAAAGTTCATTATTTATTATTTAATTCATTTATTTTGTGTAACTTTTGTAAGCTAGACAGTATTTGATGTATACAGCTTTTTACTTACAAGATTAGTTTGAGACAGACTGGTAAACTAGTCTAATTCAGAAAAAAGTATTTGCAAATAAATTTCATTACTGAATTCTGAATTATTTGAACTATCTAATTATGTCAATAGAAAATAGTTACATGCTACTGTATTAATTATTGATTTTTGTCTGTAAAATATTCCTAAAAGCCATCAAAAATGTTTATTTCTTATGTTTAGGAAATAAATGAAGTTATACAAAAAATGGCTGGTGATGAACGACCTCGTCTACGCAAACCTCTTTTAAGATTCACACAAAATCCAACTAATCAATCCGATGATTTAACACGTTTAAATATTTCCGGTATCCAAAGTGGTCCGAATGGTGACTGGATTCTGTCACGTGCTGCACGTGGCAGAACTAAATTCACAATCAAGTAATAATTTGACTTTTATAATTACCTCCTTATGTTTGAACTAAATTCTAATACTTTTTTTTTATCCATCTTATACCCAGTATAGCGAAAATGAAGAGTAAATTCCTCATCGATCGGTAATAATATTCAGGAGGATTCCTTACCTAAAGATACCTTGAATTAGTGCAAGTTTATTGGCACTTATAACATTCGACTATTCTACTATTTAAACACTTTTTGTGTGGATGTGTAGCTCATTGGCTAAAGCACTCAATTTTCAACCAATGGGTTATAGGTTCGAGTCCCGATTAACTTAGTTTGGCATTTGGAAACTGAACCACGTCATTGGTTCAATGGTAGGATGCTCGCCAACTATGCACGTGGCCCAGGGTTCGATTCCCGGTCGGCACACACCTTCACCTCGTTTAGTTGGTAGTCAGCCCGACAAAGAAGGGAGGTTGGGCCAGCAAACTCACCCCGTAAAAAAAGACATCACTACTACTATGAAACTTTATAGCTCAAGCTTGAAGCCCTATGTTCCACTTGGAACTCAAAGGAATGACGTAACATAACATAGTCTGTTACATGAGAAGATATTCTCTGACTAAGTGATTTGTAAAAGAATATTTTTATCTTTTCAAACACATTATTTCATAATATTTTTGCGTTTCATAGGAACTCTAAAGTGTCTAATGTGTTTCAGCTCATTAAACTCGACGCTTTGATACAAGTATGCATTTAGTGAGTGTATTTATCGCTTTTAGTGAAGTTTTTTTAGGTTTACTTATCACAATAAAACAATTACTGTTTATTTTTTTTGCCTCAAAGATAAGATGTTTTAAAGCAAGTTATCCATCACATCTTATTCACTGATAAATGGACAAGATTTCTTAGAACTGAACGTTAAATATCGACTTCTTTATTGTAGAAATTTGTTTGTCTATTTTTGGTGTTACTTAGTGCATTCATTCTAACTCTGTGACATAAAGTGGAAAAGTTTATGCACATATATTAACTAACATTTTTAGATAAAAGTATAATTAGCAATCAAATCTTTATGACCTTGGTTTTAGGTAGGTTATGTTGAACGGAAATTGTTGGTGTTTGTTGACAAGCGTGCTTCTTGTATGGACGTTGCGACAATGTCCGAAAGAATTGACGTGAAGTTATTCTGGTTAGTAATGAGTAGACGGTGAACTTCCATTTGTGTGACTCATCAGTTAGATGTACCTGTATTGGCGTCTTAAACGGTGGGTGCATGGTTTGGACCCAATTGGGAACACTACTCTCAGGGAACGCAGGTATATCTAGCCGACGAGTCCCAAACAGGATGAATTGTGCATCCTGGATCCCACTGCTCGCCACCATCAACCAAAATAACTTTACGTCTTTACTTGACAAACTGTTGTGATACGGAGTAATTATGTCTTCGGTTGGATAAACAGCAGTTGAATTACTCAAGTTTACTTTGTTCTCAGTAATATTCGTGATAAGCGTTATATATATATATTTTTTTTCTTAAATAAGTTTGAATGTATATCAGTGTTATATGATTGAAATTTTTTATAGAATACGAATGAAGGAAATTCAGTTGTTAGCATCAACAAAAAATGGTGCAATCAAATTAGAAGCTAGAAAAATTGAAGTTGAATTGACTAATCGTGTTTCACAAACTCATTCAATGAATAATCGTAATAGATCATTTTATCCATCGAATGATTCAAATATTTTATCAACACTTGGTGTGTCTCAGAAAAGACCTTCGAATTTAAATATTCGTTCAAACAATCCTAGTGGTTACCACTTTGATTTTAGTCCTACATCCCTTGGAGAATCAAGTGGTAAGTTGTTCTCAATTATGCATCGTTTAGTCTTCTGATTACTTCTGAAAGATTGATTGATCTATTGATTACTGAAAATAATGTTTTGAAATAAGTAATAAAGACATTTTGAGGACAGTTGGTTCCCTTTATGAATAATATCGAGAAAAAGAATGCGAAGACGTAATTTATCTGAATCGTGTAATGTATTTGCACAACACATTCCGAACAATCTGATCACACACTTTACTTGTTAGAGAAGTATACATGGAAATAATAGTAAAGCGTTAAGGGGTGACAGAATAGACAAAGGTCAAGTTAAAAGGTCATATTGAAGCTCAAAATGACAATGCAGATCAATAAACCAAAGGAGGGAGGTAATAGTACATGTGCCCTAGTATCAGAACAAAGTTTACTAAGGAAGGTTTAATGTGATGACGAATTGTCTTAGAACACATAAAGATGCTTTAAACTTCCCTACGTATGTGTGATCACGCAGACATTTAAATTGGTAGATACAGTGGGATGTGACATCGTTTTTCGCATGTCCTAGGGGGTTAGATGGATATATAGCCATCACATTCTTTTCGGATCTTTGCTGCATAGAAAGTCTTTTTAACCTCAGCATTCAATCTTTGTCTAGCTACCAAACTGCTATGATCACCCATGTAGGCTAGCTTGATATATACGTCCTTCCTAGCTGCAAGTTAGAGAATGGGTCTTGGTGTTCTGACCCTTCAGTATCTCCTTAGAACTTCTCCGGATAATTATTATCAACTAGACTTTCCATCAGTTTTCTTTCTTCATCTTTAAGTGTATCTTCTAGGTGTATTCGTTGAATCCTGTTAAAGAGACACCTCACTAAGGCTCTTTTGTACCGAACAGGAGAAAGCTGTGGTAATTAAGATACTATACTGTTAGATTCTAACCGTCGAAATTCCGTAAACTACTATATATATATATATATATATATATATATATAATATATTCTTCAGTTCATATGGAGAAGATGGTTACTGGGCAAATGTACAAGTTGCTATATCCTCTGCAGACAAAACATGCCCTTAACTTTTGTTGTCTGCAACTTACTAGTTTCTTTGTGCATCTCAATTGATTGGAATATATCTGATAGCTGTTATCTCAGCTGGGCTTGACTAGGCTTATTTATTTTTGAAGCATATTTCTCCCCATAAATTACTCCTGATAGGATTTACCTTGATTACATGTTAAATAAAAGTAACTACTCTGATCGTGTGTGCGTCGGTGGCACAGCGGTTAGGACGCTCGCCGACCATGCACATGGTCCGGGGTTCGATCCCCGGCTGACGCACTCCTTTGCCTCGCTAAACCAGAAATAAAGCTGATAAAGAGGAAAGGTTGGGCATGAGGCTAGCAACCCCATCCTGTAAAAATAAGCACTGCTACAGAAACTTCAAGCCACTAGCTTGAAGCCCTATATTCCACTGGGAACATGAAGGAATAAAAGAAAACTAATCGTGTGAACGACTTGTGTTTTGTCTTAGCTAATGAAATATCCTATAGCTGATTGGTGAATAATCTGATGACAATTCAGCATCTCATTCTGATGACTAATTTTCCTTCAGCTGTATTATTTTTTACATAGGCAGAAGGTGTAATCACAAAATAGCAGTTTAAAAGTGTTCAGTTCCATTTTTTTTAGTGATTAGCATTCCTTCATTATTCCTGAGGATATTTAAACCCTGAATGAAGCAACAAAATCAACAGTTAAAAAATTGTGTAAACGACTCTAAGTAGGTATATGTATAAGTTAATGCCAGAATACTCCAACTCTTAGTAATTTTACTCAATGCATTTTCTTTTCTTCATAGTTTTTATTCCATCCTAATTAGTCTTTTTTTTCCTTACCATTTTGTTTTCAGGTCATGATTCACTTTTCATATACGCTACCATTGCCAATATTGGTCTAGATTTGGGTTATTTCGATCAGGTAAGTTGAACAAAAGCTATATTATATTACCTAATTTAATTATATTCACGTCATCTTCCCTTTAATATCTATAAAAAATAAAAAGTGACTCTGTTTTCAATAGAGTCATTCTACATCCGCATATCTCTTGTGAATTTGAGCATATATCGACAGATCACGGCAGTATTTGGTAGTAGAATTGCTTATTTGCTGAAATGATGTACACATATATGTCAAAACCCTGAAACCTTACATTGATTGACTGACTGGTTTCAACATAGAACTTCGCACAGATGTGCAGCAGTTAGAGTTGCCACATTCAATGTAGCATGCAAAGCAAGAAAAGAGAGTAAACCAAGATTCAGAACAGAGATAGTAAACAGAAGTAAGGGGCAAAAAGAATAATAATATAGAAGAACAACAACAGAATTTTATTGGATATGATAAATCACAAAGAGTGGATGCATCTGCGTCAGCCATTGAGAACGATTTTGAGCCATATCACCAATTGTCTCCAGCCTTCATCGGTTTTTACCATTCCGGCGACCCCAACCAGTCAAAAAGATTACACCCCCCCTACGTGGCTGACTGACTTAAACCAACTGTTATGGATTTCATTGATTGATGAAGCCCTGTTTTGGTTTGACCACCACTACCAACTCTTTTCCAACTTCATCGATCCTATGTCAGCTAACATTGCTCGTCAGTCGAGGAAGGCGATGGCTAGCGATGCATGCATAACACATGTGTTGACCATCTTATCGGTGTAACTTCACAAACTCGTCGATTGATTTCCCCTCCTTACCTAGCACTCGACTGAGGCCTAACCTCAATATTTCCCACCATATTACACCTACCACCTAACATGGGAGATAGAACGCAGACACCTATGATCAAAGACAACTAGCGAGCCTTTTCATGTCTTCCATTTTCAATGGCCATGTCCCACTCACAGTCATAAATGAGGACGGAGCGGACTGCTGAGCAGTACATAGTACACACGTCCTTTGGTCGATAGCTGGATATCACGTCTACGTCAGAGATGGCGTAAACTGGCATATGCCAAACTAGCCTTCTGTATCGGTGCTGAGATTTCGTCAGCGATCGATCCGTTGGCGTTGGCTGATTCATCTCCCCAAATAACTGAAGTGGTCAACGTGCTCTACCACTTCACTCCCTATTTCTAAACCAGGAGTCAATCTAGTCCAGTCCTGTAGCCACATCGTCTTACAGTTGGCGGGTGCGAATCGCATGTACCAAACATTCGAAGATTGCTGCTCCTCAAGGTGTTCAGAAGACTCTGCTCTATTTTGTTAGCGTCTTCACGTAGAAGGACTATGTCATCTGTATGTTCTAAGTCGACGGGACTATTCTCTAGTAGCAAGTCAATCCCTGAGTCCCTGAATGCAATTGGAGTTAAGTCCACTAGTACATCTATGATGAAACTAAACAGAAACGGGGACCTTACATTGAAATCTCCATGTGCATATGTTCTTCGTGCTTGTTCTCTTTTTGTCTTCCTTTCATGCCTTGTGCATATTTGTTTTACACTGATCTTTCATTTTGTCCTCTTCGTCACTTAATCCCTGTCTCTATTGTTTAATCTTATTTCCGGAGACATCGCATAATATACAACCATTTACAAAGTCTTGTCAATAGCACAAGTTTTTAGGATGAGATTATAATATATATATTCGATTTTGGTATAACATTTACAACAAGTCTTTAAGTTATAATAAAGGTTTTTTGTGTTTCCCAATGAATGAAAAACAAAACAATATTGTTTTTACTGACGTTTCGCTATTTAGTGCTAATAACTGTTTACATAATGAAATTGCTTGTCACATTCGTGTTAGTTTTGTTTTCTCATGGAGGTGGGGGAGGGAGTGTTGTAACCAGGTCAAATTCTGTTTTAGTCCATCATTCCATTTGATATGAAGTGCTTCTGATATTAGACATTCTTTGTGATTTCTGAAATTTTTCTGGACTATTTCAGTATTGTCAAACTTGTTTTGGACATATATAAGTCTCTAAGTTACCAGAATATTTTTTAAATATTTCAATTCATTCTTTAATAAAAACGACGTTGAACTACAACTTCAATAAGCGTATAATATGAAATATCGAACGAACATTAAAATAGAAAGTTTCTTTTATCGTGAAATTAATATTCGTAACAATCGCTGTTATTATGCCCTCTACGGACTTTCATTATGCCTCTGGATAAAGACCTCAGCTCTGATTTCAAAATAATAATGTGAGCTTTTGGAATTATTCATGAATCATATGACTGTCTCTACTGATGGATGACCTTGACCTTGATTACTTGTCCTCGAAAATTTCCTCATCATTTTATTTTCATGCGCTCTTATTGATCGTTGACTTGATATTTGACCTGTGATCACTTAATTTGTTCTTAACTGATTAACACATTCAGTCTAGAGGGATTATGAAAGCTTTTAATAATAATAATAATAATAATAATATACTTTATTCCAAAAACAGTACTTGTGATACAGAATGGAATTTTCAGCATTAATCACAATATTGCATCTAATTTCCTCAAATTATAAATAAAAATTAGTCACACAGAAAATTTTCAACATTTACAGTAGGGGTAATTTCAAAAACATGCAGCATATAAAATGGAAATAATAGTAATGATAACAGCTAAGGTAATAATAATAATACAAGTGAAAATTGCCGTGGGCTTGTTTCACACAGTATTGTCGATGGGATAGAAATCCTAGCATGTTTAAAAATATTGAATATAATGTTCTCTTTACATGATATGGTGAGGGGAAAAACAAAAATTACAGAAGTCATAGAGATAAGTTGGTGTTTGCAATTATGAGAGTAAAACAAAGAAGCAACAGGACCATAAATATAATAGAAATAATAAAAGTAAAACTTGAAGGTGTATAAGGATGGATGGAGGAAATTGTTTATTTACTGGATGAAAAAAGGTTAGTTAATTCTTGCCTGACATTATTTTCATCACATAAAATACGTGCCAAGTATGGTATCATAGAATTTTTATACTTAGACATGCGAGCATACAGTTTTCTGAAGTTACTTCTTGTTCTACCTGAGGAAATGCAAGGTGAAAGCTGAGGGTAAAGTGGATGCTCCAAGTCAGACAAAATCCCTCTAGCAAATTTATTGCACGAGGTCAAGTGCCTATCGACAACGACGTTAACTATGTGGTCCACTGGGACACCACTCACCCTACTGACCGTCTTCAGCATTCTACGAATTGTGACATAGTCCTTTTTAAGCAAACCAGGAAAGAATAAGGGTGAACAATAAAGAAGAATAGGTAGGATGCAAGAGTTTATGAACTGTAAGAGGAGATAAAGATTGTATCAATCAATGGTTTTACACATCACTATTATCAATTACTATAATTTCAGCTAGGTGTTTGATTTAGCTAAGAAATATGATTTCAATAAATATTTAGTCCTGTAATTTTTATATACTGCTAACTCAAAAGAGTTTCATGACAGGAAAGATTTAATCCTCTGAAATGTTAGATTATAGTTCAACTAAGTAATAAGTGAAGGATCAGTGTTTTTAATCAGATCGTATCACAAAGATTACCAGTCGTTTCTCACGATCATATTATTTCCTCTGATTTTTCCTCAATTCACTAATCAAGTGACAGTCTTTCCCCTAGTGTCTTAGGTATTAGAATGTTTACTTGTCTGTATATTTCTCATAACATAGCTGATACGTCATGTGATGGCTGTTTTAAAAATTCATTATCAATAAAGAAATTTCACCTATCTTTCTCTTGATATCTTTGTTTACGGTAGTGCAAATGACCAGATTACAGAGATACAGAATTTCTTCTAGTCCACTAAGGCTACCGGTAGTAAAACATTTTCTGCGCCTTTTCATGCAATTCTTCTCTAGGAATATGTATCAATGATCCATATCTGTCGCTTTGTGATCAAATATCAGATCTGAGAGATCTATAATAAATGCACTTGAGCTACTTATCCTTCCGCTTAACTGAAATGCTGCTCTTATGAGATTTAGAGCTAGAAGTAGTTTTAGATAAAGCTGTATTTAATGAATTCATAAATTTTTGGTAGAACTAATCAGTTGAATACTCTATATAAATCATTGTATTTATGCCAAATCGAAGGGTTAACATGGTACATACAGTGGTCACAAATAATTCTTAAGTTCACAATTAAGTACGTAACCAAAATGTGTGAATTTGTTATTTTCATATTTTTCAACATTATAACTACTTTAAACATCAGACTACACATTCAAGTACCGTATAATTATTAAATACACTATATTCATATGCTGTAACTTAGTGAATCGCTATGCATATATTGATCTTCTCATTAAATATGGCGTATTTATTTATTGTCTACCGCCACTCCTTGTGACTTATGATTTCCAATGAAACTGTTTTGTTCTTCGTTATTACTATTCCTTTTTACCTTGTTTACTGTCTATATTATGCATTTCTTCTACTTTCTTCTCTTGCTTTGTGTGCTACATGGAGTGTGGCGACTTGAACTGCCGCATATCGGTGCAAAGCTCTATGTCGGAAACAGATAGATAGATAGTCTACCGCCAAGTTATAGTGTGTTTAACTGATGTTGAAATATTAATTTTGTTTTCCTTTTGGTTGTTTTCCTTTCACAGGATACCTTTCATGCACTTAGTCCTGATTTTCAAAATGTTGCATTTTTCCGTACATCTGTTGCTTTACGTTCACTGTTGGCCGATGAAAAATTTGCACCAAATCAAAATGGTGAATATTGTAATGCAAATAATAGTAATCGTGGTGAACAGGATGCATTTCTTATTTCATTGAATCGTCCAATTGTCTGGCTTAAGCCTTTTACACTTGATCGAGGTATAAATAGTGTATAATTTTTTTTTAATTATTTAAAATAGACATAATTTTATAAATACTGCGTTTATGAATGGATTTTTTTATTCCTGTACGTCCCCAGTGGAACTTCGGGCTTCAAGCTAGAGCTTTGAAGTTTCAGTAGCAGTGATGGGTATGGTTTGTTATCCTCATGCCTAACCTTCCCTCTCTATCGGTCATATTGTGCGTCGGTGGCACAGTGGTTAGGACTCTCGCCGACCATGCACATGGTCCGGGGTTCGATCCCCTGCAGACGCACACCCGATATCTATGGTCGGCCTACAAAATTTGGGTTACCGATATCCATGCTGAAAATTCCATACTTGTACTGAAAATACGGTGTTGCATCAAGTGTAATCAAAATCGGCTTAGTGAGGTAAGGAAGTGCATCGGCTGGGGATCGAACCCCAAACCACATGTATGGTTGGCGAGTATTCTACCGCTGTACCACCGACGCACATATATTCATCATATTATAGAGAAATCAGTACCTCCCATTAACATATGAATATTCAGTATACATTTATAGCGTGTATTCATCAAATAATGGACGTGAAATCCACAGAGCATGAAATACTTTCACTTAATAACTTAAAATTCACCTTCTACATTATATTGTCAGCTTTTTTTTCCTAATGAATTTCTAGCCATTACTTTCGCTATGAGCCTGAATATGAAGGTAATAATTGGAAAGCTGTTTGTTTCAAATGAAGAAAATTGTATATTTCGTATTTTAAATATTCTTTGTCATTTCAATGTTCCACATAGAAATTAAAGTTATCGCGGTGATGTTAAACTCCCCCATTTTTGTTAGGTAGTGTATACAAATTTCAAATGTCTTCTTTTTAAAGCTTTCATGATGAAATTTTTTACAGCTGAGAGTGTGTCCAGCACACTGTAGATTTAAAGCTAGGATATTTGAATACGTAATTTTAGGTTTGAACTACAATTCAAACAAAAGAATCTTAATGTACTTAATAAATATTGTGTCAAGATGTATGATATCTTCAGCTGTAAAACCTTATTAATGAAATCTATGAATGTTTGAATTATTATATAGTAGCTGTAAGGTTATAAGTTTGTTATCTTGCACCTAAGGTGTGTGTGATAGAATACTCGTAACGACAGAAGACAAGAGTCAGGCAACAGATCATTTATTGAGAAAATCAACAGATATTTATAGATTTTTATGTACATTATTATTCGTTATTGTTAGCAGAGAAGCAACGTCTTCTGATTGGTTGTTTCTGCTGAAGGTTATTCTGTCATCTCTTTGTTGTCGTTTCTTAGACAGTCCGGTGATACATCTGCAATCGCATCCGCCCACGCTAAGTCTGCTGTGATTGGCTGTTGAGTTCCTCAAGGTTAGGCCTTTTCTCATGATCAATTTTGGCTTGCAGACAGCTTTCACAACATACTGACTAATTTATTTCAGGATTTCATCATGAACTGACATTGGTTAGAGAACTGTTGGAAAACCTAGGAGTACTTGACAGCTGTTTCGTGAGCCTCGTTTGGGACTAATAGAACGCACCCACCACCAGGGTTCGAACCCAGGACCTACCGGTTACAAGGTGAGCCCGTAGACCATTAAGCCACTGGGACCCGATCCAATGGCCGGTGCATGAATTCCAACTTGTGGCAATTCACGACATGTCGCGACCACTAGTGAATGTCATGCGTGGCAAGTATTTGTCCTCACACCCGACCTGCTGTACCCCACTGGTCAAGACTTCCTGAAACCAATTGAATCCCTGCAAACAAAACTTGAATGAATAATTTATATTGTTATAGTGAACTTCTATAGAAAAAGATGATCTGACAGCTTATGTGTACACCTACCAATAGCAGATGGAGTGTAAATTAGCTTGAATATCCTACTTTTTAGTTATAAATAATGACTATATTTGAATATATTTACGCCTTTTCTTTTTATAAAAAAAATTTGTATAGGTATAATGATGTGGATGGTGTACAGAGATGAATTTGCCAAGTGGAATGAACATATAGAACATTTGGCATCCATGGTAAGAGTGTCTGATATGTACCATTTTTGTGCCTTTTTCATTTAGTTGACATATTTTGGTCAACTTAAGTTAATTAAAACAATCAGGCTCTTTGATAAATTTGATTATGGCATTTAGAAGACAAATTTCTCGAGATGATATCATTTTGTAGTTTCTCTATAATCGTTTTGCAACTACCATCGTTCACAATAGTAAAATAAAATAAAATGCATGACTGCTTGTGTATCATATATCTTAAAGAAAAGTCATATATATATATATATGTTACAAACATTTGAACTCTGCTACAATAAACATGTCACTAGTAGATATGCAAAATTCAAATATTTTGTGAAATAGTGTGTTTAAAGCATGATATTTAACTTTTATCAATATTTATTGTTATTTTATTTTGCTTTAATTTTGATGTAATTGTGTTCTCTGAGCTGGATGGTTTACTTGTGAAGCTTTCGTCGCCTTACTAGACAACGTCTTCAGCTCATTCTTCAGTTTGACTTCAAGTTGAAATATGAGCTGAAGACGTTGTCTAGTAAGGCGACGAAAGTTTCAAAAGTAAACCATCCAGCTCAGAGAACACAATTACATCAAAATCATCCACCTGAGCTACAAATCTTCTCCACTATACTTTGTTTTAAGTAAATAGTTGAGAACAATAAAGTAGATATAATCGAAAAAACTGTGTTAAGTAGTTAAGCCAATTGGAAATTGTTTTGTATAAACACATTTCATATTTTTATTAGCTACAAAAAATGTACTATCAAGTCTATGCAGTTTTACATAAGTATCTATTCCAAATCACTTTACAATAAAGGGGGGAGGAATAAATAGTAGTGGGATTTTAAGATTTTGTCACCCGAAAAACTCTTTATGCTGCCCGAATTATAATTATCGAAAAAGCTAAAGGCATGTTCTTTACCACAATCCTCTACATTGTATAAACGGTTGTGTCACACCTTATATTGTATACTACATATAAACATGCAGAGGAATATTCTGCGTTGCTGAACGCCTTTGCTTTTATATTGTAACAACAAAAGGCAAGACACGGAAGCCAAGGTATATTTTTCATTGATCAAGCCGCTTTATATATATATATAGTTTACATTAAACGACATGAAATAGAATGTTCAAATATACATAGTATTCTTTTGTCAATGCAGTATATAACCATGGGAAATGTATTCTGTCGCTAACATCAAATAGGATGTTCAAATAGATGTATCGTATTCTGCTGCTACTGCAGTATTGAACTGTGGGAATATGTGAGAATAATATTCCGTTGGCACACATTGTCTGTATCACACCACCACAATATGATTTAATGGGAATTTTTAAGTTGCTCAAACGTTGCAAGTATCCGGTGTCTGAAGAAGCTGGACAATTTCCTGCTTTTTTTCCTTCACGTTCCCCAGTGGAACATAGGGCTTCAAGCTAGTAGCTTGAAATTTCTGTAGAAGTGTTCATTTTACAGGATGGGGTTGCTGGCCTCGTGCCCAACCTTTCCTCTTCACCAGCATTATTTCTGGCTTAGCGAGGTAAAGGAGTGAGTCGGCCGGGGATCGAACCCCGGACCATGTGCATGGTCGGCGAGCGTCCTAACCGGTTTGCCACCAACGCACTGAATGCCTTTTCTTTTATATGAATAATCGTTTCCTACTTGTGAGGGTGGGGAAACATATACTCAAATGGCTTAAAAAACAACTGAACTCTCACTGCATTTACCAAGTTTAGTGTTAATTAACAAGAAGCCAAAATTTTCACTTCTGTCTTATTCTTAAATCCCTTTGTCTGAATCGATAAGTAAATATATGATCAGACTGTTTGAAATGTATTGCGCAAATACACCACATTTCCCAGGTAAACTCTGTCTTCGAATAACACTATCGAAATTTCTTAAAAGGACTAATTTTTCCAAATTGTATTTAACTAATTACACAGAATACTATCCAATTACTTTTCAAGATACCAGCTGAAACTTAATAGTTTTATAGCATGCATAATTAGTGTGATTACTATTCATATTTTGACTTCAGTCTCCTTTTTATGGTCGACATTATCAAGTTTGGTTATAATGAAGTTTTTAGCGTTGTCGTATTTATTCATTCATTATATGTATATAGTAACTTTTGTGTAAATCTGTGAGAAAGATCGTATCAGAGCACAATTCCTTTATTGCTATTAATTCTACCTTGCTTCATTGTAAATTTATTTTACAAAAGTTATTAGTTCGTTGTGTACTCAAATTTTCTTCATCTGTTCTATTCAAACGGCAGTATTGTTTTCTCATCTGTATATATGTATGTTTCAGGCTCCTCCAGAGGAAAACTTTGAACAACCACAAATTCGTCCAGGTTCTACTCATGGTGCCTACCATACCAGTGGCCATCCAATTAAAGACCGTTCTCAGCATACATTTGTTCCTTCTCCTCCTCCTCCTCCTCCTCCTCCTTATTCCACTGTACATCCACCGGCTGCAACACAAATGAATGAAATACCCGATGTCACTATCGCGTCTAATCCATCCGTCAACAGCAATAATAAGACATCATCAACTTTATTTCTACAACTAAGTATAGAAGATCTTGGCGTTTGTCTGCCTATTCACATGATTAAGGTAATGTTTAAAGTGTTGTGTAACATTAATTTTAATTTTTAATTTTGATTACAGCTTGATGCCACACCGTATTTTCAGTACAAGTATGGCATTTTCAGCATGGATATTGGTAGCCCAAATTTTGCAGGCCGACCATAGATATCGGGTGTGCGTCGGTAGGGGTTCGAACCCCGGACCATGTGCATGGTCGGCGAGAGTCCTAACCACTGTGCCACCGACGCACATGATCATGTATAGAAAAAATATTTTGATAATAGTTACCATGACTACCAAAATGACCATTCTCATGGGTGATCTTTTGAACGTGTTTGTGTGCCGTAGAGTAGGCTTATAATAATAATAATAACATCTTTATTCTGGACAGTATTCATAAAATGTACAGAATTTTCAGAGAAGTTTATTGCATGATATTTTCCCTTCGTACAATATCTACAAGTAAAATATTAATTAACAGTATATCCTGTGACACAATGATCTCTGAGCTGAAGCACAAATCATTCCATTATGATATATCTGCTTTGTCTCCTTCAAGAAATCCACGATATCTAGTTGAAAGTCAATTGTAAAATGTTCAGAAGTACATTTTGAGACCCAAGGATTTAACTGAAGAACAGTTATCTCATATATTGGAACACGTTGCCACCCATAATCAGGCTTTTCCTCAAGTTTAGTAGAAACTTGCGAATCAGAAGCTTGTAAACATTTTAAATACACACAAAAGTAGATAATGCCATTAGAGGCATATCTTAATCGATTAAAACAAACAGAACGAGAGAAAATATATGCAACAGAGAGATGGAAGTTTTTGGTAACTCAAGTTTTAAGCATGCAGCCACAAGCCCTTTTCAGAAAGGGTAGAGAGTAATGCGTACAGTTCTTTAATAAAATCAAATGACTTCTCAACATATTTATAACAACACATTTAAAGTTGTCTGCTATGTATGTTATATAATAATCGCCGTATACTACTGTCCTTTTAGAAAGATTTTGTTGCATTTGCATTAAAACCTTTCGGAAATGCCCTAACTTGTACAGACATTATTTTATTTCTGTCACCGAAGAACGTTACATTCAAAGTTTCCTACTTTCTTAGAAAGTTAAAGTTATATTTCTCAATTATATAGGAACCTTTTAATACATAACTTTAATGTGAAAAAGTTCTCTATCTATCTAAGTGCATTCCAAGTAAAACTGCTGACATAAGCAGTTATTAGTGATTCTGATTCGTACGACATCTACTAACTGCCGAAAATATTTACGTCTTCCGAGTCATTTCATTTTTCACTTTATTCCTTTGTATTCCTAGTGGGACATAGAGCTTCAAGCCAGAGTTTTGAAGTTTCAGTAGGAGTGGTGTTGCTCGCCTCACATCTTCATTATTGGGCTTACAGCCAAATATGGGGGGGGGGGGGGTAAAGGTATTCGCCGGTCGGGGATCGAACCCAGGATCATGTATATGGTTGACGATTCGAGTCGATAGTACAAGTATTTATTATTCCTCACCGTTAAAATCCAGTGATATAATGAACTTTAAGATGTTTTAAAATGAGACTTTTCATGTTTCGTTTAAATGTGAAGTCGTTTACAGGACTTTCAAACTTTCTTAAGGCTGCTTAGCTGTTTACTATTAAGATTTTCAAAATTAACTGATTTCACATATTGATCTACTTATTTTGTTTTAGAAAAGTTTAACCACAAATTTTTGTGTTACACCTTTTGTTGTCTTCAAGATTTGCAGAATTAAGGCGTTGAGTTTGCATTTAATCATTGTACTTTTAAGTTTGTCATGGACGAATGAATATGCATATAGGAATGTTGGTGAAAAAGGTGACTGAATCAAGTTACTTAATTGATAATGCCAGTAAATCAGTTCGAATATTTAATATGTAAAGTTTATCATCATTTCAAGTTATATCACGAAAACTAAGGAGAAATGGGCATCTGTTTCGTCCTAGTTCGGGACTTTTCATCAGTACATACCAATCACCCCACGGGGGGGGCAAACCTAGGATCTCCAAGTTACGATGTCAGTGTGTCGACTAGGACGGATTCATGAAATACTCATTGTTTCTTCACTAAACTTCTTAAATCATTTGTTCTCAATGAACAACGGTTACAAGTGGAGGTAAAAACTCTTTTCCTAAATATTATCATCGAATAATTTTATTTGAATAAAACACAATGATACAGTATCATTAACTGATGATATTTTGAGCACAATTGATTGTCGACAATCACATCTAAACTACTTCTGAATTTCTCAAATCAATCCTTACTATTGTGTATCAACTACTTCATACTTTTCTTTTTTCACCTTGTTCTACAGTTACCGTCTCAAAGTTTAAAATCGGATTCACGAACAGCTTTAGTGTTAACATTGGATAAAAGTCGTATATCTGCATGTTATCAAGATTCCCTTGTTAGTCAAGGAGAATTCACTGGTAAGATTTCTTTATTACAAGGATTCTATTGTGTTCTTTTTGTTGTTTTATAATTATTATATATGTGGTTAAACTTATTTTTTAAATAGTTCTCTTTGATTGGACACTAGTAACTAGTGTAACGTGTCTAGTCCTTTCTTTGGTGCAGACTGAATTCTATCAGGGTGACGTGGGTTTGAATCTCAGAAGGGACATGATTTCCTTCAAGGTTGCAGGCACGCCTTGCTGACGAGTGCCAACTAGCACGAAACCTAGCTTCAAGGCTTCCTGCCGATTGCCTCCAACTATCTAATATATAGTTCTCTTGTACACATGTTATTACACGCGAATATTTGACCATTATTAATTTTACTGAGTAATACTGATGATGCATAATTTTCACTTTTACAGACTTTTGTTTACGTTTTGATGATGAATTCAATGTTGGTTCTGATGACTGGAAGCCAGATAAAAAACGTTCAACAATAGAAGTTAAAGGGAAGCGTCATGTTGTCATACTGAATGCATGTGTTGTTCCAAGTGGAACATTTAGTGTATACTGGAGAGATCCAGGTATGTAGTTTAATAATATATAAAACTCAGTGTATTTCTGAAACAAACTGGTACAATTTCATTTGTGTTGTATGTTGTAACCAATATACCTTTTTTAATACTTTGACTTCACTTTAAACTGCGTAACTATATGTTATTATAAATCCTCGCAAATTTTATACTTTAAAGATTCCATACAGTATAACTGGGTTGAATTATTTATTTATTTACAATTATTTTGTTTACGTAATACTTCAGACGCGAGAGATTAACTTCTCATCGTACAAAACACATAGGAAAGATTCAAATAAACTGTCGTCAAGATTTGACAGAATAGTTCTATAATATTTGGGCGTCGAGTGAGAAGTAGACATTTGTGAAAAAGAAAGAAGACAAATCAATAAGTCCGACAGGGTGCTTCTTCTAAACTCTAATCCTAAACACCATAATTTTGAAAATACGTCTAATCGTAAAATTCTAGATACTAACAGTTTGAACAGACATGAAGGTGTGATGTTAGCTGATGCATAGGAAATCCTGATTAATAAATAAAAATGGATATGTATCACTAATTAATAATACTTGGTCAAAATTCCCGACTGTCTATATCTTCCTATGGAGACGTTAAGAAATGTTTTACAACTGTTTACACACACACACGCATGCACACTCTGTTTAAAGTGTTTAACAAAGGTAGACCCATATTTGTAAGTCCGAGGTCAAATTTTGATCACAGTTCATACAATTTTGTTGATTATACTTGTTGATACTTGTTGAATGACTCATGATTGGACAAAGTTTTTAAAAACAAGTGATGTTCTTTTATATATAAACCTCTATGTTAATTTCGATTAATTTCCCTGAAGAAGTTCGGACCAGATTGCCGAATGAAACGTTGGAATTACCCATTTCAATCTCGCTGAGATTTTACTAATATAATTTTTTACAAATGTCTACATAGGAAAGATGTTTGTCCTACGTAGTTCCTTTTGAATTCTTGGACATTTTCATACAATTGTACAAAGAAAACGTTTTCTTTTAGTACGAATATTTTCTATATGGTTAATTATACATTAAAACACGAGTAGTCTGTTGTTATCATACGTGACAACATAACTTTATGTATGGATTATTAATTGTAATCCACTTGTTTCGTGTGAATCGGATATATTTCTCAGTATTAAAGAGTTCCCCTCTCATATCAAAGATCTAATAATTGGATACATGTGCACTTGTTCTTTAGAAGATATCTTGTTAAAGAATCCTAATGGATATCCCCGGAAATTTATCTGATAATGAACTTCAACAAATTCAAATATTGGTTTGTAGGGATTCGATTTATTGGTTACAGGATTTCATCATGAGCTGACATTGGAAAACCTGCGGGCACTGGACTGCTTTTTTATCCTAGTTTGGGACTCTTCATCAGTACGCACCCACCGCCAGGGTTCGAACCTACGACCTTCTGGTTACAAGGCGAGCTCGTAGACTATTAAGCCACTAGGACCCGATCCAATGGCCGGTGCATGAATTCCAACTTCTGCTCACTAGCGACTGGCCCTATTCAGGTAGGTAGTTACTTGGAGTTCTGGTGAGAAGTCGTGACCAGTAGGTTACAGCAGGTCGGGCATGAGGAGAAATACTCGCCGAAGACATTGGCTAGCGATCGCGCTGTCATGAATCGGCAGAAGTTAGAATTCATGTACCGGCCATTGGATCAGGTCACAATGGCTTAATGATCTATGGGCTAACCTTGTAACCAGAAGGTCCTGGATCCGACCCCAGCAAGTGCGTACTGATGAAGGGTCCCAAACTAGGCTGACGAAACAGCTGTCCAATACTCCCAGGTTTTCCAGTGGTTCTCTAACCGATGTCAGCTCATGATGAAATCCTGTAACTTCAAGAAAGTTTATAGATAAGGATATTTCTTTCTCATCCTAATGTTTAAACTCTTCGTTCAATCTAAGTTTTCTTTTGTTATTCAACTTTGAAAGAAAATTATAAGCAGGTAAATTATATTTCCACTCACTTAACAACTTTTCTTTTATATTTATAGAAAAACGTGGGCAATGGCACCTGACAATTCATTGGCAAATGCGTGGCTTAGATTTTCATCTAGACGATAGTATTGGTCGTCGTTTAAAGGCACTGTTTACAATTCTAACAAGAATGACAGGGTATAACGGTGCAGCACCTCTATTACCGACATCTGGTGAGGAAGAAGATGAAGAAGAAGAAGGGGATGGAGGATCTCAGTCACGAGATATACTAGATATTGAAGAAAGTCAACGAGTTCCGTTAGGTGAAAATGAACATCAAGCCTATCAATATCCTGCCTCGACTGCTACAAAACGTTCATCAACTGTGTCTGCTACTGTTAGCAAGAATCTAAGTAGTGATGCTGATATCGCCTCATTAGATCGTTATAGACCTTTACTTGTGTAAGTAAAAACTTATTTTGATAGATTTTATTCCTACTTTGCTCTAATCAGTATTATGGAGTGATTGAATACTATTGGTCTTTAAGACTTGAACCCAGAATGTTTCTTTGTACAAGTTGTAATAGTTTTTCTTTTAACCTAGATTGTATTACTAATATTTGTAAGATTTGTCTATTTCATTTACAGTATAAATGTGCCTATTTTATCAGTTTCCCTCTAAGGATTCTCGTATTTATTTTCATTCTCTAGACCAAAAGATTCTAGTGTGAAAAACACTTTGGATCATTCTCATTTTCGAAGTATGGAGTTTCATAAACACAAATTGGATTTATCAGATGCACAAGCTTTTAAGCGTCAAAAATGGAATACTCTTCGAAAGAAAAAAGCAGGGCATATGGTTAGTTCAATAACGTGTCTGAATGCATAAACTGTTTAATATTATGAAATAAAAACTAATGAACATGTTCTGCTATTTTTTTTAATGTTGGTAAACACAATGTCAGCTTTCTCGAGCTTCCACATACCTGGTAAAAATTCGAATTCAGTTGCTTAATAAGCAACGAAACTTAGGTTCTTTGCATTTTCACCTCATAAATACTTCAATTTTTCGGTGACATGATTTCATCGTGAGTTCACATCGGTTAGAGAACCTTTAGAAAATCTGAGGGTACTAGATAGTTATTTCGTCCTACTCTGGGACTCATCAACAGTATGTGCCCTCCAAGGCTCCAGCCTAGGACTTTTCGGTTACAAGGCAAGCTTGTTGACCATTAAACCAATGGTTCTCTAACCAGTGGCAGCTCATGATGAATCCCTGCAAACCAGCACTTGAACTTCAAATTTTTATTAACTCTAATTTTATTAGTAGACATTATTCTCTGTTATTTATGTATAATAATTTCTTCATTTTAGTCTCGAGGTATCACATTACGTAATACAAATTCGTCATCTACTGATCAATGTGTGAATGAATATAACACACAACCACTTGGTTCCCAGTCTATACCAACTGACAGAAAGTTCATGAAAACATGTTTACGTTCATCTTCATCTGTTACAGAAGATTTTCTTCCCAGTCAAACTCATGGTGATAATCAAACAAAAAATACTACTACTAAAGGATCTAATGGTGTCATATTACGTAGATACAGTAACTTACCTGGTGTTTCTTCAAATCGTTTCACAAAAATGGATTCTGTTTATTTCGATGCAGAAGACGACACTGTTCCCAATGGTAATAATATATCAAAAACTGCCAGCAATCTGGTGGACAATAATGATATGAAATTAGATGCTGATATTCAACAGTTTAATGGTCGGTTTTTCGATGAATATAGTGGTAAGTAACTAACTAGCAAATATTATTCTTAAGTGCCATTCACAACTATTTCATTTGCATTCTCATATGAAAAGTTTTACACAAATAATGCAGATAATATAGTCCTTCTAGGTGAAGACGCTGAGAAAATAGAGCAGAGTCTTCTGAACACCTTGAGGAGTAGCAGTCTTCGAATGTTTGGCACATGCGATTCGCTCCCGCCAACTGTAAGATGATGTGGCTACAGGACTGGACTAGATTGACTCCTAGCTTAGAGATAGGGAGTGAAGTGGTTGGTGGAGAGTGTTGACTATTTCACTTATTTGGGAAGTTGCATCAGCCAACGCTAGCAGGTTGATCGCTGACGAAATCTCAACATGGACACAGAAGGCTCGTTTCGCATATGCCAGTTTACGCCATCTCCGGCTTAGTAGATGTCATACTTGGCTATCGACCAAGGGGCATGTGTACTGCTCAGCAGGTCGCTCCGTCCTCCTTTATGGCTGCCTATGAGACCTGGCCATTGAGAGTGGAAAACATTAAAATACTATCATTGATCAGAGGTGTCTGCGTTGTATCTCCCGTGTTGGAGGGTAGGTGTAACAGGGTGAGCAATATCAAGGTGAGGCATCGGTCGAGTCCTAGATAAGGAGGGGAAAGCAATCGACGAGATTGTGAAGTTACATCAACTGAGATGGTTAGGACATGTGTTACGCACCCTAGTTACACCCTAGTCATCGCCTTCCTCGACCGATGGGCAATGTTAGCTGACATAGGATCGATGAAGTTGGAAAAGAGTTAGCAGTAGTAGTCAAACCAAAACATAGCTTCATCAGTCAATGAAATCCACAATAGTTAGCTCAAGCCACGTAGGAAGGTGTAGACTTCCTGGTTGGGGTCTTTGGGACGGTAAACGCCAATGTCTGGAAACAATTGGTGATATGACTGAAAATTTTTCTCATTGGCGCAGATGCATCTATTCCTTGTGGCATATAATACCCAATAAAACTATATTGTTCTTCGATATTACTATTCTTTGTGCCTTATATCTCTGATTACTGTCTTTATTTTGCATTTCTTCTTACTTCCTTCTCTTGTTTTGTGTGCAACAAGAAGGGAATGTGGTGACTCGAACTGCTGCACATCTGTGCAAAGTTCTATATTGAAACCAGTCAGTCACTTACACAAATAAATTGATTTAAGCATAGATGAGTAAATAATGCTGTGTCATTCAATGTGTGCTACATCAAAAGTGTATAATTATTCTATTATGGAATTAGACTTTTATAAAGATTTCTTGTCACATACTTAACGCTGAATATATATTGTCCAGAGAGACAATGTAAGCATCGCAATTAAACCATTTAGCCCAGAGAGCATAGCAGTATTATAACGTTTGTTTTACCGTCGTATTATTATATGAAGATTTGTGAATTTGTATTTATTATACTTTTGTGTATGATTTTATGTTGTGAAACGTATATCACAAGGTTATGCGGAATAACGATTGACCTGTTGATTTTGTATTTGTGACCTTCGTTATACGATTTTAATTTTCGAAAATCTATCTCTCATTTATTATTATTTTACCTGATGTGCAGATTTGAAGTGTATAAATTTGAATCATTACTCAATACGGCCTACCTTCTTTAGTAGATATGACAGTGGCTAACAGAATTGTTGTCAGAACATGCTTTTCGTTCTATTTGAAACTTACGTATCACAGTGATTGGTGGCTTTCCCACCGAGATAAGAACTCACTACCCATCTTTTCAGAAGTACGAGATACAGAAGTAGAATACTCACGTCTTGCTGTTCATAGTAATATGAATTTGTAATTGATCACTTTCAGTGTTATCCATGAATCAATATTGTATTTGTGTACATCAATAAATTGCACAGGAGATCAGAAATTTCAATAACGTATTTTATATACTGTATAGCAATCCTTAAAAATGTTGAACAATAAGCAAGACAATATTTAGGCTTTTACTACCTGTAATAAAGTTATTATTATGAACAAACTATTGATCGATCGCTGCCCGATACCTAACTGGTGGTGAGCCCAGTAAAGAGGGAAGGTTGGGCGTGAGGCCTAGCAACCTCATCTCGTTAAATACTCCACTGCTACTGAAACTTCAAAGCTCTAGCTTGGAGCACTATGTTCCACTGGGAAGTCAAAGCGATAAAGTAATAATCATAAAAAATCAGAATTACACTAATGCAGTCAAAGTGAACATTCTTTTATCTCATCATTTCTTCTGTATGCACTGTTATTCAAAATACATTCGCAAAAATTACCTTATAGGTGAGAAAATAGGTCAACTACGCTTTGGAAAATGTATGATTTTCTTTCAGTGTGCTTCTTATTGGTGGTGGTAATATGTTAAATAAAATAAAAGTTAATGTCATGTCCGCAGTTTATGATTAATAGATTCTGACTCTAATATTTTGGTAAAATAATGAATATATTTATACACCTTAACTATCTCTTTTAAGCACTAACGTTACAAAGACAGTAGTAAAGGTAGATATTTATAGTCTAGATTTAAGTGTTCTTAATATTTGGATACTTTTTGCAGCCTTCTTAATACTTCTGTCAAATTGTTTTAACGAATGTTTATTGTTTTACTTATATCTTAAAAGATGATTGGTGTGATCCATATAGAAGTTTGGATGTTGATGAAGACTTCTACCATGATGCTGATGAACAAAACACCATAGATAGTGACAGTGCAGAATTTCCTTGCACAACAAATGCAATTCCAACTATGGGGAATGACAATGATAATTTCAAATCGAACATTAGACCACCAACACCTCCTCCACGTAAATTACATAATCTTCATGACGAAAATAAAGCAGAGTTTCGTCCTACTTTGGAAAAATTGCGGGATAAACAAACAAGTTCTAATGAAGTTACAAATACTTCTCAAGAAGAGCCAAAACTTCAATTGGAATTAGATCTTCAAATTCATGTTGATTCTGGTTGTTGTGTACTTCATCCTCGTCTTCCTTCACGCTTTATGCCTGATGATAATGGTCCTAAACACAGTGCAGCTTCAATACTTTCACCAGGTATTGGAATGAATCCATTCGGTGTGTCAGATAATGTGAAACTGTTATCTTCAGATATTCGTTATCCAACACTTGGAGTATGTGCACCAACAACTCAATTGGAATCTGGTTACAGATTCTCTTATAGTGATTTGCTGCCTGGATATTTAGAACGTTACAGGCGTCAGTTATTACAAGATTTACAGATTGTATCAAATGATATTAGTATATTTTACCTACCAGCTGTAGATATTAGTGTAAGTTGAATTCTGTATTCAAATGAACACTCTAAGAATTATTTTACTCAGATTATAGGATTTTCGGGGATTTTGGATTAATTTCAATTGTTAGATTTCCGTAACGAACTAAAATCAGTTAGAGAAATCATTGCAAACCACAGAGCACTGGACAGCGGTTTCGTCCTATTTTGGGACTCCTCATCAGCGCGCACCCATGACCTCTCCAGAGACCGAACTCCGAGACCTTCGAGTTACGTGACTGTTCATGCAGTTGGGCTGGAATCCAATGACCCCTGAATTCCAACTTTGTCAACTCGTGATATATCGTTGCCCTCACTAATGCATTCTATAAACATACTCTTCACCTTGACATAGTTGATCCAACTGGACTTCGCACTCTAGCTTCAGGACATCCATCCAGTAGTCATCAGTGAGCTGGCGATTAATATTCAGATTATAGTGTTTTACTGATAAGAATGTTTGTTTGATTTGCTTATTTATTCTAAGATATCGGTTATCAGTTCATAATAAAGCAGATTATCAAAAACAAAAATCCCAGCATATGTATTAGTTTAAATTTTGTGTTAGAAAAGTAATTTATGCACACTGACTACATCTCAATGGTGTTAAGAGTTCAACCGGATAGTTAAATCGTCAAGTAACTACTCAGCTTATTTCGTGTGTACATGGACATCTCAATGTGGTGAGATAAAAACTAGAGCATAATTCCCTGTAGCCATATATGGTGAACGAGATTTATTTCTTTTTCTATTCGTAATACTAATTTCTGTCAATGAACACTTAAAAATATCGCCTATCAGTTACTTTTTGTTTTTTGTTGTGTTTTTTCTTTTCAATGGGATTTAGCTTCACTACAATTCTATGACTGAATTGGACTTTTTACCAGGAAGTTCTGTTCCAAATACTGTTAACTTGCTTAATGATCCCCCTATTAATACACAGATATTATCTCCAAATATTGTAAGATCTAGATCATCTAGTCAACCACGCAATAGTCAAAGTTCAGGGAGCAAAGATGAGTCTCTTCCACGAATAAATACATCAGCTCCTCGAAGCATAAGAAAACAAGCTGATTTGTATGTTTCTTGTTTTCTGCAAAAACTGCCAAAAGTAAGTTTTTTTACATAGGTTCTTGTTAATTAGTACTGACAGAAAATAAAATCTGTGCTATTATTAGTTTGAAATTATTTAATCAAGTAGATTTTGACTTACAACCATTTGACATGCTTTGTTTACTTCTGAAGAGAAGATGCCATGAAAGGAAAACCTTCTGGTATTGTATTTCAGCATGTAGCTTTGAGTATTTACTCATCAATAATCTGACTTGTGCATAATAATTCTTCAATATCCACAGGGAATGAATCTAGTCGTAAATTTAATAGCTCCTATCTGACTTGATAACCAGTTATTGTTAATTTTCAGGCGCCTTCCTCGACGGGCAATGTTAGCTGATATAGGGTCAGGCTGGGAAAGAGCTAGCGGCGGTCAAACCAAAACATGGCACCAGTCAATGAAATCCACAACAGTTAGTCTAAGCCACGTAGGGAGGTGTAGACTTCCTGCTTGGGGTCCTCGAGACGGTAAAAACCAATGGTTGGAAACAATTGGTGACATGGCTCAAAATCGTTCTCAATGGCTGGTGTAGATGCATCCACTCCTTGTGACTTATGATTTCCAATGAAACTGTTTTGTTCTTCGTTATTACTATTCCTTTGTCTCACACCTCTGTTTACTGTCTATATTATGCATTTCTCCTACTTTCTTCTCTTGCTTTGTGTGCAACAAGAAGGGAGCGTGGCGACTTGAACTGCCGCACATATGTGCAAAGTTCTATGTTGAAAGAAGACGTATATCCACTGGACAGGTTCATCTCAGGTGGAGTTTACGCATTGTAATACAATTTTTTGACCCTTGAAATTTCTTTAAAGGAGATCACTTAATTTTCTATAATGAGATCTTAAATCTTGCTATCTGATGAAAGGAAAGGCTGTGGAAACAAAATACACAAAGTCTTAGAATTTAATTGGTGGGTGGTGACTAGCAGTGAAACCCAGGATGCGCATTTCGTCCTATTTGGGACTCGACAGTCGGATATACCTGCATTCCCCAGTGAGTGATTATGTTCCCACGAAGGCTCTTGGTCCAATTGGTCTAGTGGATAACGCTTTGGCGTTGGAAACTATGGGCACCGGGTTTGAGCCTCAGTGGGAACATCATCAATCACCGGGGAATGCATGCGCATCCAGCTGACGAGTCCCAAATAGGACGAAATACGCATCCTGGATTCCACTGCTAGTCAACATCCACCAATTAACTTCTAATTACATGCCCAGGCATCATCGAAGCATCTGCACAAGAAACCGACATGTCAACCTGAGACCGAGCACTTCGATCCAATTGATCGACGGGAAAATCTAAAATTCAATTAAATAATACACAAAGTCTCGTTGAATCTTTGAAGTAGATCCAGTGTACTGCACCATGTTAACTAACCTCCTGTTCATGGTGTTATTAGATTTGGTACTTATCCACTTCTTATCATTTTGTTTATAACTATTTTGAAAAGAAGGAAAATATTTTCAATAGGTTCGAAGGAATTTTCATGCTACCTAGCAGCATGAGTAGTAAGTAGCCTTTCGAAGAATAACATACATTTGTTTCAAAATTCTTTATTTAGTTGACATTAGAAACAGGTTTTACTTCATATTATCATAAGCGTATGTTCGCATTCTCTGCTTCCAAAACTTTATCTCGTTTTTTTTTTAAATTTAATTTGAATATAGGAACTTGTTGTTCAACCATCATTACTTGATTTTCTAGAACAAGCTATTGACAATTTACCATTGGTAGCAGATTGGAATTCAGAAGTTGGTAGGTGTTGAGTATTGTAAACATGAACTTTAATTTATCAGTGTGGTTTTTCTGTCTATCTACAATCTGACAGTCTAAGATATATAAACTAGGCTATTATTATTATTATTATTATTATTATTATTATTATTATTATTATTATTATTATTATTAAGTGAACTAGAAATAAGACACATGTATCTGAATTTATTTGAATATCCTAGCAACATGCTTTATACAATCAGGTGTATTTACATGTATTCTATTATTGCATTTAAAAGTGTTAATGTAGAATGAGGTAACTTTATCTATCTTGTGAATAATAAACACAAGTGGTCGTTATTAGGAATAATTAAACTACTTTTTAGTTATGATGCGTCAGTGGCGCAGAGGTAGAATGCTTGCCAACCACGCAGGTGTTTTGAGGTTCGACCCCCGGGTCACGCACTCCTTTATCCCGCTAAGCCAGTAATAAGACTGTTAAAGAGGGAAGGTTGGGCATGAGGCTAGCAACCCCATCGCGTAAAAATAAATACCACTGCTACCGAAACTTCAAAGCTCTAGCTTGAAGCCCTATGTTCCACTGGGAACGTAAAGGAATAAAATAAAAAATAAATAAATTTTAGTTATGATGCATTTGTATAGCATGAAATAATCTAATTCTTTTATCCAGTAAAAGTTTTTTTTCTTCTGAAATATGAGTGACATCTAATGTGTTTGACAGCTTATGGTATTACTGAGTTATATTTAGATCGAAGTAGATGAAGCGAAATATATGAACTGAAGACTTATAAGTAGTTGGAAGTCTATTTCTTGAGCTAATGTATAACACCTTCGTATATCACAACATACAGGTGATAATCTACTGTTATTTCTGGAATCCATGATGTGTGCATTTCATCCTATTTCCGACTCGTCAACCACATATACCTACATCGTTCTCAATGAGTGATGCTGTTGTCACTAAGACTCGAACCCTGCATCCATTGTTTCAATCCACTGTTGATACCACTCTAATAAGCATAAATGCTGCCTAGAATATTAGTTTCAATGCTTTTATTATTATTATTATTCAGTAGATATTATTACATCGTCCTAGATTATGTAAATTATCTTTATTTCTTATATTCCCTAAAATGACAAAACCCTTGACATGCTAATGATGATGATGGTATTGTGTTATTCATTTATCTCAAACTGTCACTGGACTTAATTATATCATATTGTATAAATTTAATTTTTATAAATTGACCAGTTATTGGTTTGCATTGTGATAACATGAGAAATATCATACTTATAATAATTTATTACTTGTCATTCCTTGTTTATTCTTATCTGCCTTAAGATTCTGCTTCATCGGATTCTGGTAATGAAGTATTCTTTGAAAAGTTTCCTGTGCATGCTATTGTTCATCTACACGTTCAACCATCCACTATACGGTATGTATTTTGGATAACCGCTTTCTTTTTTGTTAGTTTCATTTCTCTTGTTGTTTAACATAACAGCTGTCGAAAAACAAATCGAATTAGTGTCGTTTACAAGAGTGAATCCGTTTGAATAACATTCAATCAAAAAAGAAAAAATTGGAAAGTTTCAATAAATAAAAATAAATGTATTAGATAGATGAGAAAAATAAGTGTAGTATTTAGGTATACATGCGTTGGTGGTTCAGTGATAAGATGGTCGCCAATCACGCAGGAGGTACTCTCCCAACCGAAGCACTTCTTCTGTACCTTGCCTAGCCGGATAGTAAGTCCGGAAAGGAAGGGGGGTTTGGGTGTGAGTGTAGCGACCCTACTTCGTAAAAATAACACCATCGCTACAGAAATTTCAAAGTCTGAAGTCTTTTGTTCGACCCAGATAGCAAAGAATGAAAAAAAAGAACTAAGGTATACAGAATTTCGACAAAAGTTTTTGGCATCAGATTTTTGCTTGTTTCATTTGGCAACCAGGGCTACTTATTAATTATCTGTCCTCTATTACATCCATTTCACTGCCACTTCCTTACATGATCCAGATCTAGGGTTAGTGGTTCTTTGAATTGATCTCATTTAGTATTTTATTAACTCGATTCTCTGGATTAATCATGGAGTGACTTCAGTTAGAGAACCATTCAACACTAGGGAGTACTGTAGACAGCTGTCTCATTCTTGTTTTGAACTTTTCATCAGGACACACCCAAGACCTACAGGTTAAAATGCAAGCTCGCTGAGCATTCTGTCTCAGTTAATATTACATTGCTATGGTTTGACTTTGACTACATCACTATCTTCCTTTTTATTGTGTACTATTTAACTGTCTAAACAGTTAAACTCAGAGATTTTGACTGAAATAGAATTTGGTCGACACTTATGAAGTATTTCACCCCTTTTCCCCATTGATATACATGTGGTGTCTAATTTGTAGTCAGTCTTAATACACGTTATATAAAGAATAGAATGTTTTAAGTCCCTTTCCACCGTACTTTCTTAATGTCTAGTTTGTATTGTAGAACAATCACTATTGTTTCTTTTTTTTTTTTATTAAATACAAAAAATAGATTTCTCTGCCTGCCAACTTCACGAATGCAGTGTTTAATGGTTTTACCATTTTTGGATGCAGTTTTCTCAACTAAACGAGAAGATCCTGATTCAGTTATGAACAGAACTGATAATGGTGTAACGCGGAAATTAACAGATTTTAGTAAGTTCAATTTATAAAGTTGATTACACTGAAATATACATCCTTCTTCTTCTTCTTCTTCTGAAGTTGCACTACGAGTTTTACTTCATGTCCTGTAAAATAAAATCAACTCCATACAGGTGGTTAAGTGTGAAAATGAACTAAAAGAATTAGTGTAGTTGCCTATGAGGAGATGTTGGTAAAGCGCTCGGCAGCACACTGTCACACTTTTCAGTCTTATTATTTTCATCCATTGCATTTCGAATGATAAGTATTGCCTGAGCACCACATCTTCATTCCAGTCGATTCTCTGGCATCACTTTCAACTGGGTCGTTTCCAACTCACATGACTTCCATGTCACTCTCAAACCCACGCCCAACTTGTCGCTTCTCATTCACGTTCCACTCGATGTGTGGTTTCATTGGAAGGTCTCCCTAGCCTATGTCCAATTTACCTCCATTCCCTTCGGCATATTTGTTAGGCCAGCCACTGGTTCTTGACTAGCCCAACCATATAGAAACACTGACTAGAAATCAGTACTGAAAATCCGAATCTTGTTCCTTTTAATGTGTGGTATAGATCTCCACACCGATTCTGGAGTAATAAATACCTGTCTTGACTTCCCGATCCTGTCTGGCTTTAACATCTCCACCTGCGTCATCTATAGTTTTATGATAAAGTTAATTACGTTTTGATCTTGTTATTGAATATTTACTTGTTAACTTCGTTTTCCGAATTATGTGTTGATCTCAGTTAAATAATCTATGGAAATATAAAAGTGTTGAACAATCGTTTCTTGCTCTTCAGTGAGTTTTAATTAATGTAAACCAACTGTTCGTTACTGTCAGACTTTCAGTAACTCTAGTGTAAAACATAGTATATATATATATATATATATATATATATATATATATATAATAGCTTTATTCTATACAGCGTTCATATATTGTATAAAATTTTCAGCATAGTTTATTTCATGATATTTTCTCTTCATCAAGGATCTTCAAATAAAATATCACTTGACAGTAGACCATTTGAAACACTCCTGCTTGAATTGAAGCACAAACCAAGAAATTATGATGTCTCTTCTTTGTCTTCTTCGGTAAATGCATGTAATTTGGTTGAATGGCAATTAGAAAAGGTTCAGGAATCCATTCTGTGAACCGAGGACACAACCCACGAACAGTTGTCTCTTGTATTGCAATACTCCCCAACTCACGATTATGTTTTTTCTCACCATAACTAGAAAGTTGCGAATCAGAAAGTTGTAAGCACAACAAATCCTCTCCAGAGTATAAAATGTAATTAAAGGTCATTTCTTATCAGATTTAAACAAACTGAATGGAAGAAAATATCTGTGAAATATCGATGGGATTTTTCGGTAGCCCAAATTTAAGCAGGCCGCCAAAAAAGAATATATATATATGTGTATAATCGTAACTGCTAATTTGTTTAACACCTAATCTTTTTTTTTCTTTCTCTTGTTTTCTTTACTATGTAGCATCATCTCAAGTTGATAATCTAATGGATACTACAGGTATAACACTGAAGTCTAAACCAGTAGTTGGTGATATCGTTTCAGCTGGTGGACTTTCTGTTACTGCTATATTAAAAGGTAAATTCATCATTCAAAGTTAAAAATTTGTACATGTTAAGATGAGAGGCAGTAAAATCATCTATCTACTGCTGTCTATACATACTTTGAACTTTTCAGTCACTTTTATTCTAGTTGCTTATTGATGACGTCTATCATAACATGAAGATGTATATTGCTTCGTATTTGTTCTACACTTGTTGAATGAATGTATCTTTTTCTCATTGAGAAGAGGGTTGTGTTTCAGTTAAGAGTGGAAGTTAGTTAACATTAAATTTGAATTCATAAAAATATCAAGTCACTCGTACACAGATGCCTATATGTGTCAACAGCAAGTGTAGCAAAGTGTGAATTTATCATTTGACTTAGTCTTCAATAATATGAATACATGAACATCGGGTTCACACACTGATATCTTACAATTTCATTCGTCCAATTTTAACTCTACTTTGTATGAGATTCTCTTTACTTTTCATTTCTAATTCAACTTCTTAGTATATTATCATGCTTGAATTTTCATTCACAAATGGTATGTTTTGTTTCATGTTTGAATACAATCGATACACTTGTTTTTCAATGATTAGACAGTGTCAAAATGAGAATTTTTCATGAATTGGAAATATATTTTTTCTTTCAAGATGTCTTAAATTGGTGTTAGAATTTAATACAGATTTCTCATTGTCACTGAACTAATAGATTTATGGTGTGATGGTAAGTAGTCATAGGTTTGCAATATGTTAGGTGGAATGAGACGTCTATTTCGCAATAAGCTTTTCTACCTAATGCAGGTATTATGGAATAAGTAACAAGTGGCACAGAATCCCAGATATTAATGTAGGAGGTATATTGATTGGTAAACTATTTCCATAAATCGAGTTCGCTACGTTATTGTTGTGTTGCCTTCGTTGTTGTTTGAAATTAGTTACCCCGGACTTTTTTCTGTGTACACCAGGCTGTGAACCACACATTGTGTTGAAGTTGAAGTAGGTTTAGCGGGGTTTAAACCCGGGACTATGGGAACAAACAAAACAAGAACCAATCGCTCAACAAATATGCAGGAGAAAGTGGAGATGGATTGGACACTCGCTGAGGAGGCCTCTGGGTGACATCGCGCATCAGGCCCTTGAGTAGAACCCTGGAGGGAAGCGGCGAGTGGGTCGTCCAAGGGTGACATGGAGGAGATCGTGTGAAGAGGAGCTGAAACAGCATGGACTAACACGGGATGCAGGTGAAAAGTACAGCAGAAGACAGAAACAAGTGGAAGCGTGCAGTTGAAGCCCTATGTTCCACTAGGAACCCAAGGGAACAATAATAATAATAAACCCGGGACTCATTGACTGTTAGTCAAATGCCTAATTCAATGAACCACATAGTCATCAAAGTAAGGGACTCGCCACGGAGATCTTCATTTGGTGATTACTGTTAGACAGTATTAAACAATCGGCAGAAAGCTTCAGTGCTTTTTGACTCTATAATAGCAAAGTCTTTATATACGATCTTTAGGGAGTTAAGGCCCTCCCCCCAAGCATTTAATCCACCATCACGATTATTTTCATGTATTAATAATTTTGTTTCCTCTGTATTTATATATATATATATATTAGTTGTCACATGTATATACCATCATGTGAACATTATTGTCGATCGCTTTCTAATCTCATTTATCACAAATGTTCCGTATTGGAATTATCTAATTCAACTCTGTTAAGATGTAAGTATCAATATATATATATATATATATTCATGTGGATAATGATGGATTCTATTTGTTCCTATATTTGTCTGTTAGTGGAAATTGAAATAGATAACTTGATGAATTTGTGCTCTAATTAATAAGATCACCTCGAAATTACAAGGATCAATTTCGAATTTAAATACAGTATATAGAACTTACTACGTAATGAACAAAACAGTTATTCATATAAGAAATTCAAATGAATATATCTAATTATTCTTAATATATGTATATTTTTTTTCATAACTAGAATTCCGTGTGTCGATATTTCATCCCTATGGTGAATCATCTTCTATGAAATCTGAAACAAGTTCATGGGGGAATGCTAGACCTTGTGATTCACTTACTATACTTGTTAAAGATATACAATGTCATCTTTCGCGTACAATAGAAGCTAAAATTGTACAAATGAATGCAAATAATTCTCTCAATGAATGCTGTTTAGCGACTGAGACAGAACCAAACAACAAAAAGTCATCCGTTTCAGCAAGTCATGGTTCTAATTTGTTCAGTTCACCTAGTGAAACAATAAACTCTACACAATCCGGTGATAACTATGGCCTACATCGAAATCTGTGTATTTCAGGTAAGTATTTGATGTTTTCTTTAAATGTCTTCTTAAACACAACATATTGACATAAGTATCTGTGTATAGACAAAAAATTAGAAGGAGCTTAAGAGTAAAAATGAAGTTACTATAGAGATTGGATTGATTTTCTGGAGTAGGGTAGCTAGCCACATGCCCAACCTTCCCTCTTTTCCTGGGCTTTGAACCGGCTGGAAAACTAGCGAACTAGTAAATGAGGAAAGGTTCAGGAAAAGTAAATCATGTGCGGATCAAATTTCAACTGTACACATCATCATCGAACAGAGCATAAAATATCAGTCAAACTCCTACCTCAACTTCATCGACTTTCAAAAGCCCTTCTACAGTGTTGACCGCGAAGTAATTTGGAAACTACTTCAACACTGTTGAGTACCCCAAATCTTTATCAACCTCATCCATCCTCTACATGACAGTGCCACATGTCAGGTGATCCACAATGGAAAACTCAACGAAGCCTTTGAAGTGAAGAGACGAGTAAGACAAGGCTGCCTATTATCACCGATGGTATTCCTAATTGTGGTCTACTGGATTATGCGGAAGACTGTGGGTAGCGAAAAGACAGGAATACATTGTACCGATAAGAAAACTCTAGAAGATCTGGATTTCTCGGATGATTTATGTCTAATGTCATACGAACTCGGAGACTTACAGGCGAAAACCAACAAACTGGCAGGACTTCAAGAGAGTCTAGAGAAGACGGAGGGGATGAGGATAACAAGCCAACGACAACAAAAAGCACCAATCACTATCAACAGAAGAAATTTGAAAGAGGTCACTTCATCCAATTATCTAGGAGGAATCGTTTCAACTACAGGCGGTGGCACGGGATGAGGATGTCAAAACCATCCAGGAACGGAAAGACAAGACAGATCTTTGTCAGTCTGAAATCAGTTTGGAAATCCTCTTCACTCAGCGTCAAGAACGAAATTCTAATTTCCAACACCAATGTTAAGTCAGTCAGTTCTTCCATTTGGGTCAGAAATTTGGCGTGTGCGTCACGAAAAGCATTTGTAACAGACTGTTGCGAACTTTTCTCAACAGTCTTTTGGCTACATACTGAAGATCAGATAGCCGGTCAGAAAGAATTAGCAACGAGAAACTCTAGGAACGAACCAATTAAGGACCTATTGCTCAACAAATATTTCGAAAAAAATGGAGACTGATAGGACACACGCCGAGAAGACCATCAGGTGACATCGCGCGCCAGGCCATCACTTGAGTGAAACCTGAATGGTAAACGGCAAGTTAGGCATGAGCCGAGAGCGACATGGGGGATATCGTGTGAGCAGATGAAAGCTTATGGGGAATTGTGAACCCAGTTGTAGAGGACCTCAAAGAATAGGACAAAGTGGACCATCGTGATAACTTAAAAAATACACGTAACTGTGCAAGAAATTATTACTTTATTATCCCCTGTGTCGCGTTAAGTTTACCGGTAAATTATCACCCTTTTTGTAACATGTTGATTTTGATGATTGATTGCTAACTAACTTATCACCATTAAATTAGTGAGTAGTATGTTCTATAAAAACTACCATCTATTAGTGCAGTGTCATTCACAGAGACCTGATCAAAAAGTAAGTATTTCTTTGTTATCGAACAATCAGTCTATTTTCAGGTGTTATTTTCGCAGGGATTTTATTAGTTTCCAATTGCATCACTAACTAAAATTAGTTAGAGAAGCAATGAAAAGCAGGAAGTACCAGTACCTGGTAACGGGAAGATTATGCGTTCGATCGCCGGTGGTATTATGGGTGCGTACTGCCGAGGAGTTCCCGGACGGAACGAAACAGCTTTGCAGTACTCCTTAGGATTTAATGGTTCTCTAACTGATGTCAGTTCGTGGTCTAGCTTGAATTCAGTTCACTGAGTTTCAGTTTCCAATAAGATTTAATTTTATCAATGAACAGCTTTTGTAGTTCACACTCACCAGTTACATCTCTGAATTGACTGTGTTATTTGTTATGTCATATACGAAATAAATGCTGTATGAGTAGCTTCTTACACTTCTTCTGCTTGAGTAATAACAATTTCTATTATTATTACTTATCCTGTAGGTATCTTTGATATTGGTGTGGCAGAATTCACCTGCGATACTCGTCGAACACTAGAAATCTTAGATATCTATAATTCATGGTATCGTAGCAGTTTAGCTCGTCGTTTATTCTTGGGTAATGATGAACTAATTGATGCAGGTAAAGAATCTCCTTTTTTCCAAAACTTTTCATGAAGTTTTCTATTAATTAAATTCTGTATTCTTTTTTTAAAGACATGTCTGATTTCATTTGTAGTTTATCGTAAAATTACTTACATAAAAATCAGTTGCTCGATCCTCTTTCAGTTGTATATGTGCTCAAACCGTAGAAGGTATGCCTCACGAGTTTATGACTTTCAGATAGTGTTATGGGTTTGAACATGGATTTGTCGTCTTCCAACTAAGCAGTCTAGTAGTATTTTACACATATGCACATAAGGCATACTTTATATTTCTGCGATTGTCGAACAGAACTGACTGTCTTTAAACTTATTCTTGGACATTGGATTAAGCTTTATTTCCACTGACCCTAATTGATTATTTATTTTTTCCTCCAGCTATCGTGCAATCTTACGTTCGGTTCCCGGTGTGCTTATTGGTGCTCATTGCTAAAGAGTACCGAACTAGGGTGAAAGAGTCGTACATTGCTTCTTGGTTTTCAATGATTCTGTAAATGATTTCGGTTCGGGATGAAATAAACATCGATTTATGCTATACTTTAATAAGTTGTTTATGAAACAATGGAAGAGGCATCTGTCCTCCAAATATAGCCAAGGTTCTGAAAGCTGTCTCTAATCTAAAATGGGGTAAAAAGCTGGATGATTAAAATGATTTATTGGCTAGGTTAACTAAAGTATTAGCTGGTGTATAGGAATTAGAAACTGCTGTGTCGAATTTGTGTTGATTATCGCAATTTGTTGCTAAAGAAACAAATCTTTCTGTGATGACCACTAGGGAATCAGCGTGGCCAACACATTATCTAATATTCTACTCTCGGTAGTTCTGCGAAGGCTAAATGGGACTTTGGATCCAAACAAACGAAAGTCCGGTTGTCTTCAAGCCTGAACGAAGGTGTATTAATCGTATATTCACCTTCCAACAGGTTATGAATCACAGACATACATACTAGTGTCATGTGTATTTGCCATATTTCTTGACCTGAAGGGAGAATCTGGGTCCGTGCTTCAGAAGGTGTTGTGACAGCTATTCCCTGTAAAGGGACTACCCAGAAACTACACCTTGACGACATTTTTGCATTAGGTCAGCTCAGATATATATTCCTCTGTTCGACTGGGTCATTTGGTACATGATCTATATCCCTTACTCGAAGAAATCAATCGGTCTTCCCTATGTATGTGTTGTTTGCTGTTGTTATTCCCTTAGTTTCCGAGTGGAACATAGGGTATCAATAGCACATGTCCATTTCATCCTGTTTTCTACAGTCCTGTTTAACCCACATACGTAAATATAGACTGGTAATCCCAATGGAATGTGACATGATCATAGCATCTGAATGGTCGCGTCAAATTCCGTTGAATTATTATTCACTTGGACTATGCGCTGAACTTATAACCCATGGTCTCTGGGTTCGAATCATTCTTCACCTGCCGAAATTCAATATCATTAGCCTCGACACAATAGATGTCTCATTGCCATATGCATTAAAATACACATACAGTTGTTGAGTAACAAAATATATCATATTCAAGAGATGTCAGGCTTTACGGATGAATATAGATTTAGCTTGAGTTTTAATTGTATTATGAGTTACGCAGATGTCTGCTTTTTAGTTTTTATTCGGTAATCAAACTTGGAGAATAATCCTTAAATGCTAGAATAATGCACACATATTTCTTTGTGTGCCAGTGTTAATAACTGCCTTTAATCTCTTCATAATTTAATCTTATCTTTTCCAGCTGATAATACAACTCAACCCTTTGATCAAGGTGATATAGGTGATGGAGTTTCACAACAGCAACCAGAATCAAAACAACAGACCGTAGAAACTCCTAAATCCTCTGTCACTTACGAATCCGCCTATCCATCACAAAGTGAAATGCTTAATTTAAACATAGGTTTGTATATTGCATTGTATTGCATTGTTTGTTTGTTTTTTTTTTCATGCCTCTGAACACTTTTTTATATAAGTATCTTTAGTTCATGCAACTTTCTGTCATTCACACTAACAAGTCATCGTTAAATGATAATTCTATTTTGATAACCATGAGGAAATGGCTAGCTGTCTAATGCAGTGTGTATATGTGTGTGTCATTTCTTGTCGTATATGCAATCTTTAAGGGATTACAATAAACACATCTTACGTAACATTCACCATTAGTTGCTATCTAAGCTTTAAATTTCATGTGAATAGTTTGTTACACTAAAGTATTTCATCATTGTAGGCATTCACGTATCTTATGTGTATGCTTCTCTGTGTCGTTTTTTTTGAATTCGCGATAAACTGTTATTTGATTCAAAATTCACATTTCTCTCGTCTAATCACTAGTACTTTTTTATAACAACATCTGAAGTCTTTCTTTCCATTATTGTTATAAATATGCCTTCTACTTACTGTTTCTAGAATTACTTGTTGACGAGTTAACATAAATTGATAGTTGTGTTTGTTTTTACCAGATTGATCACGGATTGATATCAGTTAGAGAACCATTGAAACCAGAGGAGTACTGGACAGCTGTTTTTTCATCATAGTTTTGGAATCTTCAGCAGTACGCACCCACCGACAGGGTTCGAACCCAAGACCTTCTGGTTACAAGGCGAGTGAGCTCGTAGACCATTAAGCCACTGGGACCCAATCCAATGGCCCATGAAGAGTCTCTATGGTTTCCAAACTAGGACGAAACAGCTGTCCAGTACTCCCTGTAGGTTTTCCAATGGTTCTCTAACCGATGTCAGCTCATGATGAAATCCTCCAACCTAATGTAAATATATATATATATGTTTGTCTGTAATTTGCTACACTTATCTTTCCAGTGCTTTGATTTCACTTACTGTAAATATCGAAATCAAGTATAGTCTGCATATCATGTATGTGTATTCTCGTGTTTTCTCGTTGATAATTTTCCTTGACTGATTAGATCTTCTCACTAAACAGAAATCACAATATTCCCTTGTAGCATGTAAACTTACTATATGCAGTATAAAATGCATTCAACCATTTACCAAACACATAGTTATCCTTGCAGGAAAATTTAATATACACGAACTTTGATTTTGTAAGCTCCTATTCACTATTACCTTGATAAAACTCTTAACAATGAATAACGAAATTGATTAATCATGACCTTAGTTTCAAGTTTTACATAAGTTTTATATCAGTTACAATGACAACTGAAAACCGAGGAGCACTGGACGGTGGTTTCTTCCTATCTTAGAACTCTTCTTCAATGCGCAACCATGACCCCACCAAGGATCGAAGCTAGGACCTTCAGGTTATGAGACCTAGTTTGTTAGCTATTCAGTCAATTGGGCTAAAATTCAATGACCTGTAAATTCCAGCTTTGTCAATCTGGTGCTATGGCGCTACCGTCAACCAATTCTTTCGATGGGCACATTCACTTCACCTTGACATAGTGGACCCCACTGGTCATGACATCTCACTACAGCTTCAGAACATCCATCCAGTAGCCATCAGTGAGCTGGTGATTGGCTACACTATCAGTTGGCTTGGTCTGGTAACCTGAAGGTCGTGGCTTCGATCCCGGATGGTGTCGTGGGTATCCATTGCCGAAGAGTCCTAAAATAGGACGAAACAGCTTTCCAGTGTTCCACGGTTTTCAATGATCTCTTCGTTGCGAAAAATTTGTTTATACATATTGGAGAATTATGTTTAAAAGTATTTACTCGTTTAGAATCTTCAAGCAAATTAATGATTGGATAATGTATCATTGGAAACAATATAATCCTATTCAAAATAGACTTTAATATCCTGTTGTACTTTTTTTCTATTTCCTTTAAAAATACTCATAGCAGTAGGTTGAAATCTTTTTTACAATAGGTGTGAGTACAGATTATGATTCAAAAAATGTAATTGGATAGTTTAAAACAACACGAAATAGGGTAAATAAGGTACATTCTGATGGATGGTAATTTGGTAGCCTAATGATTTAAGCGTGCTGTCATTTCGACAATTTTATCTTATTCTCTTGGATATAGAAGCTCTAAAGTAATGGATAATATTTCCAGAAAAAGTTAAATGAAACTATATATGTATGTATAAGTTTCACAGGCTATTTTTGAACCATTGCAACATTTTTTCTAAAAGTTTACCTTAACTATCTATAGCGTACTGGAAACCGAAGTATATAATACAACTTAGCAACTTTCAAACTAATTTTAATTTTTGTTATTATTATGACACTTTTGTGCAGAATCTCAACATCTCTCATCCAGAACCAAAAACCACTCAGCATCCAAAACGATAACCTTAAAAGAAACGCATAGTCGTTCAAATCATACAAGACTGAATCAATCACGTGCTACAACAATAGGTCCTTGTCTATCATCAAATGATAAAAATGATCAAGATACTCTTGTGCCTACAAATAGTACCTCACCAGATCCAACTTCAAAGTTAACTACACTTGTTGGTGGAACAACTAGTGGTAGTCGTAATACAAGTCTACGAGTAGCTTCATGGAATGCATTAACTATTTTTTGTGTACAATTGAAAAAATTCGATTTGAATTTATACATGGGCAGTGCTATGGGCTTAACACGGTAAGTTGATTTTGTTACAAAATCTAAATGTTTATCATGATAGTGCCACTTATTGAGTATTTTGCATTAGATACAATAATATTAATAATACAATAAGCAGCATAAAGTTGAATACTCCTGTTATTTGTTTAGATTATTTTGGTATCTCCTGTTGATTGGTTCTAATGAATCGAAACTCTCGGTCTCCGTTGACATGTCGACTCCTAGCATGGACGCTTCGATGATACCTGAAGTTTGGGGTGATGTTATTTAGCTTATGGTGGCCAGCAGTAGTGTAACGACAGAAGGCAAGAGTCAGGCAACAGATTGTTTATTAATGAAATCAACACATATTTATAGATTTTCGTGTACATTATTATAGATTATTGTTAGCTGACAAACACAGTCTTCTGATTGGTTGTTTCTCACTAAAAGTTAATCTTTCATCTCTTTGTGGCTGTTTCTTGAATGTCAGATCATCTATCTGCTAATTGTATCCGCCTACGCAAAGTTTGCTGTCCATCTTTGATCTTGTTTTCACATGACTAATATTTGAGACATAAACATTGAGTAAATTACTGTCTACCAATTTGGCTAGCAGCCATCTCTCACCACAGTAGAATCTAGAATGCCCATTTCATTCATTTGAGATTCCGTCCTAGTGGCTGAATAGTCGACGAGCTCGCGTCGTTACCTGAAGGTCCTGGGTTCGACCCCTAGCAGTGTAGGGTCATGGCTGCGTACCGTTGAAGAGTCTCAAACTAGGAAGAAACAGCTTTCCAGTACTCCCTCAGTTTTAGTGGTTCTCTAATCGATATCAATCCGTGATCTAACTTCAAACTAACTCTTAAAAATTATCTACTATAGTTGAAGATACTGACTTATTTTTTTAATTGTCTATTTCTTTAGTGAACTTTTCCGAATTTATCTATTGAGTATAATTTATTCTTTTACGTCTATTTTAGATTTATTGTGGATCAGTTATTTTGTGAAGGTCATATATCAGTAAACTCATCGGGTTGTAAACATACTTTATTAACTACAGGCTTAACCAGTAGTCAGTTTATTAGTGAAGGTGGTGGGGTTGGTGGTGAATTCGGTTTAGTCGATGTAGAAGCTCGACGTAAGTATTTTAATTGTTATCTTTGTATTCTCATTTCTTATTAAAATATCAGTGTTTTATACGATTTTTTGTCTAAACTTTGGTGTTGAACAAACCTATTTTCATGTTGAATCTAAAGGCTTGTGATTTGTCGTTGTTTTTTGAATGACTAGATTTATATGGTGTTTTTGTGATTATATCCACAGTCATCAACCGTCTATTTTGTACAGAGTCAGTGGGTCAGCCTATTTTCTCTTTTTCAATTATCTGTGTACATCATCAGTGAGAAGGGAATACTATAACGGTAGATCAGAAATAAGGGAGATTTATTTCAAACACAGGCTTTTATAAATATTTAGAACTTGCAATATACTTTGCAAACACTTAAGTTTCAATTTACACCCTGAATTTCGGTTATACTTTTGTCAACAAAAGATATCTGCATCCTTGAGGAAAGTTGTTTTTCAAGAGTTAATTGGTAGGGATTCGATTTGTTTCAAGTTTGACCATGGATTGATATCGGTTACAGAACCACCGGGTTTGGACTCCGGTGGATGCGTTCTACCGATGAATGCCAAACTAGAACGAAGCAGCTGTCCAGTAATCCCGACTGGTTTTCAATGGGTCTCTAACTGATATCAATCTGTGGTCAAAACTGAAAGTCATATTTCTTCTGAAATTTGAATCTGTACCGCTCAACACTAAAGTTTCATTTGTATGTCCTGTAGGAAACATACTGAAGTTGATACATAATTGAAGTAGCTATTTGATCAATCCTTATGTGTTCTAGTTTTAGGCAGAGGAAAGTTGATTTACTTTACACATTGTAAGTATCTTATTTTGAATAATTCTGTTCAACTTTCTAAAACATAAATGAATGAGAATGGTGAATGTTATGCTTCATTATGCATAATAAGTAAAGAGAAATTCAAAGATTGGCCTTATTCAGGAGTTTTATCTTGAAATCTTATAACCCTCTTGATGGAATACGGTCAAATATCCAGATCGCAGAGATTCTGGACCTATCACTGGTTTCAGAAGAGTAAGCCTAATACGCATAACACTATGCACTGTAACGGACGCAGAACAACAGAAAATGGTTGGTCAACATGACTGTTTATTCTGAAACCGATAACGAAACGGTACCAAAGTCTGTAAATAAACGTTAATATAATGTACAACAATACTTCTGATTGTATTTCTCCAATCTTCTGCCAACCAGTAGACAATTAAGCAATGACAGCCTTCTTGTCTCCCGCCAATATGGAAACCAGTTCAAACAAACAAGCGATTCAATATTCACCAACATTGACAGATGCTTTTAAGGAATATGTGATTTTCAGGAATGTATTACTTAAGCCTTTTCGTCATAGCCCTGTGCCTATTATAACTTTATGTGTTCTCATTTCAGTTCGAATAGACGATGATCCTTCACGTGATCCACAGCATTGTTTAGCAGCTCAAGTTGGTGGCTTTCAAATACGTATTGAATACATGAATACAAATATTCTATTATTTAGAGTGAATGCTTTAGATTTGATACTCTATGATGAATGGCGTCTGAAAGATGTCGCTCAACAATTGTTTGATTCAAGTAAAAATCAGGCAAAATCAGTCTCAATAAAACGAGCTCAATACTCATCTTCAGCGATGAACAGTGAATCAAATCGTGTTATTGGTTCACCTCCAGTATTTATTCGAATCGCTGGTGAAATAAATTGGGATCAAGCTCAGGTATTTATTTATTTTTTTTTTCAAATTCTTATTTTACGACTTCTCCCCTTCTATTGTTTTTTTTTTTCAAATCTGTATTAAATGTTAGATACAAAGTACACTTCAATCTGTTTCTTTTTATAAACCGAACTTATCAAGTTATCATTAATGATGCATGTTTGGATGACACAGTAAATTAGCAGTAAGGTCAATTTGAGTATGCTTTCATATAAGCGTAATTTATCAATGAATATTTTCTGTTATTCAAGTATTGGTTTGTAGGGATTTGATTGATTGGTTACAGGATTTCATCATGAGCTGACATCGGTTAGAGAACCATTGGAAAACCTGCAAGGGAGTACTGGACAGCTGTTTCGTCAACCTAGTTTGGGACTCTTCGACAGTACGCACCCACCGACAGAGTTCGAACCCAAGACCTTCTGGTTACAAGGCGAGCGAGCTCGTAGACCATTAAGCCACTGGAACTCGATCCAATGGCCGGCGCATGAATTCCAACTTGTGGCAATTCACGACATGTCGTGACCACTAGTGAATGTCATCCGTGGCGAGTATTTGTCCTCACACCCGACCTGTTGTACCCTACTGGTCACGACTTTCACTAGAACCCCAGGTAACTACCTATCTGAATATGACCAGTTGCTAGTGAGCATCTCATTGATATTCAAGTATTGGTTTATAGGGATTTGATTGATTGGTTACAGGATTTCATCATGAGCTGATATCGGTTAGAGAACTATTGGAAAACCTACAGGGAGTTCTGGACAGCTGTTTCATTCTTGTTTGTTTTGTTTTATAAATGTACATCATGTGAACTCAATTGGTTTCAACTTAACAAGGCAAATATTCTGTGTTTATTCTATCCTATTGTTACAATATAAATCGTATAACTTTCAAATATTATGACACTTCTAAGTAACGCATTATATTTGTCATACATTTTGCCTTGAGCATTATGTCAGAATATAAATGGAATACACATGAGTCATTCACTTTGTTAATTTTTCAACTGAGACTGTTTATTTTTGAGCTTACTTCAGATTTTCGTTTATTACTTCTCTGTGATAAATCATCGTTTGTCTTTGTTATGTATGTAACAATGTGTAAATTCCTAGATGAAAAAACACGTAGTTCAGAGAAGGGTCTCTTTTCGGCGAATTCATTCACTTAGCTGTACAATCGTGATTATATATAATTATTTTTGTATATGGGTATTTACATTAGGATTGTTAGACAAGAATATAAATTAGTTAGGATTGTTGTTTACGTCATCAAAATATTTCAGAAAATGTGGTGAATAATAAAATTGTACTGCGGGGGAGGGGAGGGGAGTGAAGACTAGTATGAAGGTAGGTAGTGGTGATGAATTGTCAAAAAAATAGTTGTCAATGTGAGTCAATGCATAAGAGAAGTTGAATAAGTCTATTGTAGTTCTGCAATCAGATGAATAATTTAATGAGTGAGTTTTGATTAGGTTGAACATAGAAAAGATGGAAAATATGGAATTATGTAGGAGTTGCGAAGAAATACAAGAGTTATAAGGAGTTAGAAAAGTAAGCAGGCAAATATCAAGTCAATAGAAATCAACACAGTTGTTGCCATGCTAGTAGAAGTGGTTGGATGATTTTCTTTTGTATGTATAACTCTGATTTTTCCGACTGAATGGCTAAGGCTTCAGCAATACAAAAGAGACGAAAGCGTATTGCCTTTGGTAGGTTATTCTTGACTCTGTAGATTATTTTGAAGAAGCCATTTGTTGAGATGGAAGGAACACCATTACTCATTTATGTAAGATATTAATTACTATCAATACTTTTATTCAGTATCTATGAATTAATCCTTTTTTTCGGTTTCTAGGCTGCTATTGTACGTAGTACTACTCCAGACCTCTTACGATCTATTCATAAAGTTCGTGACTACTTCCAAGAACAAGTTCGTGAAGGTCGTTTATCATTAATCGGACAAGTTGGCCGCTTCGGCATGTTCCCAATGACTAACAGACAACGTCGATCTTCAAGTCAAAGTGGAGTTTTTGGTCCAACAACTCCAAGTAAAACGAAATCGGATGTAAAACCTGATAGTTTAAGTGACCAAGAGATTGATCGTCTTCTTCAACGTCATTGGCAAAAAATTATGTATCAAGCGCTGAAGCTGTTTTTACGAGAACGGTCAGGTGTTTCAAATTCCAAAGGAAAATCATTATCTGTTGAACAAGAATCTAACTCACGCAACAATCCTGTGCTTAGTGGTTCTTTCCAGTTATCAGGCAATTCACTTGGAATAGCATGTTTTGCAGGAAGCTTCCGATCAGCGCCTGATTGGGCTGTATTTAACATTCAGCATCCTACAGCCTGGTTAGTGATGTTTTTTTTATTTTCTTGAGTTACATGTTCACATAAGACAACTAAATTGTGGCCAAAGTCGTTGCATCTTTCTGGTGTGATAGCTAATAAATGCAGCAAGCTGTTACTGTCTTTATATAACAGACTGAGTCACATTCTAACCTGCAAGGACTTATCATACTTAGTAGAAGCATAATAATTGGAAAAATCTAAAATTTTGATTTAAAGGGTGATAATCTAGTGGATAACCAGTGGCAGTTATCTCGAAAAAATTCAGTGTTATAGGGTGCTGATATCTTCGCTTTGTTTTTAAAAAATTGTTTTTACTTAAACTCAAATGCCTTTTGATTTGAAAATAAATAACTACTGGAAATTTTTGAACCCCGCGGTTCTTCATTTCTAATGATGTTTGAAACGGTAAGGATACCAGTTATCGCTGTAAAGTTTCCAGGGGCTTTGATCATACTTTGGGTTAACTTGTTTCAAATTTGATAACAACAAGAAATCGAGAGTTAGTAGAAGCTGGAATTCATGGGCTATCACATGGGGATTTCAGTGGCTGAACGGTATACGAGCTTGACTTGTAACCGGAAGGTCCTGTATTCGAGCCCCGGTGGATGCATAGTACCGAAGAGTCTCAAACCAGGATGAAACCGCTGTCCAGTACTCCCAGGTTCCCAGTGCTTCTCTAACTGACATCAATCCATCATCAAGCTTTCTAATCAACTAGAATCTTTGAATGTTTATCTAGAAATTTTTATAATAATACTACACTATATGCTGTGGCCTCAGTTTTCAATTGATACATACATAAACTTTTTAAGTACTGCTTTGTGTGATAATTTGAATTGTCCTGAGACATACTAACTGTTACAATCAGTAATTAAGTCGTTTATTAGTTACTTACTACTACTATTTGAGGAAAGGAAGGAAAGGAGACCCATATCTGAAGAATTTTGTTTCAAAACAGAATAGTGTCATTATATATAAAACTTCTTTTTTTTTCCTTCACGTTCCCCAGTGGAACATAGGGCTTCAAGCTAGAGGCTTGAAGTTTCTGTAGCAGTTTTTATTTTACAGGATGGGGTTGCTAGCCTCATGCCCAACCTTTCCTCTTCACCAGGTTTAGTTCTGGCTTAGCGAGGTAAAGAGGTGAGTCGGCCGGGAATCGAACCCCGGACCATGTGCATTGTCGGCGAGCGTCCTAACCGCTATGCCACTGATGCACACATAAAACTTCATACTGATTTATTATGAATCACATTATTATGAGGAGATATCACTTGCATAAATTTTACTCTTGTTTATTTAGCTTTGAAACTGAAGCTCAACGAGAACTTCCAGTGTCTAATGAAAAAACAAGTTTAGATTCAAGTGAACAAGATGGCTGGATAAATGTACGACAAGTTTTAAGTTTTGAACTTGGTTCACCTCCAGAGTTTCAACCTCAAATGGCTTATGTACTTCGTGTTAGAAGAGGGAAACCTCAGAATTTACGAGATTTACCTATTGCAACTATTGAAGAATGGTTAGAATTTAGTTTTCGTGGTGCAGATAATACAGGTAGGTTTCATTGTGTGTAGATGTATATGATGTAATGCATTTTGTTCTCTTAATTCGAGAAGGATAAATTTTTAGATATGTGGCTGAAGATCTCCTGTTTCGCTTTGGCTTATTAACTAAGTAATATTTTTGTTTTTTTTGATGTAGTTGTGTTCTCTGAGCTGGGCGGTTTATTTGCGAAGCTTTCATTGCCCTGCTAGACAACATCTTCAGCGCATACTTCAATTTGAAATGAAGTGAGCTTTTAGATTTCTACACGAGTTTATTAGTCACCTCTGCTGGTGACCTTGAACGTGATTAGTTGTTTTCGTGTGTTTTCACACCCTCCAGGCTATTTGTATTGGTGTTGATTGTTTCCTTGACCTGACGTTTGACCCTTCGCAAATAAGCCACCCAGCTCAGAGAACACAACTACGTCAAAATCATCCACCTGAGCTACAAATCCTCTCCATCATATCTAAATATTATTATTGTTAAATATCGAAGTGGGTGTGTGTGTGGTCTGATTGCATTTCTTCACCATATATTACCTTTAACGTTACCGTGATCTTTGCTTACGCATTACTACATTCTCCATTACGCTTTATGTTTATGAAACATAAGTAATTTCAAAAAACAACATCTGTCTAGTGTCACATAAATACGAAAACTTACAGGCGAAAACCAACAAACTGACAGAAGAACCGTCAAAGATAGGACTTCAAGCGAGTGTAGAGAAGATGATGATGAGGATAACAAACCAACGAAAACAACAAGCACTAATCACTATTAACGGAAGAAATTTGAAAGAGGTCACTTTATCCAATTATCTAGGAAAAATCGTTTTAACTACAGGCGGTAGCACGGGATGAGGTTGTCAAAACCATCCAGGATCGGAAAGGCAAGACAGATCTTTGTCAGTCTGAAATCATTTTTGGGAAATCCTCTTCACTCAGCGTCAAGAACAAAATTCTAATTTCCAGCACCAATGTTAAGTCAGTCAGTTCTTCGGAATGTTGGTGAATGCGTCACGAAAAGCATTTGTAACAGACTTTTGCAAACATTTATCAACAACTGCCTTCTTTGGCTTCATATTGAAGATGAGATGATGGGTGAGAAAGAATTAGCAATAAGAAACTGTAGGAAGGAATCAGTTAAGAACCAGTTGGTCAACAAATGTCTCGAATAAAATGGAGACTGATAGGACACACGCCGAGGAGACCGTCGAACGATGTCACATGCCATGACATCACTCAAGTAAAACCCAAATAGGAAAGGAAGAGTTTGGTATGGAGTCTATGGTGGCATGGAGGAGGTTGTGTGAGGAGGAGATGAGAGCTTATGGACAATCGTGGGGCCGGTTGTAGAGGACTACAGAGAACAGAACACAATGGAGATATATTGTGTTTAAGCCCTATGTTCCACTCGGAACCCAAGGGAATAATAATAATAATATTGCCTTTAAGATTTTCTGGGGGTTTTGTACAACTAATTTGGTAAGCAGTTGTCATGTAATTTTTAAATGAAGAGGTCTAGTTGTTCACTACCTTTGCCTTAAACTATACTTTGATTAAAAATTCTGACATGTACACAGCCGACAAAGCATGTATACTTGAAGCGAGAATAGAAGGTGAATGATGTAGTTCAATCATAAAACAACAAAAAACAATTCTAGTGAATGTGCTAAATTTAGGAAATTTCAGAGAACAGAAATTATTCATCCAACAAATAAAAGAACTAAATTATTTTCGTATTTATCTCACTTGAAATTACTAGGGTCTTAGGATTTATATCACTGCCTCAAGGTTAAAGGCTCTGTGTCATACTGAGCGTTGCTCATCATCACTTACAACCAACCGTTAAAGATTCCGTTGTGCCTCATTATTCATAGGGACCTTAGTTGTTTTGGAACAATAATGCCAACTGTTGATGATGAAATACTAGCAAGCATAAAGTCCAAATTTAGAACTTTTTATTGATTTCTTTTGAATTTTGAATAATGTGGTATGTATGTAACTTAACTCAACTTGACTGGTTTACTTCAGTTAGCATTCACTTGATAAAGGCCAATATTATTCATGGTGTGGAGGACAATTCTTTTATTATTATTATTCCCTTGGGTTCCTAGTGGAACATAGGGCTTCAACTACACGTCTCCACTTGCTTCTGTACTCTGCTGTACTTTTCACCTGCATCCATGTTAATCCATACTGCTTCAATTCCTCTTCACACGATCTCCTCCATGTCACCCTTGGACGTCTCACTCGCCGCTTCCCTTTCGGGTTCCACTCGACGGCCTGACGCGCCTAGATTTCTAGCTCGCTAGTTTTCTAGCCGGTTCCAAGCCCGGATAAAGAGGGAGGGTTGGGGCGTGGTGCAAGCAACTCCACCCTCAAAACTTAACAAAATTGCTACAGAAACTTCAACGCACAAATATATTAAAAATTCTAAAAATATAAACAACAACCTTATTTTTCGCTGGAATCGAGGAAGTGAAATGACGCAGGCTGGTGAAAGCCTTCGGGAAGCCAGTCAGCCGATGTGCCTCCTTTCGATGAAAGCGAAAATAAGGATGGGGACGTGGAATGTTCGTACAATGTACGAAGCTGGAAAGGCTGCCCATGTAGCCGCAGAAATGAGAAGGTAGGGAATAGAAGTGTAGGGAATCTGCGAGAGCAGATGGAACGGATGTGGAAGGTGCCAACTATCAACAATTCTTTTAATGGGGACTTATTTTGTAAGACTTATTCAATCACAGATATTCACGTGGATTTTTTAAAACAAATATCTAGGATGTAGTATCTAGAACGATTTAAACTGAAATTATCAGTTCTGAAAATTTTCTTTCAACAATTTTCTCTTGTTACAATAGGAACTAGTAGTAGCCATAGTGTTCTGTTTCATACAATTTTGTTTTATTGTTGCTCCATACTGAATGTTTTGTTTATTGAATCTTTATTTCTCTTTACAAAAATCTAGTTGTCAACTTTGTTCGTCATAGCAATCCATCAGGTGTTGGTTCAGTAATTCAGCGTAAGTCTGAGTAATATATATATTCACACTATTTGTTCATACTATTCACTACTATAATACTCTACATATCTTTTCTTTTCCACTTTGTAAAATTCAGTAACAACATTTATGCAACTCATTTGCCTGGTATAATTTTTTTATTGACTAGTCTGTTGTGTGTGTGTGTCGTCATTTCAGGGGTAGAATGCCCGCTAGTCACGCAAGTGGTCCTGATTTGACTCCCGATCGACCTCTTCCTAAACCTCGCCTAGCCGGTAGTAACCTGGCAACCCGACCCAGTTAAAAAAATACGCAAGTGCTAATCACAAACTTTTAAAGCTTAAAGCCCTTTATTCCACTTGGAATGTAAAGGAATGATAAAAAGGGTTGCGTTTATGAGGACCAGTGTTACCACTTGGTTATCTGGACTGAATTAATTGATGCAAGATTTAAAATTGTAATCGGTTGAATAGATGCAAATATAAGAATTAAAAGAAGTGATTATTAATAACGAAACGGCTTAATTGGAAGGGAAATGATCCTCAGACAGGCTTTTATGCAGATCATAGTAGTACCAAGAAAGATATCAAGAAGCAGTCTTTAGTCTTACAAATTGCATTAATTATCTAGAGTTCTCTTGAGAAAAAAATTTATGATTTAGTACTTTGGAAACTTGTAGAGTTGTGGCGTGTGCTACTGATAAGATTTGTCAGTAGTATGTAAAGAGACGTTCATCTGCATAAAAGCATCAAATAGCAGGCAGATAGATTTGATGTTAGACAAACCAAATGATACGCTGTTGCAGAGATACATGGAAATTGTGAAAGGAACACAAAGAAACAGAATACTAAGGCCAGAAGTAGCACTACATGGAAGATCTGTGGGAGTGGTAATTTGAAGATAAGGTGTAGTGTACATAATTTTGCTATATGGAGATACCGAATTGCAAGTACACATTCCTTTACCAAGTCTCGTCTTCTACCGTTACACTGTCAATTTATAATATCCATAAAAGGGGAGAGAGATTATGAATGTCAACCGAAAGATAAATACGTTTAGCAGAAACTTCTTTCTATTTCGACTGATTTTACTATTGTATGGTGCTATGAATTTTGACAACCTAAATCGAAACATTCTAATAGTAGCTTTTGTCAGTCTTACACTATGAATGAAGACAATTTACTGCTATTTCATGAAACCTAAGAAGATGATAAATGATTATTAGAATATTAATAATAAAAGTGATCTATTATCTGTCGGAGTTATGTTGAACTTCCCACTGATTGATTTGACAGGACAGAAATTCTAGTCACCACTGAATCAAGTAGTATATTATCATCTATGAAGTATCTCAGAAAGAATTTGAACCCCTTCAGGATTACAGATACGCCTTGCTGATAAACGCCAACAAGCAGGAAACCTAGGTATCTAAGGCATCCTGACGATTGCCTCCAACTGTCTAACAATAAGTGAATAATTGTTTCAAAAATTAGCTTATTTTTGAAGTCGCAACAGTATATAATCCTTGTAAATCCTGTAAATAGTCATTTTTATTGAGGTTTCCTTCTATTAACCGCTTTGTAGCCGTTTTAGTAACTTAAATAGTGTCTCCTAATTAGACTGTCTATTCATTGCTTTGTATTTTTGTTACTTAACTAAACAGGCCTGCATTAATGCGGGTATCATTTCTTCATCTATCATATGATGTACGAGGATCCCTTTATATAGTTTTCAAAATTTTAGGTTAATACTTTTCTACCAAGTTAGTAATTTCGTTAAAAAACTTTTACAATGAGAACTTACTTCTTGATATTCAGATAAAATATTTTTTCTTCGCTATCACTTTCTTTTGATAATAGTGACACAATTCCCTGTACGCTTCTCACAAATCAACAGCCAAGAAAATTCTCATCCTGCACTTAATGTGCTTAGTTCTTCAAAACCTGGACAATCAATAATAAGTCCAACACGTGATAAACTCACTCCAGTTAGTGAAGATGATAGTAATGCTACAAGTTCTGCTAATGCTAATCTCCCTGTCACCAATACTGGTAATAACGAATCAGTCGCAGTTAGTAAAGATATATCAAAAGAGGAACGGCCTAGTATATCTGTTCGTTCTAATCCTCTCAAACCACCAACTGAAGGTGAATTGTTGTTTATTTTACCTTCACTTGCTCTGCGTATTACTACGGATCAACGTCAAACTATGTCTCGGCCAACTTTGTCCAGTCTTCCATCTACTGTGTCAGCATCCTCCGCTAGTGGTGAACCTACATCTAATAATAATGTAACATCTAGAGATGTGAGCCAGACAAAGTTGCCAGAACAACATTCAAGAGGACTTTCTTTACTTTCTCGATCTAAACCATCGTCTAAAAAAGACAGTTCCGCAGATTTGGATATCAATCCTGGTAGTTCTGTGCCATCAGTAAAAGTTAGTTTTCAAACTGACTTCCATGGTTTTATTCAGTTGGGATTGATTGATGTGCCTTGGTTGCCGAGCTTGATAAGTTCGTATTTGGATGAAAGATTGAATGACTATGAACGTAAGTTTTTATTCGTGTGTTTACATAATTAGAGAAATATTTGTTTATAATCCACAGTTATAATTAGCGTTCTCAGAACCCTTCTAGTAGACTAACTGAATTAGACATGGGTTGGGTTCACTGATTCCTATGATCAAAGTATTTATTAACTCTATAAGCTATTACAATGCTCTCTTTCCAAACACACTAACTACATCAATACTTTGATTCTGTAATGTAAGTGTAGAACTTGGGCATTGCTATAGAATGTAATTCCCTATTAGATTAGTTAATTTTAAATATTACACAGTAATGCAGTATTAGCAACTGGATGACGTTTTGAGCATAAATTGTTGCTCATAATCACATCAATTTAATCACACGGTTTCACAATTTGATTATCCTAACGAGATTTTGACAAGTCACACTTATCAATAAATACCTTAGCTATGGAAAATATTTAGCGTCTTCACAATTAATTAACTTAAAATAGCTTCCTTCACAACTTTTGGTGAAGTGTGTCTTTCCTTTATTACTTCACAGTAAAACTGTCATTTTTTTATTACAAACTGATAGTAACCGAGGGTTGTGTAGACCACTAGATTCCAGCGCATATCATCAGATGTCGTGTGATTATTCCACGATGTGAAGGTTTCATTTTAGGGTTAGTTTAAAGTTATAATACAACCAGTTGCCATCGTCACGCGTTCCTCACCATTGTGGACAATTTTGAGCTTTTGAACCGAATTAGCATTTTGAAATTTACTCGACTAGAAGTCCGCTCCGTCCTCCTTTATGGCTGTGAGACCTGGCCATTGAGAGCAGAAGACATGAAAAGATTAGCTGTCTTCGATCATAGGTGTCTGCGTTCTATCTCCCGCGTGAAGTGGTATAATAAGGTGAGCAATATTGAGGTTAGGCGTCGAGTGTTAGGTAAGGAGGGGAAATCAATCTACGAGGCTGTGAAATTACATCGACTGAGATGGTGAGGACATGTGTTACGTATGCCTAGTCATCGCCTTCCTCGACGGGCAATGTTAGCTGATATAGGGTCAGGCTGGAAAAGAGCTAGCGGTGGTCAAACGAAAACATGGCACCAGTCAATGAAATATACAACAGTTAGTCTAGGCCACGTAGGAAGGTGTAGACTTCCTGACTGGTCGGGGTCCTCGGGACGGTAAAAACCAATGGTTGGAAACAATTGGTGACATGGCTCAAACTCATCGTTCTCAATGGCTAGCGCAGATGCATCCACTCCTTGTGACTTATGATTTCCAATTAAACTGTTTTTTTCTTCGTTATTACTATTCCTTTGTGTCACACCTCTGTTTACTGTCTCTAATATGCATTTCTCCTACTTTCTTCTCTTGCTTTGTGTGCTACATGGAATGTGGTGACTTGAACTGCCGCACATATGTGCAAAGTTCTATGTCGAAAACCGACCGACCGACTAGAAGTTAAATTTCGCCACAGCCACCTTTGAAAACCAAAATTCTTCAGATCACAATATGTGATCTGCTTGATACCGTAAATAGCAATCAAGAAACCAGGCATAAATAGATAAACAAGTAAAACAGCCGTCCAGTGGCTAACAATCACTACTGGAGAATATGAGTGCTATCCAACCACTCATTATAATTAGCCAGAAGTACTAATGAAGTACCATGCATTTTGAACCATGCTATCTACACTTTCCACTGGTGAGCTCAATACCATGTTTCATGTTTTTATTTCTTTTTCAATTGGCATTTCTTCATAAGAATGCCTGTCTAGTGTATAGTGACTGACTCATATAGTTTGTCTACTGAATTTTTACGAGTTGATCACGGATTGATATCAGTTAGAGAACCATTGAAAACCAGGGAGTACTGGACAGCTGCTGTTTCATCCTAGCTCTTTGAGAATCATCGGCAGTACGCACTCACTGGGATTCGAACCCAGGACCTTCCGGTTACAAGGCAAGCTCGTATACCATTCAGCCACTGGGACCCGATTCAATGGCTCATGAATTCTAACTTCTACCCATTCGTGATTTAGCGCGACCCCAGCCGTTGTCGTTGGTGGGACATCCATCCACACACGTGACATCTAATTGGACCTCACTGGTCACGACTTCTCACTAGAACTCCAGGAAACTCCATCCTGTAGCAAGTCACTAGCAAGCATCAGATTAATTTTCTATAGTTTGGTTTGTAAGGGTTGGTTATGTTTTTACGAGTTGATCACGGATTGATATCAGTTAGAGACTGCCGATGATTCCCAAACTAGGATGAAACAGCAGCTGTCCAGTACTCCCTGGTTTTCAATGGTTCTCTAACTGATATCAATCCGTGATCAACTCGTAAAAACATAACTAACCCTTACAAACCAAACTACTGAATTTTAACCGCTAGCATGACTCACTGTGATCTTTTCCCCTTTCTTGTTTCCACCAATTTGAAGGAGTACATACTATTTGAAAATTGATTCAAACGTTATATATATATATATAGACTGTCTAATTCTTGCGTTTATTTCTTTCTTAAATTTTGAATCAAGTTTCAAGTGCAGCAAATTGGAATACAAATGATACTAGTCAAAGTCATGTAATGAATACTACACTTACAAGAGATATTATGTCAGAAGAAATTATTGATCGACTTCGTGCTCTCTCAACAACTAGTTCACCTATGGTACAAGATGCTCGTGTTTATGATATTATTCACTGGTCGCTAAGTCCTGAATGTCGTTGGCTTTTAGCTACAAATATTGGAGTACCAGCATTTGATCGTCTTCTAGAAAGTATTGGTTTCCGTAAAGCACGTGTTACTATACCGAAATGGCTTCAAAGAGGTGTGATGGATCATTTAGATAATATTGCATCAATACTTTTAAAAGGTAGTTTAGAGTTAAGCATGGATGATATAAGCGAAGAATCTAGAGATTCTGATCAAACAATTGAAAAAACAGAATGAATAATACCTCAATTTTTTTTTAAAAAATAAAATTAATTTAAAGCAATTACTCTCAATGATGTGCAATGCTACACGAGTAGAAGATTTTCTCTCCCCTGTATTATACATGAATAACATTTTTGTTGTTGTTGTTGAACGTCGTGTACTATTCTTTGTATTGTCCTCTTTTATTACCCGTGCAAATTAATCTCCTTTCAAGTTCCTGTTCTATTACTATTACTACTACTACTATTGTCACCACTATCACTAGTATCACTATTAGTATCTTAATTGGCATTTCAATGATTCATAGCGTTGTTCTACTACTGATTGTCAATATATAATCTGTAGACATGTCTTAAACAACGAAGTATCTCTTTTTTTGCTTGTTTCATATCCCTCTGTGAATAAATTGAAAAGGTGAATCCCCCCTCCTGATTATACCAGTGTAAATTTTCCCCTGCATCAAACTTTTATTATTACTATTACTGATGTTTATTTTTATGTTTTATTAAAAATCTGGAATGGATATCATTTTTTGTTGATGAACTCCATTACACATTCATTTATGTATGTATCATGACGTTAAAAAAAAATTTCGATTACTATTATTAACTTATTCCGTTTTGGCTATTTTGGGGAGGGGGGATTTCTCAAGCTTTTTTCAGGTATACATATACATACTACTGATATGTATGGTAATCATTTGTGTTACCTTCCGTGTGTTGCTGGTTTATTGTTGTATAAGTCTGTATGCTGTGCAAGTACTAATACATTTATCGAAGGATTTGGCGATGATTATACGGCATATCTCTGAAATGCACCAGTTGAATGAGCACATTCGAATATTGGTAAAGAATAAGAATTTCTGATGCAGTAAGAGCCGCATACACTACCAGGAAACAATGGAAATGCAATTTTAGATGTTTAACCCTGAAGCCTGTTGCCTAGATTTTGACTATCAAACAACATTTACTCCCACAAACTAGCAAGATTTGTTTGTTGAAGCTGATGAATTTAGAGATGTCCTTTAATAATGCTCAAAAGATTGAATAAATAAACTTTTCACGAAGATTGGTGGTACGAGACATGTTATTAAATCATTCAAACTTAGGGGATTATGCGTCACCTAGAATCTGTTTTAATGTTATAATATTACTTTTAAGGTAGGTGAGTTGAAGTTGATTGGTCGCTGAGATGTGACTGGTTTCATGTGTTCAACTGAATTCTGAAAATCAAATTCGCGCCATGAAGCTGAGGAATTTCGCTGCATCAGTGTACTTTGAAGGCCATCAGAAGGAAAATTTATAATACTGATAAGTCTTTTTGTGTAATCTTGTGACCCGTTTTTATATGAAATTCGTAAACCTACAGTCTGTTCCGTCTCTAAGAAGGATGTCTTTATCAAATTACGATACAGTGGGGAAATAAACAGTAGGATCTTAAGACAGAGGCTAAACTCGGTCACCCGTAGAACCGACTACGCAACCCGGTTTATAATTATTGAAAAAAGACCGAAAATATACCCAACTACAAGCCTCAAAAGTGCTTAAGTGATTATGTCGCATACTATCTGCCGATTGATACGTGTGTGTTCGAAAATACATAACGGGGAGTAATCACGCCTTGCATGTGAGGTTGGGAGAACATATGCAACGACAGAAGGCAAGAGTCAGGCAACAGATCGTTTATTAAGGAAATCAACACATCTCATCCAACAGCTGTACGACAATGCTTCTGTGTGGAGGTCAACAACTTTCAGCATCAAAAATAAGATCCGGATTTTCAACTCCAATGTGAAGTCAGTCAGTGCTACTTGCTATACGGACCAGAGACTTGGCGCGTCATAAAAAGCATTTCAAACAAACTACAGACCTTCATTAACAGATGTCTTCGCTCAGTACTCAAGATCAGATGGCCGGCCAGAAAAGATCAGTAACAGGGATCTCTGGGAGCGAACCAACCAGGAACCGATTGTGAAACAAATATGCAGGAGGAAATGGAGATGGATTGGCCATACTCTGAGGAAACCATCAAGTGACATCACACGCCAGGACATGCCTTAAGTGGAACACGAAAGGGAAGCGGCGAGTTGGTTGTCCAAGGGTGACTTGGAGGAGGTCATGTGAAGAGGAGATGAAAACGTGTGGGCAGACATGGAGCCAGGTGAAGACTCTAGCAGAGAACCGAACTCAATGTAGACACACGGCTGAAGCCCTATGTTCCTCTAGGAATTAAAGGATACAATAATAATCATAGATTATTGTTAGCAGAAAAACAGTCTTCTGATTGGTTGTTTCTCATTAAAAGTTAATCTTTCATCGCTTTGTGGCTGTTTCTTGAATGTCAGATCATCTATCTGCTAATTGTACCCGCCTACGCAAAGTCTGCTGTCTGTCTTTGGTCTTGTTTTCACATGACTAATATTTGGGACATAAACATTGACGTAAATCTCTGTCTACCAATTTGGCTAGCAGCCAGCTCTCACCACACATATAGCCGAATTATTACATCATGCGAGCTTACCTAAAGTGCTGAGAAGATGGATTTTTCTAAGGTGACGCCTAATACCTGTCAGCTGTCTTGATACTTCTTTGTACTTGAGTAAATTTTGTTTTTAAAAAAACAATTTTCATAGCTCTACTTTTTTTTCAATAGTTTTTTAATATAAGTTTTCAATATGGCGAAATATATTCTTTTCGATAATTTCCTCTCCCGGCTCTACAATTACACATATATTTACATACACAGAATATTCCAGAGTAATCGTCATTAACATCAGCAATATGTAATAGCCGAATTCTTGAGGTAAAACCAAGTTTATTTGGTGCAGGGTGGAGGCGTTGTTTACATCAATTTTGTGTTCTGTACCTACAAGATAAGACAGTATAGAACTATGACTCATAAATTAATACAGGATAGAAATGATCTTTGCAAAACTAGTATCTTCTACATGTATGCACTCATGAAGTATTATTATTATTATGTAAAGTAGTAGGTGAAGTAGTGAAAACTACGACTCCACAAGATTATTTTTATGATAATGGACGTAGGATACAAGGCTATGTTACTCCCTTCTTATCCTTGCTTTACATACTTTCTCATTGTCTTTAGTTTTATACAAAAATTCTCTACTAATTTACAATCTAGAAATAGATAGCAAACTAAATTTGCGAAAATACTATATTTTTAAAATTTAATTTATTACAAGATGGTTCAAGTAAATAATACTTAGATACGAAAATAACACGAAGAAATATCTGTGTGTTTAATCGGTGAAGCTATTTGAATTTATTCAGTATCCAATATGCTGATTACGAGCTAGTATAAACCAGTGATTTCTTTGAGCTCGCTTCTTGATTGTAAGGTAGAAGTTCCAGATCTTTGGTGAACTTATGGGTAGTAAATCCCGCCACTCGACTGCTTTAGCTCTGGTAGATTCCAAGAGGAGTGGTGCGAGGATTGGTCAAGATGTGGTTTGTAGTGTGCAGTATGTTAGGACTGAGTTGCTGCCGTGAATGGAGTTTCACCTAACACCCATTGGTCATTCGGGGTATTCATAAAAGCAGAATAGTAATAATAATAATAGGTTGTAGTGTAGATAATATAGGTTGAGATAAGTGAAATAATAAAGGTGACCAAAGAAAAGATAGAGTAGTTGGTACAGTGATAGGAGACAGAACCGGTCGTGGGGATTTAGCTTGTATGCTTATCCATTGACAGTGTGGTTTCAAATTTTAAGAGGATAAGCCATTGAGACACAAACCATGCATTTCTGCATGATTGTCCAGCTTCCGCTTAAAAGTCTCCACAGATGGCGCTGTAGTTACGGCCGCCGCTAAAGCGTTCCAGAGACGGCAAACTCGAAGCGAGAAGAAATGTGAACGCACTCGAGTCTTTGGTCTCTGGTGTGCTATCCTTAGCGGGTTACCTCGTGGAAGCCTATAATCACTTAATGGCAGGATGCTTATATTAGGGTGGGCCTGGTCATTTAGGATCTTATAGAGGGTGATGAGGTCTCCCCTGTGACTACGGTAACTAAGTGTGAAAAGACTTAATTTCTTCAGTCTTTCCTCATGTGATTTGTTGCGGAGGCCGATCACCCATTTTGTCGCTCGTCTCTGGACACTTTCTAGCATGTTAGCATCCCTTTTGAGTAGCGCAGGAGCAATGATATTATGCACCTCAAGGAGTGGCCTCACGTATGTCGTATACAACGTTAAGAATAGTTCGGGAGTAAGAGCTCCCAGCTGCCTATGCATAAAGTGTAAAGTGGCGTAAGCTTTGGCGACGTCCTTCGTGTAATTTACACTGGTGTCTAGCTTTTCTGTTAAAATAAGGCCTAGGTCGCGTTCTGATGGCACACAACTCAAGTTCTGGCCACCAAGGGTGTAATTTGCACTCTGTGACCTACCAGAATGAAGTTGCACTACTTTGCACTTCTTTAAGTTGAAAGGCATTCCGTTAATAATAATAATAATAATGTATTTCATATAAATTTACAAATTTACATAAAAATGCATGCCATTTTTACAGGCACGATCAAGTATGATATAATATCAAATCGTAGATTGTCTACAAGTTAATCGTATTTCAACTGTTAAATATTCGATACATATAATACACTCATTTTCTGAATTAGGCCGTATAGTTATTGAATTGTACAGTTGTCCTCCAGGTTGAGCGGGAAAATCGACTTCGTTCCGTTTTCATCCCGTGGTTGTAGGCATACGATAACCAACCAATATTGAGGTAAGTACACCTTTTACAAGGGATTGGAATCTGTTTTAGAAAAATTAAAGTGCTGAGGTGAATCATTAAATTGTAATGAAATAGGTAAGTGCAAGTATCATTAATAGATGCATTAATAAAGGAAACACCCTAGGGTAACAACATTCAGTTGCAATGTATAATGCTACAGATATATCACAAACTATCATGATATCCACTTTTGGTTTTAATACAATTATCCTCATGCCAGTTGTTTTTATTTTATACCTTCTTGTGCATTTAGTGCACAACCGTACCCTTCAGAGAGTAGGAGTATAATAAGTAATGAAGAGCTATAAGATGTTAAGTTTAATGGAGTAAAATGAGGATCAAGTAAAGACGTTGTCAGAAAATAAATGAGATAAGACATTGTGGAGTGGTATGAAAAGATCTGACGATAGACAGCAAGTTAATTTATAAGATGCCCCATAAATCTGAGCAGATCCCAGAGCCCAGTCTCCCAGAGTTTGCAGATCAGCCTGCAATCTGTCGGAGTCTTCCGATGAGTTTATTGCTCTCCAAATCTTTACGTCGCCAGCGTAAAGAAGCGCAGAGCAGTTCAGTTGACATGCCAGGATGACCGGATGCGGTTGACTTTGGTGCAGAATTCTCTCTCGCCTAAGTAATCTTTCAACCATGCGAGAAGTGCTCCAGAAACACCCGCCTTGCTCATTTTGTGAAGGAGCAGACCATGGTGAACTGTGTCGAATGCTTCCACAAAGTCGAGAAAGATCACATGGACTGGTACCTTTACATCCCAGGATAGTGTCCAATCGTTCCAAGCTAGTAGAAGATTCGTCACACAGGATCTTCCCCTCCTGAAACCGTGCTGTGCTTCATTGAGTAGGTTAGTCCCGTCGAAGTATTTTCTCATGTGGTTGTCAATGAGACTTTCCAATATCTTCAATATCACTGGGAGTAGCGCAACTGGTCTGTGACTGGTCGCGTTCTGCTGGTCACCACCCTTGAAGATAGGGGATAGGATGGCTCGTTTCCATTCACATGGAAGTTTCCCTACATCAAAGCAGTGTTCAAACAGATCACTTAGGGGTTGGCAGAGACTTTCTGAACTCTGCTTCAGGACGGATGGTCTTATGTCATCGCAACCTGCAGACTTTCCCGAAGCCAACTTTCCCAATTTTACGAGTACCATAGCTGGAGTAATTTGAAATGTACCCAGCAGGTTTTCACACGTTGGTTTTGCATTGTAATCTTGATGTTTTGTGGGGGGAAAATCCTCATTACTGTTCAGTTGCCTGTGAAAGGCTAGACTGAATGTCTCTGCCATTTCAAGACTAGTAAGAGATTTCCCATCAGAACCCACTAGATTGCAAGCTCCCTGGTTGGTCGGTTTTCTTTCAGACATAAACCTTTATAGGCTTTTGGGATTCACGAGAAGCTTATTGGCGAGCTTTCTCTGAAATGTCCTTCTATCACTCCGGACTCGAATGTTACATCGATTCTTGAGTTCAAGTTATACTTCATGTTCGAGTTGGCTCTTCGATACTCGCCACGCAAACCAGGCTTTTCGCTTCGCCTGCAGAAAGCTTGTGTCCCCCTTTTTGGCCCCGAACGTTGCTTTCTAGCTTTTGGTGTGACTAAAGGAACAGTGTCTGAGACCGCCTGGTGAATGATCTCCTTTACCACTCCCCAGTGTTCTTCTACTGTGGGCTCTGTCCAATTTTTTGGCCAATTTACTTCAGACAAAAGTCTTCGCATTTCGGTGTAATTGGCTTTGTTATAACACAGATAGGGCTGTGTATTGTCCCACTGTAAACGCTCGCAGAGGACTATGTCGAATATTATGACCGCGTGGTCACAACTACCTATGGGAGTCGTGATCTGAACGTTTTCCACTAGTAGCTGGTCACTAGTGAGCACATAATCCAGTCTAGAAGACTTCCCATCTGGGCCCCATCTAGTATCCATCCTGACATTTTCAGTGAATCCAGCCTCCCTGATGCTATGCAGCAGATTTCGATCAGATCTATCATGGGCATATCCCGTCATCAAGTTAAGGGATGGGTCATTGAAGTCTCCAGCCATGACAATTTGATCATAACCCATGTCTTGTGTCGCTGAAATTGTATTCAGCAGTACCTGGTTGTGGTCTGCTCCACATGAAGGTGATCTGTAAATGCTGCCCACTAGATACTTACAGTACCCAACGGTGAAATGGCACCATATGGAGTCAGGGAGCTCAATGAGGGGAGGGTCCACTGCGTGAACACATCTGAGCTGTTTGTCGACGTATATGGCGACTCCACCTCCTTCTTTCAGATCCCTATCTCGCCTGACTAGGACCATATCATTTATACTGACTTCGCTGTCTGCCACCGTAGGGGTTAGCCAGGTTTCCGTCAGTATTATGATTTTGGAGTTCAGCTGTGATTGTAGGTGTCTAAGTTCAGCTATTTTGCCTCTTAGCCCTCTCACATTACTGTACAGGCAACTGGCAGTTAGTCTCACCACGTCCCCGTATTGGGGGGTGGTTGACGTGATGTGGGCTGTCGGTTGAGGAGTTATCCTACGAACCAGTTGGCCGATTCCCCGGGAACCGGCCTGTTGGCGTTTTTTCTTCTAGTTCAATCAGAGCACTTGGATGACACTGGCTATCATCGTCCGTGCTGCACCGCTGTATTGCGACTAGGGGTTGGGGATGTTCTATGACGACGTTTCGTTCTGTCCTTTGGATACGAGGCCGGCTTTCACAGCAGCGAATGTGTCTGCTGACCTTGTCCTTGGTCTCGTACCATCTCTGGAGAGCAGTAGTCAAGTGGTCTCGGGAGCTGAACTTGACAGCTAACAGACGTGGTGTGTTAATTGACATAAGGTGAGTGGGTCGAGACAGTCTATAAATAGAGACAGCCCCTGAACTTCAGTCATTATCAATAATCCTACCTTCTCAGGGAATCAGACTGACCTATCGGATAATATACTGTCAGACTGTCTCATCTCAGTGAATTTCGAGGTAGCCCTAGAACGTTGAAAATAAAGTTATACCACATCGGTAGTATCGAAACGTAAGAATTTATATACATTCCTGTCAGTAATTTTGGTCACTTAACTTATGGAAGACAACATTACTAAGCTATGGTAAGTGAAGCAGAACAAGCTGAAGGCAAAGGAGACCTTGTAACACTCTACCAAACAACTAGGTTCCTATCGGGGAGAGATTGACACAAATTAAGCCAATGAAGGATGACAATGGGAGTCAATCCCAAAAAGAGTTGGAGGAAAATAAACACTGGGCTGAACACTTCAAAAGACTGCTAAATCGACCGCCACCTACAATGCGCCCAATAATACCAACAGCGGAAGCGGAACTACCAGTGGATAGCAACCCTCCGATGAAAGCAGAAATCCTAGAGGCAATCAAGATGCTAAAAACTGGAAAAGCAGCAGGACCAGACGGAATCCCAGCAGAGGCATTGAAAATGGACACCGAGACATGAGCGGAATTGGTGACACCACTACTGCAGAAGGTGTGGAAATAGGGCAGGTTACCGGCGGATTGGAAAAAAGGCTATCTATTCAAACTGACAAAGAAAGAAGACTTAAGTCAATGCAAGAACTGCAGCGGAGTTATGCTCCTGTCCATCCCAAGCAAAGTACTAAGCCGCATCATCCTGGTGAGAATCAAACACGACCTGGATGAAAAACTTCCACCGGAGCGGGCTGGATTCAGGAGAAACGAGTTATGCATCGATCAAATCGCAACACTACTTATCATCATTGAACAGAGCTTGGAATGAAAGTCAGCTCATAATAATATATATTTTTCCTATCAATGTAGGACACACCAGTTGTACAGGCATGGATAAGTATTATTTAAATTATAAGAATTTGATTTATAGTGAAATTACATAGTTGCTCTCCTCTCTGACATCAGTTAGTGAGCACATTCTGATAGTTAGTCGTTCAATGGAGCACATAATGAAATATAGAAATATTGTCTTCACATTAACAAAAAAACCCAAGTATGTGTCGGATAAATTACAAATATTTGGGAAAAAATAAAGCTTGAAGTCAATTCCTCCATATAACTTTGTTGTGTGCGGCATCGTATCTTGTTTTATGTTCAAATTGGGTATTAATTTAAAATGAGTGATTAATTTTTATGATTTTGACATCATTTTTTTGCAAGTAATACCAGATGTGAATTCAACTGAATGCAGATTAATATTGGTCAATTTCAAGCAGATTTGTTTTACTGCACTCAAGTCACCCATAGCCCACCATTTGTCACTGCATGGTTACTCCGTACGAGTAAGTTGACAAACACGTAGAAAGCTATATACAAACCATTTTAGATCGTTGACAGTGCTTGTATAAAATGCTGTACAGCGTCTAGTTATGGTGACAGTGGATTTCATCAAGGATGCTGAGCCATTACTAGCCAAACCTTGAGGGATGATATATGAGTAAGTGACTTCAATTGTTCCTCAGCTTCAGTCGGAATGTAGATCAATGCAACTTGTACTACAAAGTAAATACAACAGAAATGTACCAGAGGACAAAGAAAAAGTATGTGGAGTCGAAAATATTTGATTATATTCGTTGTACATTGTAATTTGATGAACAAAAATTTGTTTCTACTATGTCTTTTTATGCATTTATGCTACTAGTTTATTTATAGTCTTTAGAGAAGTAAGGGTGTTTAAGCGCGTTTAGGTACTGTAGTAGACTAATAGTTGATTCGTTCTAGGAATAAATAGTTTATTTATATAGTCGGTAGAGTGAAGTAGTGTGTACAGAGAGCGTTTAAAACTTAAAACTGTATTGCAGTTCCTGATATCTAGGGGCAGATTGTTCCATATTTTAGAATACATGACTGTGAAGAAGTTTTCGCGGAGTGTTGACTTAAAGGCTTTTATTGTCACTGTGCAATTTTGGCTACGCAGATCGTAAGAGTCTTCTTGTGCGAATTGTATGTCCTTAATGTCTGAGAATGATATTTTGTGTAGGACCTTATAGAAGAATACTAGGTTTATAATTAGTCGTCTTGTCCAGAGTGGGTCAAGTTGTAGAATCATGCACCGTGAGATGTAGTCTTTCTTACATTCGTAGCCTAGTAGTTTCGAGGTAAAATATCGTTGGATACTTTCAATTCTTAGCTTTTCACGTGTGTGAGTGCTAATAATAAATGGACAGTATTCTAGTAGTGGCCTCACACAGGTTTTGTACAGAATGAGCTTTGCTTCATTGTCGTGAAAGTTCCTGAGTATGCATCCTAAGAGCATCCTCGACTTTCGAGTCTGTGATGCCACTTGCTCAGAAAATGTTAGGTTACTCGAGTACCTCAGACCTAGGTCAACGACACTTTGGAGTTTGGTTAGGTTAGCCGATTGAAGCGTTAACTTTATGTCGACTGAGGATGCACCGAAGCAGATCCAGCCACATTTTTTAAGGTTAAATTGGAGGTTCCATAAAGAAGACCAAGCAGTCACTTTATCTAGTTCTTTTTGTACAACATTTTGGAAGTACCCTGGGTTATCAGATTGGAATGTATAAGCTACTTTGAGGTCATCTGCAGAGATGAATGGTTTCCCATGAGAAAAGCAAGTGCATATGTCGTTAATATATAGGGTAAATAGAAGGGGTCCAATGACACTACCTTGTACTACACCAGAGGTGATTGGGCTAGGTTTCGAAGTTATAGATCCGAGTTTAACTATTTGGGACCTATTGTTAAGGAATGATTTAAGCCATCCTAATAGTGGGTCACGTATTCCTAAGGATTTCAGCTTATGCATTAGTAGTAAATGGTCGACACGGTCAAATGCCTTTGAGATGTCAAAGTAGATGACAAGTACTAGTTGTCGTCTGTCACGACTGCTGGTCACAAAGTTAAAGAAGTCTAAGTGGCACGTTAAACAAGATCTGGATTTTAGGAATCCATGTTGGTTAGGACTTATGATGTTGCAACTAAGCATATGCTTCATTAGGTTGTCTTTAACTAGTCTCTCCATAATTCTAGATGCTATAGGTGTGATATTAATTGGCCTGTAGTTACTGACGTCTGTTTTCGAGCCAGATTTGTGTTTAGGCATAATAAATGTCGTTTTCCACACATCAGGGTAAGTTTGGGTTTCTAAGGACATTGTGAATATTTTAAGTAGTAGTAAGGGAATGTCAGGGCCACCATATTTATAAAAATAGGATGATATGCCGTCAGTACCGAAACCTTTTGAGCATTTTAGGGTTCTTATAGTTTGTTTAATGTTAGTATAGTTAAATTCAACAGTACTAATTAAGTTTGGTGTGTGTGGAGATGGAGTTTGTGCCGCACTAGTAGCAGGGTGTATATTGAGTAACCGGACTGTGGGCTTAATGTAGTTACCTGCAAAAGTTGAGTTAAATAATTCACACATGTCTGCGGAATTAGTACATAACCTACCTTTGTCTATGAGGAGGGAAATGCTGTGATTTTTGCGATTCATTCGCTTCTTTAAGATTTCCGTGAGTGCATACACTCTAGCAGGACTGGCTACTGCGATGCGTTCTTCGTTTCTCATACGGAAATTTCGAGCTTGTCAGATGGAACTAAGGGTGTTAAGTATTAAATCTAGTGTGCCAAAGTCGTGGTGTTTGAAGTAACTTGTTGAGAGTTTCTTCAGTTTCATACGATCCTTTGATTTTATGAATGACTTCCTATGTGGGGAAAGCTCAAGTGTTTGGAGTGGAATGACAGCATCTAAGCATGTGTTTGAGTTATGGTAGAAGATGCTCAGAGCTCGCGAGAGGTCATCAGTAGTGAAGTAATCTCTCCATTCTGAGGATCTTAACATTGATTTCACTAGAGTCCAGTGTGCCTTACTGTAGTTCCTGTAAGTTATTTGTTGTGAAGTAGAGGTATGGGCTGCATTGCTACTTGACGGAAGTGGCAGTGCACACAGCACTGTTTTGTGGTCACTCCCTGGAAACTCAGAACCTATTAGGGTGGAAAGGGGACTTATATTGTGGCAGAAGATTAAGTCTAGTACGTTATTACCTCTTGTTGGGGTTGTGACAGTCTGTTTCCAGCCAAGTATATCCAGTGTGCCTAAGAACTTATCAAGTTTAGTTGGGCCTGTGGGTATTTCCCAGTTGATTTCTGGACTTTCATCGGAGACTTTCATCAACAGCTGTCTTCGCTCAATACTCAAGATCAGATGGCCGGCGAGAAAAGATCAGCAACAGAGATCTCTGGAAGCGAAACAACCCAGCAGGAACCAATTCTGCAACAAATATGCAGGAGGAAATGGAGATGGATTGACCATAATCTGAGAAAACAAACCATCACGTGAGTGACATCACATGCCAGGCTGTCGAGTGGAACCCAAATGGAAAGTGGCAAGTTGGTCGTCAATGAAAGGTTGATATGGAGGAGGTCATGCGAAGAGGAGATGAAAGCATGTGGGTAGATGTGGAGCCAGGTGAACACGTTGGCAGAGAAACAGAGGCAATGGAGACGTGCGTCTGAAGCCCTATGTTCTTCTAGGAACTAGCGGATACAAAAGTAATAATAACTTACGTTATTCTGTCAAGATCATATCAAGTGATTCTCACGCATCAGAAGTTACTAAGTATTTTATAAGTATTCCTGACTTGCTACTTTGTCATATTCACTGACATCTAAATTAAGGGCGTCATATCTATGCTTTCTGTAAATGCTGACCGTAAATACTGAGATGTTATATGTATGAAGCAACGGCCTAATAGGTTGGGATTTTGAAATGCCATTAGCTAACTACACTACTTGCATTACTGATTGAAATGAGGACATTCCAATCATCCAGTTAAAAAAGTATTCTATATGGCGTTAAGTTAAATACGTCTTTTTCCTACTGACTATTGATTGCCTATAGGCGAGTTAACTTCTCGTAGTTATTTGACAAAATAAGACTTCGATTTTGTGTGAACAAATAAACCACAGACCTCATACGTATAAATGCAGTTGAACTCATATTTACAAAACTATATAGATAATTGTTTATCTGACATGAAATCACGTGACAAATCTTTTTATTCCTTAAAATTCCCACTGAATTATAGAGCTTAAAGCTAGAGGCTTGAAGTTTCGGTACCATTGGTATTTATTTTTACGAGATGGA